GTTTGGCTGAAGAATAACTGTCTGGGTGAGTAGAGACACCTCGGATCCCAATTGAAGTCAGAACATGGTGATTTGGGTCCGCGCGTCTCTACTCACCCAGACAGTTATTCTTCAGCCAAACTTTGTTTGGATTCTACAGTTCAAAACAAATATTACCGCCCAGTTATTCAACCAATAATTGTCCCCTCAATAATCGACCGAACGCACCAAAAAATACGTGTTATTCTATCCTTCCTGGATAGATCAAGTAAAAATCCATTCAAAAGATAATATTTTGTTGCTTTATAACACAAAGTGTTTCCGATTTTGGGAAAGTGCTTCAATGCGCAATCTGAATGCACAATCACAGTCAACACAAGAAACACATACGAAGAGGGAAAAATCAATATGGATGCCGTCAAGATTAAATATCAACTAAAACAACATAAATACAATTCAGGAAGAAACACAGTAAAGGTAAAAGAAAAGTAAGAAAACTGTAATGAAATAAAATACTACCATCTCAAATGGCATCAAAAGTACTAACAAAAATGTACAACTAGGAAAACCAATAAGAACAAGTTGCAAATGTATGCATGGAGGGATTTTCACACACGAAACCTTAAAAATGGATCTTAGACAATGTGCTTGGAAAATTTCAAACTGTTGCTGTATCTCAAACTCAAATCACAAACGGTGTTTAGGGGTTTGTGTGTAGACAGATTTAGGTTAGGCCAGCGGTCAATGTGCATAAATCTACTCTTGTCAATACCAAGTGGCAGAGTCCGCAAAACAGGCCATTTGTACAACTTGTTTATTTCTTCTTGGATTGCCACTGTAATATATATTTCTTTGATAATAGAAAAGAATGAATAAACCAATTTTTAAGTAATCGGCAAAAAGGAAAGGCTTATCATATTAAGTGGGAGAACATACGCCATTGATGAAAAGGAGAAAGAGTAGTGGACCAATCACGTTTCTTTGTATAACCCCGCTAGTTACAATGACAGGCTCAGAGCAGCCAGATCCGAAGAGGACGATTTTGTTGCGTTCTGTTAGAAAAATTCGAGTAAAAATAAGAGTGGATTCCGTATGCTAAATGAAGAGAGTATTAGAAGAAAAAGTTTGTGTGAAACATTGTCGAAATCCTTAATAAAATCGAAGTACAGAACTATCACTCACTGACAAACATCTTTTCTCTGGGTAATTTGATCAAAAATTCCAGGTGCGACGCTAAGCATGAAAATTTAGTCGTAAACCCGTGTTGGGATGGGTTAATCAGGCCATCCGAGAGTAAAATTTATAACAGCTGTTTGTGGATGTTTTTTTCACGGTTCTTGATAATTCAGATGTCAAGTTAATGAGCCTATAATTAGCAACGCCACTACTCGAATCCTTTTAAAATCTAGTTGTGATTAGAGATGTTTTCCATATAGATGGATAGGCTTCATATTCCATAGAGAGGTTGTGCATTTTTAGAACAATGGGAATTATCTAATACCACATTTCACGAATAACGAGGGAATCTCGTCCGGTCGACCGTCATATGACTTTTTTAGAGTAGCTATGGCCTGTTTGATGTTGATGGATATGATGTAACTGCCTAATCTATAAGACATAACGTGGAAGTCACATCGTTGTCTACACCGACTCATCATATCGTAACAATCACCAATAAATGCTGAAGAACACATTTAGGCTGAACAATATATTTATTGTTAATAAAAACGTATAGGCTACACAAGAATGATCATGCTCGCAAGGCTGAGTCATGCCACTCGATGAATTTTAATTCATTGAATTTATTCCTCCTACTTTCGTCATCGTTGGGCTTTTCGCCGTGTCAAAAATTGAGCATCTATTTTCTCAATTATCTCGTGTTCAGCTTTGAGGATTGTGTGGCTATGGCTCAGTGACACTACAACCTCACCAGTTTTTTCAACTGAATGCACTCGGTCACGCATCCACACAACATCACGATTAATTGTGCCGTGCTACGTACCCTTGCAACAACTAACTAGCTTAGATCAAACACTTTGCAAGACACTTACAATCTTCCAAATATATCTTCAGACTCAGTCTTCTGTGACTTCTGATTTGACTAGGTTGGTATCCTTTGATTGGAAAAGGTGTTTAAAACAAAAGCGTTGTCAAGCACTGGATACCTAGGGCATCTTAAGACGTAAGCACTGGACTGGCAAATCAGAAACTGACGAATTTAAACATGAATTGATCTTTTGGTCTTGCCAAAGTTCAGTTTGGTATGCTGAAGGAAGTGTCTTTGATTGCGGTGAAACCCCCCCCCCTGATGCATTGTTCTCACACTTGCTATTCCAAGGTGAAGTGCCAGAATGTTGGAAGCTAGCATCCATCACACTATTTACAAGGAGGCTGATGTAATAACCATCAGCCTTCTAGCCGAAAGAATTACTTTTGATACTTCAAACATGCTAAGTATATTCAATTCTTGGCAACGCTATCGAGAGCAACACCATTCTTACCAAGCTTCTCAAAGACATTCAACAACGAAGCGGTTCGAATATATATTTGGAATTCAGTCGTTGTGTCAACAGGTATATGTTCTAAGCTTGTACCAGTTTAGGTTTCTAACCAAGCAATTCAGGAATCTGAAAACATAATTAATGAGAAAATTCATATTTAAAAATTAACACAAAGAGAAGATCAACAATGTCCAACCTAAATTTGCTCTGTAGAAACACCAAACATTATATTACTGATGTTACGATACGAAGGGCCATGATAGACATTTATGTGACTTACACTTGATATTTTATAGATTAGGTAGACACATAATTACGAATCTATACTTTGACGACTAGGTCTAGTATTATAGTAGTACTGATACCAAAGTGGACCATAAATTCAAGCTGAATATTTGTTGTAAGCGATGAGAAGCACGTAGTATCCAAACATGTTCTGTTACGGATGCTCGGCCGGACGCATTAAATCAGGAGTTTGTCCAGCGAAGTTAGCGAGGTGAGCATAAATGCACAAGACTTGCGGCACTTGTCTTTGGGATTCACTTATCACTACCGCTATTCAATACGTAAAGGCCGTAGACCTTCGATATATGCAATCTATGTAGAATGACTTTGGGGCTGCTCGAGTTGGATGGCGATAGTGTGACCTCCCAACCTGCCTCGCTACTTATCCCTTTAAACCGTTATCAAGCCTAGGCCAAACGTTTCCCGATATATCAATAGCCTCATTAATATGTAATCGAACCACTTCATTTCTGACTTCTGGTTAGACTAAGTTGGCATACTTCTATTAGGAAGGTCTTTCGTGTACATTTGTCAAACTTCGAACACATGTGATATCTTTAGATTTATAAGAATCCTCTGAATATCTATGAGCTGCAAGATAAATCAAAAAAGGCATCTGCAGCTAATCGGAAAAAAGAACGATAATAAATCTAGTAACTAACAATATATCGGGGTACTTAGTAATAACTTACAGGTTGTCTGAAAATGAAGTACTTCACAACGACAATAACAAAACACGACATAGTTTTTTAAAGTTTTATCAAGTAGTGCTGAAATGGATTGCGTCGACAAGTGATTGAGTTCTTAATATAAGCAATATGAAGTTGTAATGATGTAGTGAGCCAACACTCACGTGAGATTAAACAATTTATTCTTGAATGCACAATCACAGTTTGGTAAAATGTAAAAATCACATTTGCATATCTTTTAGTTGTCATTTACATCCTTCACATTCTCCCAACCCTGTTTTTATTCTAATCATTTTCTGTTCTCTTGCGTTTGATCTTCTTCAGACAGACGTTCCAATTGAAACTGGCGTTATATGCTGTTTACATCTGTCAACGTATGTACCATACATCACAGCGATACTACAAGAGGTAGAACCATGTCTGCATTATCAGTTGGTCTTAATAATCATACTGTAATCGGATTAAAGTAGACAGTCAGCCACGTTTGTTTGACGTTTTGTGTTCGTAAGTGATGAATTCGTGTTATATCTATATTTTTCATAGACTAAGAGATATTATATGAGTATGACCGTGAAGAAAAGAATTATTAGTTTCAGAGTTTGAAAAACTGACGATGATCGCTACAGTCGATGAGAGTTGCATGTCACGAACTGAAAGTGTAGGTGGCACGATGGAATTTTTTTACAGGATGATAAACAGTCAGTGCTGTCTATTAGCTTGATTGATGGAGTTCGTTTTATCAGTTATATAGGTCGCTCCGATAAAACGTGGTGACTGTTTGGTCACAAAGATGAAATATGATGTGGAAGAAATCGTAATTAGTTAGCGAATGTAATAATAACAAGTCTTAAAAACAACCTTGCCGTTTCAGACATTTCGAAACACTGAAATTGTAGATATGCTAACTTAGCATTTTATGATGAGTTATGCAGTCTGATTGAGATTTTCGACTCCGAAGTGACTGTTTATTTATTGCTAGGTTTAAAGTTAAGTTGTGCAGCAAAAAATACAGTCCAACAATTAAAGTTGGATAAATAAATTTGTTCGGACGTATGTTAACAATAAACAATAAAGCAAAACTGTTAAAATACATGCTAACAGTTCCTTCAGGGAAACAATTTTATTAGCTGGATTCACATAAATAAATATATATGGAGATTGAGACTGATAAGACTCGTGAAAAAATTCAAAAGGCCTTGTGGAAATTTGTAAAGAATCTCTCACATATAAGTGGTACAAAAACTACATCACCACTGAAAACATTATTTGAGAAGGTCAAATCACAAGTTGACAGTAAATAAAACCTGGATAGTAATTCACAGATAGCAAACATAGCTGCTTATTTCCATTTCATCCGTTGTTACGTGATGAAACAGCTACATCAAATTCAAAAAATAATATTCATTAGATATAGACGAATGTTTTCAGGGACATCGAGGAAGTATAGAAATATGGGGAACCTAATGGACAATGAACGACATTAGCTTTCGTTTGAGCGCCACACTTAGTTTTTGGTGGTTTCTCACGCCTATTCGTGGCCCGAAGTATGGTTAGGCTAAACGTACTTGCAGACGCCTTAAAGTCAATATGCAACGCTGAGAGAAGAAAGAAGCGTCAGGTCCTTATTCGGCCATCATCAAAAGTTATTATCCGATTTCTACGAGTGATGCAACGAAAGGGTTATATAGGAGAATTTGAAATTGTTGATGACCATCGTTCTGGAAAGATTGTAGTACAGCTAAATGGACGTCTAAATAAATGTGGTGTAATCAGCCCGAGGTTTGACATAGGTGTGCGGGAAACTGAGAAGTGGACCAGAAACCTATTACCCTCTCGTCAGTTTGGGTATGATGTAACATGGTAACATTCATTTTTTTTTAGCTATCTTGTACTTACAACAAGTGGTGGGATTATGGATCATGAGGAAGCCCATCGGAAGCACCTGGGTGGTAAACTGCTTGGATTTTTCTTCTAAATAAAAACTGTGTAACGGATACAGTGTTTTTAGAGTTCTAAAGCGCCATATTTTAGGACTTAAGACTGCGTTCACTGTCGTAAATACATATTTATGGTAGAGGAAAGTGCTGATCAGCCATCGACTGCTGACTTCTATCGGGATATTATTTAAAATATGCATTTATCATATTCTTGAAGCATACAGTGCAAGTTCAACTTGGTTAACTGTACTGCATGACATTTTGTATTCATTCGAGACATGAAATTAACTTGATCACCAGCAGAAATTATTAAAACGGAATATGAAAAGACTAATGTGTTTGATCAACTGGAACTTCATCTCACTGAAGCTTTGTATCTACTCACCGTTAATAAGCTTGAAAGTTTAATGTTTTCTTTCAAGCGTAGTCATTACAATCTAATTCTTTTGGAACATCAATTGGTAAAAATAGGTTTTGAACGTTTTCTCGATATAAGAAGTTATTATAAGTGGTAATTTGTCAACATGAATGCACATATATTGAAAGTTGTCAGTGTTCTACAATATTTCTCTGGTTCCTACCTACACGACAGTATCAATCACTACTTCATACTGTGTTGGGTTTCGCCATATGTACTACTTCAGAGTGCACTGAACTAAGTTGAAAAAATATCACAATCCTAACTCTTATCGTTTCTTAACGTCCCTGGTGATCAGGTTGTCCACGGTGTTAATCCCTGAAATGTAATTGTGATATGGGAATTGTACGGTTAGGGCCATTCCGAATTTAGGATCTGTGTCCAACTATATGTGGCCCTGGACGTATTTTCTATTATAATCCTTATCTATGCTGGTCCTCAACAGTTGACTTTGCTCATGAGGTAAGGTGGTGTATGTGTTTCTTGGAGCGACTCTCCGGGTCCAGATACAGTTTGATTCTACCGACAATCCGGCAGAAGCGCGTGGCAGGTGCATGACACAAAGATATCCCTTGGACTAACGTCGCAGCAATCTTTGACGGAAGTATTTTTCAACCATAGCCATTTCTGTCTGTGTTGTAATACCTTGTGTGTTTTCTGAAAGCTAAGTTATAATTTCATATGTTCGTCCAGAGATCAATCTTGTTTCTTACGGTAGAGCGAGGGCGTGTCAAAGTGGGTAATGTGTGATTGATACACAAGAGCCTTCTTCATTAATTGATAGCAATTTGTGAAACGAATGCAAATCCACTTCGTAGAAAAGAACTTGGTGGTTACGTTTGCATTATATAACTCTTGGGAACCAGAAAGTTAACAAAACTGTTCTAAAATCAGCATGTTGTACTAGTGTTTGAACTGTTAAGAGACACCGATAACCAACCACTTTAGATGTGGACGGTTTGTGTCAACAACTTTCATAATCATGAGTTCATCTTATTGTAGACGGTATTGTAGCATATACTGTTGAATTTCAGTTAAAAGCATTGCTCTGGATATAAGTAAATCAATCATTGATTAGGTATTGGGGTTACTTTATCGATCACGCCGTGCCGCTCAAACTCCAGCTTCACCGTTACTGGTCCTAAGAATAAGTGATAGCCAGAACATTTGCTAAAACCTAGTCGACTGAATTATCAGGAATTTATATCCTACCAGGAGGCGCGCTTATCGACTTAGAATGCGTAGATAACATAGTCCTTACAATTGATTGATCACTGGGTGGTGATCAATGTCATGCATGTCAAGTCCTTCTTAGTGTTAATCGAATGCTATCGACCAAGTTGCAATGTGGCCACCAGTCTAGGTGGCTCGACACTGCTTGCACTATATATATATATATATATTGAGGTAAGGTGGTGGTCAACAGGAAACCCTGGACCCGGTGGTGGCCACATTGCAACTTGATCGATAGCATTCGATCAGCACTAAGAAGGACTTGACATGCATGACATTGATCACCACCCAGTGATCAATCAATTGTGGTTACATCTCAGTCCTACAGGAGGTTGGTTACGGCCCGAATAGCTCAGTGGTAACGTCTCTGACTGTGAAGCTGAGTGACACGGGATCGAATCGGCCAGGGAGCATCAGTTCCCTCAAGATTACAGGTACACCTTGCTGACGAGCGCCAAGTAGCACGAAACCCGGATCCAGGGTTTCCTGTTGACCACTACCTTATAACATATTCCTGTTTGGTGAAAATGCAGTCTTCTGTTAGAACTGAGTAATAATGTCAGGATGTTTGGATGCGTTTCCCCCCATCTAAATGTAAATTGTTACTTCAGGACTGGCCTGCGTCAACACCTGAACTAAGGATAGGAAGTAAAGTAGTCGACCGCGTCGACAACTTCACTTATCTTGGAAGTCTGATCAGCCCTAATGGGTTGGTGTCTGACGAAATCTCTGCACGGATTCGAAAAGCTCGTTTGGCTTTTGCCAACTTACGTCACCTATGGCGAAGACGAGATATCCGTCTATCAATTAAAGGACGAGTATACTGCGCAGCAGTTCGCACTGTTCTACTTTACGGCTGTGAAGCGTGGCCATTAAGGGTAGAAAATACTCGCAGGTTACTAGTATTTGACCACAGATGCCTTAGAAGTATTGCTCATATCTACTGGGATCACCGGGTAAGGAATAGTGAGGTTAGACAAGGTATTAGAAAATAATGGTAAATCAGTTGATAAGGCCGTGAATCTTCATCGACTGAGATGGTTAGGCCACGTGTTACGTATGCCTGAACACGATTACCACGACGCGCAATGCTGACTAGTGTTGGGGATGGTTGGGAAAGAGTTAGGGGCGGCCAAACCAAAACATGGCATCAGTGCTTGAAGTCACTAATTTCTAGTCTGAGCCATGTTGGTAGATGCAGACTACCTGGTTGGGGTGCGCGTGACTATCGTAACCAATGGTTGGAGACTCTAGGTGACATGGCTCAGAATCGACCACAATGGCGCAGGTGTATACACTCTTTATCTTTCCTTAAACCTTGAGATTAAAATTGCTTCATAAATTTCTTCCTTCCTATACTATATCCTTATATACAACCTTTCTTTTATATACTACCACCACTAAATTAATTACTTCTATGAACCCGGTGTTCATCTTGTTGTACTAACGAGGTATGGCGACTTGGAATGATGCATATATGTGCCTACAATGTAGCTGACTAAGTCATCACAGTAACTTAATAGTTAAGCATATTGGATGCTTATTTATTTGACTGATTGAGAGCTGTATATTTCTCAACCCTTATCCACATAACTTGATATTTAACGGATCATAGCTACTTTTACTAGAAATCAGACCAGCGTCATACAAGGAGCACATTCTGACAGAATCCACGAATTCTCCGACAAGGTCGAAGATAGAAAGGATTCACCATGTCTCGAGATGCTTACATACGAGCGCAATTTTATAATTTCTCTCAGAGAAATCCAAAATTATGCCTTCACACATTGAGGGTGTCCACAAAAGTTAAGGAGCAATCAAATTCTTGATGCTCAAATCGGGTTAGCTGATACGATGAGTTCACTAAGGGGAAACCTCCAGATCCTATCTTAATGATTCACGTTGACCCTAAGGTCCAAAAGGAATCAGTGACGTGCGGAGCAACTTTGATTACTACCTAACATGGGATTACAACTATTGCTCCTAGTCTTCCTTGTTGATTAGTTCCATACGTCTTAAGTTCGGATGGAGGTCCCCTGAGAAAGACGTCTAGATAATTACCACTGTATCCCCATCTATCCCTTCATGATATTACCACTCCACTTTTTATAGTACTTCTAGATGGACCATTGCACCAAGACTTGTAATCAGTAGACAGTGTCTGTATGTATGGCATGTAGAGATCAATCGTACTAGACACTTATGGAGGTGTGTGTTAATCACCAAACAGATCTCGAAACACTCACTTCTATATGATAGATTATAAAAGAGCATTGGTTGGTGCCACTTATTTATTCAGGTCAACAATTGTGATTCATAAACCTCTGATCAACCATCTAGTACAAATCATACGGAGTTATAGCTCTCACTAGGTGGATCGATATGATGTTTTGTCTGATTCCTATTGTCTTACTAATTGACATGGTTTCTTTACGGAATGTCAAGAGGATGGACACGAACTGGTTACGGTTTCAACATCGTATTAAACAATCATTTAGTATAGAAATCACACGGATTTTTATACACCAACACCCATAGGTCATCCATTCATATATTCCAATATCATCACAGATAAACTAAAAACCAGGTTAATCTACATACTGTCTTTTTTTCTTGCTAGATGAGCGTATTACTTTTTAAAGTCAAAGAATTCACAAAACAAAGATTAAGTTAAATATTCTAAATATCTGTATAAAGCTTTCATTAGGCAGAACGGATATGAATTCGTTTCCCATACCATTATAAAAAAACAAACGATACGTTGGAAATTTATTTACACTCAACGTGGAACATGAGCTGGTGAAACAAAAGGTAAAAAAACTTGTCGGGAACGTTAATAGAAATTAATAAGCATTTGACGTGGACATTACATTTTACTAACATCTTTGGGATAATAAATATGATACAATGGAGTGAAGAAATCATCATTAATTTATATCGTATAACGGATGATAATATTTAGTGTTTATGAATTTATACGAGTTAATCGTGAATGAATTAAATTGAAAAATATACTTTGTACAAAAAAGGTCATTACTTTTTTACAAGGTAAAAACAGCGATATCTGTTGACTTCCCATCTGTATAAGGATATGGTCTTCCGTGAACCTTACATATATGTTCTACAGCTCGACGATAAGCTTTCGTTACCTGGTAAATATGTGTGAATTAAAGTTATAGTATTTGAAAAAAGTGAAACTCAACTTATAAGCAACAACAGGTTTTGTAATCTAAATAGTAATCTTTTTAAATTAACGCATAACGTATCATGAGTGTATGTCGGTTCAAGCTGGTAAACAAAATACCCCGTATGGGTCCTACTCTCTAGCTATCATCTGTATTTTTTGTCTGTATTAACCTAATATGTGTGATTCCAATAATATGTAAGTAGAGGGGTGTTCTCATGCATAATATGAAATTATTACGAATTCACTGGAAAGAACATTTACATAAATGAAGTGCAACCTATGACGAAAGATTTCTCAATTCATAGTAGTGTTTTAATTCTATGCAGCACTGATCACAAGATTATTAGTCAGCCGCTAATAGACATTTACTGTCAAACTATCATATGACGATAACATCCGAAACATTGTGCCAGCATGATAAATCTCACCTATATATTCCTTGAATTAATAAAAGTAGGTAAACATGTTTCAGTAGATCAGTTCTTCTAAACAACGAACTTACCATAAAAACTAGTTCAAGCTGTCCTAACTAAGTAGCTAAGTGTTCGTAATCTTACAAAGCACTGTAACGTTTGAAGAATCATGCAGTTATTTATAGTGATGTGCAGAATTTGAGAGTTAAGATACGAGAGGAGGAAATGAATGGTATATTTAGGAATTATTATTCCGTTGTCTTAATTAGTTATATTAATATCTACTGCTAACTTTTCAGTTATTTTGTGAATAATTATTTAGAACTTCGGTAACTAAGGTAATATACTATTTGGCCGAGTTCTACAATCGTTAATAAGTTGTTTAAATGGCTTTTGAAATGACATTACATCACAGTATTTTGATAGTAAAATGTTTGGGAAATCGATCTCTTCAACAGTGCAGCCTAAAACTGCTCCCAACAACACAGTTGAAGTTACTTTTTATTTTGAGCTACGACATTAAAATCACCATGCTATGTAACATAGACAAATTCAGACAATATTTACTTTCAGTTTCTAATAAGTAAACCAACCTAGAAATTCATTGGTAATCATTGATTATCTACGAAGAGCATCCAGTAAATAAATCAATTTATTTACATTATGACAACAACTACTATTAACTTACTGAATGCTTCATTTTACTTTTTCTTCCTTCTCGTAGTCTTTCATAATCGAGTTCTTTATTAATTCCAAGAGGTTGAAGTTTCTGAGGACTAAGCCATTGCCATGTCCGCTTTGTATCAAAGAAGAGAACTAATAAAAGTTCTGAGTCATCAGTGGATTTATTAGAGGCTATTCGTTTGCCCCATTTTAACACTGACTCAGGAGGTAGGGGGATAGGAACACCATTGTGAGAATAATCCCCATTAGCATCTGGATCTACAATCTGTTGTTTAAAGAGAAAAGGGTTTAAACAGTGAAAGGAACTTTCATGATTTATATTTACTGGTGTGTGACAGTATTCAATGAAATAAAATAACATTTAATTGACTCGATTTGAAAAGTTATGAAGACCAGTTGATAAAATACAACATAAAAACGTGTATACAAATATGTGACCTATTTACATCCAAAGTTATCAAAATAACCTATGGGTTAAACTGAGCATGATAGTCTAATTAGGTTCACAAAGTGTTCCTCTTTGAAAAATCCAACTACACTATTTTACCTTACGGATATAACTACAGTTATTTTTCAAATATCAGAAGTGATTTGGTAGTGAAAACAACGGACTTCGAATCAGTGGATTTCCACCCCATAAATTTCAGTCCACGTATTCATTTTGCAAAAGGAGTGGCTTAAAATCGAGTATATAGAATTGTACTTAGTCACTGAACTACTAATCTTTAAGGCTGGTTGAGTTTCGAAAACCTATCTACCCAGTCAAGTAACTGAAATCGCACCATTTAATGCTTCAAACTGAATCCTTGATGTAAGTTAATCAGAAATTCACCTTGTAGTACAATAAATAATAAACCTCTATTTCTGCCTTTATGTTTTTTACAATCACCACTAATAGGTTATAATGTAGACACTACTCACATTATGATTACTGTAGTTTAACTAACAAAAGCACAAACACTATTCTCAAAACACAGTAATCATATAAACTTTTGAATGTGAATTCCATACAAACAGCAGGCTACTGACTATAAATACTTGAGTAAAATACAAGTAAGAACGAGATCATAAACCGAAGGTTTTTTCTTAGATAAATATAATTTCGTTAGTAATGGTGTATTCGTATGAATAAAATAGATAGTAACCATAATTGGATATTTGACTGCAAAAATATAAGTGCAAAAGACTTGTTATGATCGGGACTGTTCAACTTACTATTGCTGGGTACCATGGTGATCCCAAACATTTGGCCCAGACGATATCTAAAGGACTAAATTGATGTTCCGCAAATATATCCTCTCCGACACTACCCCGAGAAGAGACACGAGATAAAGGACTTCTGATTGGTTTAGAATTGCTAGTATAAGATGTTTCAATATTGGAGGAAACAGACAATGGATCTGTTAAACAGTTAGCTTTTGTATCAAATTGATTATCCAACGGTAAATCAATATGATCTGATCTGTTAACTGATTCAAAACTAATGTTCACAACATCATGCTCTCGTTGGATATTATTTGACTTGATAATGCCAGTTTTCGGTAGAAACTTTGTAAACAATGTATCAAAATCTGATGTCATATGAGAATCATAGAAAGGAACCAATATCGGTGACGGTATATTAAGTTCAGTATTGTGAAGCTTATTGTTAGCGGTAAATTCACTACGTGATGATGGCCGTCTTTTGTGTTTATATTTTCTAATATTAATAGAAGTCTGTTTTGTCTTGAATCGATATGTGGATTTCTGAAAACAAAATACATTTTACTCAATATACAAAAATATGTATCAGAAAATTCTTTATAACATAATAACTAACTCATAAGAAAGTAATCCAGATAATTTAACACGGAGCTTTTCTAAAATATTATTTAAGATCATAAAATAGAGTGAGTGGTGCCAATGAATGACATATAAACGAACAAAGTAGTGACTATAAAACTGTGGTATGGTATAATAAAAAAACAGTGTTTAACAACACTTAGAGTGGATATGAAACTCTTTTATTATTCAAGTAATAACAGAAGTGAAATAACATGAACGTAATCGACAAAGAAGTTATACATCTAGTGGTAATGAAAAATTAATTGAATGAAAGCTTGAAATAAACACCCCTGGTACATTTTATGAAAATATTCTGTTATGGATGAATTATGCTTACAAATACTTTTAGGAAAAAAATCAGATCTCCCTAATAGTTATGTTTATGTTGAGAGAAGATCGTATGTTGTTTGACAAATGTTCTCCATAAATTAATTGAACAAGACCAAGTTCTAGATATATATACCAAAAATTCATGTCTTTAAAAAGTCTATTATCAAGTTAAAAAGTTGATTCACAATAAACTTCAAATGCTTCCATTCATTTTTCTGGATTAGCAATGACACACTAGGTAGAGTTTAAGTAATCTTTCACACCAGATTGGTTCTTTGGTTTATGATATTATGGAAACAGTTGTTCAAGAAAAGTACTATAGTAGTGTAAATCAATCTATAAGCAGAAAAATATCCTAGTTGTGTATGTGCCGACGATGGATGCAACAATTCACCAATCGTTGATTAATGTTATTGATAATTAAATCAGGAAAATACTTTCAAAATACTGACAGGAACGTATACACGGACTTATCCTAAGTGACTAGTCAATTAATTAAGATATTTGAAAACGTAATGAGTTTAATTGTTTTGTGGTTATATATATATATATAAATATATATATATATATATATACATATTCGAATCTTAACCTTTAACAGGTTAATAATATTTGATGCCCGATACGTTACAAATATATCTACTGTCAATGTCTTAATAAGGTATTACTAGAATTAAATAATTTGTAGTACCTAATTGGAGCACTTTTTCGAGAGGAACTAAAACTATTTTCAAAAGACGTGAAACATTAATATAATCCAACAAGAGTTCGATATAAATCGTTTTAAAACTTACTAAGCGACTGAAAGGAGAACGTTTATTAGCAAAAGCCATTCGACTTGTACCAACCAATGTAGTTGTCCTACTAACAATTGTGGATTTCTTATTAATCTCAACTTCAGGATCTTGTTTTGAACGTTGCTGTTGGTAGTGCCTAGAAAGAGAACGATCAGAATCATGACTAGGATTAGGAGTTGAAGAGTTAGTATTCGGATAACCAATACATCCATCATCACTTTCATCTTCATCTGTCTCTTCACTATCATCTTCGTCATCCTCATCATCACCACGTGATAAACGACCTATTCGATAACGTGTAAATGCAGGTCCATTACTTAAGGATATTAGTCCATTCATTTCATTTGTAGACCGAGCTGATTGACGAATTTGCAAACAATTGGATTCATTAGCTGCTAAAAGATTAGAAGGATTCCATTTGCAATTGGTAGGATCGTTGTTCCCAGGCAATTTGATGAGGTTTTCAAAGCAATTCGCTGAATTAGTGTAGGCTTGGGCAAATGCATTTCCAGGAAAATGTGAGTGTAGTCGAGCTAGTTTTGCAGGTTTTCGACAATCTCCATTGTGTAAAGTAGGAGAACGATGAAGTTCCCGATCTCCATTAGTTGATGAAAGACTAAAGAAGACAAAAAGTAGAAACACAAGTCGATTTATTCATTAAATATTAATCAATAAATCTGTTATAGCTTTGTCTGCCCCCAAATGCCCTGGTACGGCAGAGAGTGGGGAGAGTTCGCTCTCACTCCCGAAATGCTCTCATATGGCCAGCGAATATATAGCCTCTGCCAGGGAAGTCCTACTCACTGCCTTCTCGTGGCGGGGGTGCTGTTTACGAAATTGAGAGGACGAAAAGCGAATATCCGGTGCTTTAACCGGGTTGGTGGACAAGGTCAGTCCACCTAGAGGAGTTGGAAAACCCTGATTCCGAACAAGTGGTGCACATGGGCTCCAGTATCATGAGGGAACAAACGGCGTACGAATCAACCGTTGATCACCGGCTACCATGGGACTGCATCTTCTCACGATGCTCCACTGCTTTGTGAATCAGACATTCAGGTAAAAGGCTCTGGGTGTGGCCCCTTAAGAAAACCATCTGCTTCAGTCTGGGCACCTGGGCAGTATCACAGCCCTCACACAAATCGAATGAGATTTGTGTGGCGCATATGTATCTGGTGCTTCCTTGTACCAATATTTATGTGTTTAAATAAATAAATAGCTGTCTGACAGATTTACAAAAGTAGTCTTTCAATTGCGTCAGGTATCTGTCATGTCTGTCACTTTTAAGTCTTCCATGGCCCAGCATTCATGAACACTTCACTCGACCGGTCTCAAAAACAAAACATGACTCAGAGATAAATATAATTTAAATTAAACAACAAAGTTACTTAGTTACATATCAATTAAAATGATTATAATTTATACATGGAGTAATCGTCAATGAAGATACATTGAAAAAAATAGGCGAATCTCATACTGAATAAAAGTCATCAGAGAAAGTTTGCCTTTATCATTTTGTAAATTCTAAAATCAACTCAATAAATGCAATTTTTAGGGATTCTACATCTTCAAAAGTGTCGTGCCTGTTTAGATTACTTAAACTTGAATTTAGTTGTCAGTACAGGGATTGCGGAGATTGCTGAATGATAATAAGGTTACGAGTCGACCTAAGTAAAACAAACATCAAAAACCTGAAGGTAATGGATAGTCATTTGGTTCTAGTATGGGACGCCTCAGAAGCGCCCCAACCACAGGCTATCGAACCCAGTACCTTCCGTCTTGCACACGAGCTGCTAACTTCTATACCATTGAGCCGATATTGATAGGTCTATATGTTCAAATACAATCAATTCACGATAATGTACTACCATCTAACATTGCCAAGAAGTAGGTAATTGTCACACACTCAATAAAGTTGGACTTGCCTGGTCATAGCTCCTTTACTTAAGTTCCGTAGATTTCTTCTCAACGCTAAACGCTAGTGTAGGAGTCTAATACTAGGACGGAAGAACTGAGTAGTGCTTCTAGGTTTTTAATAGTTATCTAAATTAAATAGGTTCGTGATCTCAATAACATTAAAATCTAGTCACCATTCAAGTTGTGAATTAGCTTTAATGACGATTTGTATCTAACTACTTGGGTTAAAAATTGTGCTGACCAGACTTAGGCAACTGTTCTCACTTAAGAAAATATTCCACATTATGCCATACAGAGAAACAGTTCAGTTGTTTTCGAACTGTATCCAGAAATTTACTTGTTGATAAAGCAAAGACAAATATTTATATTAGCACAAATTTTAGTATTTGACAAAAATAAGGCGGAAGTAAACTCTGAACCAAGAAATTAAATGCTGTTTCTTGTGAACGATAAAAACTCATCGATCACGCATAGATAATTTCAATAGTATCTGAGAAAATATACGTTCAATATTCTTGTTCTATTTATTATAGTTCATTAATACTTCAAATGTAGATTCCAATATATCTTCTAAGAATAGTCGACAACTACCGTGATCCATCAACAGAAGTATAAAGACATTATGCACATATTTATATGTAAGCTACATGCAACACTTGTAAGGTGATAATAAATAGTAATAGAGTATGTAAAAAATAGGCAATTTTAGACTAAATATTTGGAAATCCACTAACAGATAAAGTTTAACTTTTGAACGAAAAAAATTACGTAATTCATGATAACATTGCTGAAGTTCTACGCCATATGAAAAGTTAACGCATTTCACAGCTGAGGTTAACAATCACGTTTCTCATGTTCAAGTGGTAAATTAAATCCAACTCTTTCGATCAATTCTCTGTTATTTTATGGGTAAGTGCTGCATATTGTAGTGTAATTCTCAATAAAGATTTCATTTCAAGTGCCTGGAGGAAGACGCAACTGCCCATTATGAGCATATCAGAGTAGAGTAGCACGACATGCAAGATGAAAGTCAGTCAGTCAGTCACAACGTAGAACTTCGTACGTACGTACATCAGTTCGAGTTGCCATACCACATTAGCACAGAGATGCAGTTGTCGATTCAAATCCCATAGTGGTAGAAGTAGTAGGAGTATAATCAGAAATCCAAAAGATTAGGGTTTGAAGAAATTATTGAAGGAGTATAGTACAGTGAAATAAATTTGGAAAGAGAAAAAAAGACATGAGGAATTCAGAAGATTAGAATTTGGTAGAACACAAAGTGTGGATGCATCTTCGCCATTGCAAACAATTTTGAGCCATGTCATTCAAGGTCTCTAACCATCGGTTGCTGTCATCTCGCGAATCCCAACCAGGTAGTCCACACCTACCAACATGGCCCAGTCCACTTGTCAGTGACTTCATTGATTTGTGCCACGTTTTGGTCTGGCCACCCCTAGCTTTCTTCCAACCTACTCCTACACCATGAAACATTGCACGTCGGAGCAGTCGGTGGTCGGGCATACGTAACACATGTCCCAGCCATCTCAACCGATGAAGTTTCACTACTTCATCAATCGATTTGCCATCCCTACCTAGTACTCGTTTCCTAACAACTGCATTACTTACCCGGTGGTCCCAGGATATACGAGCAATGCTTCGAAGACACCTATGATCGAACACTAGTAGCCTACGAATATCCTCTACTCTTATTGGCCATGTTTCACTGCCATAAAGTAGGACGGAGCGAACTGCTGCACAGTAAACCCTTCCTTTGGTTGCTAGACGGATATCTCGCCTACGCCATAAATGACGCAAGTTGGCGAAAGCTAGACGAGCCTTCTGTATCCGTGCTGAGATTTCGTCACATACCAGACCACAAGGGCTGATGAGACTCCCAAGATAAGTGAAGTGGTCTACACGCTCAACTACTTCACTCCCTATCATTAGTTCAGGTGTCGATGCAACCCAATCCTGAAGTAACATTTTGCACTTCGAGGGAGAGAATCGCATTCCGAACATGCCTGCATAGTTGCTTATAGTGGTCAGAAGACTCTGCATGTTGTCAGCGTCTTCACCGAGTAAAACTATGTCGTCGGCGTATTCTATGTCAATAAGTGAGCCTCCTGGTAAAAGTTCAACTCCTGGAGGTTTAGCTGATGAAAGTGCTATCTCTAAAAGTATGTCAATGACAAAGTTAAACAAGAATGGGGAGAGTGGACAGCCCTGACGAACGCCACTTGTGGTAATCAGTTCTGATGACAGTTCGCCATAGGCTCTAACTCGACCAGTTGTGCTCGAGTAGAGAGTCTTTATGAGGTTAATGTACTTCCTTGGTACTCCTTTCAGTGACAAACATTGCCATAGAACCTCACGATCAACAGAGTCAAATGCCACCTTAAGGTCAAGAAATACTACTATTGTGGGACGTCTGAATTTGTGTCTATGTTCTAGAACCTGACGTAGGGTGAATATCTGGTCTATGCAACCACGTCCAGGTCGAAAACCAGACTGGTTTTCTCTAGTCTGCTCGTCACGAGCTTTGGTTAGGCGACCTAGTATTATTGAAGCTAATATTTTAGACACTATATTAGTCAAACTGATCCCTCTGTGATTGTCACAGGAGGACTTTTGTCCTTTCTTATAAACTGGCACAATCAGTGATTGGGACCAGTCAGATGGAATTACGTCCAGTTCCCAGATTCTACCTAAGACCTCAGTCAATCTCACTGCTAGTACTGGACCACCATCCTTAAAAATCTCAGGGGTCAACCTGTCAGGGCCTGCTGCTCTCCCTCGCTTCAGATTTCCTATAGCTTTTTCAACCTCACAGGGGGTTGGAGGACTTACATCAATTTGTCATTCAGGACGACTGGGGATCGTGGATAATTGAAGTGTGGCTGAAGGCCAGTTGAACTGATCCCTAAAGTGTTCTGCCCATCGATCCAACCTCCTGGATTGAGAATGAATAATATGCCCATCTTTATCTGAGATGGTTTCACTGATATTCGGGTTCCTAATACCGGTTTCTTTAACGAGTCTGAATAGCTGCCTACTGTTACCTATTGCCGCTGTCTTTTCCATCTCTCTTGCTTACGCTACCCACCACTGTTCACGATCATTACGTAGACTTCTTATAAGCCTGCGCTTAAGTTGACTCCGCTCTTCGTTATGCTCAGAGCCAGGTGGGATGAGTTTACGAGCATCTATCAGTGCGATAGATGCTGCCGAGATCCATTGTTTCTCCCTAACGTTATGGTTTACCTTATTAGCGGATATCGCTGCTGTTTCCACAGCTTTTCGGATGTCATTCCACGCTGCCTCGGGGTGGACACAACTTACATGGCTGCCTAACTGTTTTTCTAGTTGTTCCTGAAATATATTCTTAGCTTGCCTATCATTAAGTAGAACCCTTAGAGGCTTCCCTGCAGTGTCTTTCCTACGACCAGTAAGACGCAGACAGATACGTGCTCGCACTAGAGCATGATCTGAATCTAAGCATGTGCCCCAGAATGAGCGACAGTCTTCTATCGAGCCCCTCCATCGGTGGCTGATAGCGATGTCATCTAGTTGAGTCCAACGTTGGGACGAATTCGGGGGTCGCCAGGTCAAAAGATGTTTTTCCTTATGCTTAAAGTTAGTATTTGCAAGAAATAGGCGGTTATCTGAGCATAGCTGCAACAGACGGTCGCCATTATCTGTTCTTTTCGCCATGACACCATAAGATCCACACAGGTGTCTTTCCCTTTCACTTAGTTTACCTACTTGAGCATTAAATTCACCTGCTACTATTACTACATCAGAACGCCTAGCTTCTCGGAGAAGGTCAGAAAGTTTCCTGTAGAACTCATCTTTTATATCGTCTGAGCTGCAGTCAGTGGGAGAGTAGGCAGAGACGACGAAGAGTTTCCCTATCTTTCCGGGTCCTTACTGATCCGTTTAGTCGGACAGCGCATAGACGACTGTCTACTGGGATCCAGTCTAAAAGAGCTAGTTCTGCCCTAGGACTTAATGCTATACCTACTCCAGCGAGGCCACGGGAAGCAGCGTCAGGGCTTCCAGATACACGGAGCGTGTATCGAGATGAAACTTTATTTTGATTAGGTGCGGTCAAATGAATGACAATACTCGGATCTTGTATGCGCGTTTCGGAGACGCAGCACACATCGATGGTGTAAGATTCTAGAGTCCTAGCTAAGGAAGCCTGTTGTCCTATTTGCCACAATGTTCGGACATTAAAAGTTCCTATATGTAGTTTAGAGCGTGGTTTCAGGAGACCAGGAATAACGTTCTGTGTACTCGAATCGTTTGCCCTAGCGGTGCGAGGTGATAAAAGGACGTGGGAAGGGTTAGTCGTGGAGATAACAGAGTTATTAGGTGTAGGAAGGATTTGAAAGCGACCAACTTGGTCTTGTGTGCAGTTAAGGGTATGAGGGCTAGTATCACTTCCCGGCTGCCCACACCGTGGAAGGGTATTTCTTGAGGGACCTGAAAAAGAAGTTGGATTAGTGTTGGTCTTAACGACCTGGGAGCGTGACCGCAGTGCCCAAGGGACATCTGCTTGAGGCCGGTCACGCACGGCCTTTTTGTTGGGGATTTTTGACGTGTTAGCTCCGTTCCTCAAAAGTCCTTACCGCCGGAGACGGAAATCCGTGGGATTAGGTGAGATGTGCATTTTTAGGGTCGACCTTTTCTAACCCCACCCCTCCTTGTGGGAAGGCAGCATCGCTGTCATGCTGGTTGTCTGAAGGAAACACCTTACTGCTTTCACACCTCTGTACAGTCAGCAGTACGACTACGCCTTCGGACCTTGGGATTGCTGCTTTTAGTCTCACCGCTCTTCAACCGACCTGTCTGGCATGGTAGGACCTTGAGGAACGATTGTTCCAGCCAGCATAGCTCGATTGGATCATCACGATAGGCAAGCCCGACCACCACGTCAAGGTAGCAGCAACGGTCGGGCAAGATGAAAACACAAATATGATGAAAATTAGAGCTCGAAACGTAACCTCTGATGAGAATTATACTATAATATGTATGACTCAATGACTTCATGAATGGGGAAGTAGGCAAAAGTCAGTCAGGCATTTACAACGTAGGACCAGGCACATATATGCATCGGTCCAAGTTGCCATACCTCATTAGCATAAGGTGAATACCAAATCCATAGAAGTAGCTACTTCAGAAGTAGTAATATGTAAAAGAAGATTGCATATAAGAATATGATACAGGGAGAAAGAATTAATTCGTAGAAGGAAAGGTACGAATTAATTTTAATCACATCACCGGAGGTGATGGAAATAACATACCACATGGACATTGAAAAGGTGACAGTCAACTCCAACAGTATCTCTATTTTTGCCGATCAAATGACAAATAACATCAAGATATAATAAATCTAAACCTGAAATAATTGACCATTTACATGAATGACGAAACTATGATGATATATATTTGTTTTAAAAGAGTAAATCAAATATTAAATAATTGACTACTGTAATCAGTTGTATATATAATGACTGAAGTAGGTAAACAAAAAACAACTTTATTCAACATACCGGCGTTTTCTAGGTAAAATAGATGAGTCCATTACAATGTTAGTAGTATTAGAAGTAGTGGCACTATTTGGTGAAGAAAATTCGAAATTTCCATCTGTAGTGAAAGAAATAGGTGATTGATTTGGTTTTGTTGGTGAATGAAAACTTCTTAGTCGACTTCGTATACTACTAGGAACTGATGAATTTCGATCACAATTAATTAATTCTTTTAAAGGACTATGAACTCGTTGTTCATCCGTTGTTAATGAACATTTAGAAGGTTTTCGTGTGGTGGATAAATGGAGCAATACTGAAGAATTTGTCGGATTTTTTCTACAATTATAATTTGTATTTGATGTATTCACTGATTGTACACAATTTTCATTCGTTTTAGATGAATTTTCAATATTATCCTGATGAGATGATTGTTCATTAGTTTCTGTCTTAGTTTGTACATTTTCTAGAAGAAGTCCAGTTTTAGGGCAGAAATTGATTTGTTTCGCTATTGTTAAGGCTTCAGATATGATAGGTTTACTCTTTAGAATAATAAATACAGAATAGTATACATTTGTAGTGTAAGTTACATTTTTGATTTTCAGGAAATATGAGAGTATATATGGATATGTATCAAAACTGGGGAGAGTTTGGTTTCATTTACTCACCATGTACAGATCCATGTACCTGGGGCTTTAAGCCACACATTGTGTGAAGAATAGTGATACTGTTTAGGCGCCTAAGCTGAAGCAGGTAGAGAGAGACTCGGACCTCCGGCCTAGTGATTGGAAATCAGTTGCTAAAAGTCTCTGGTTACGACAATCACAGGGATCCTAACCAGACAGTCTGTATCTACTTACAATGACTCAGTTTAATAGTCAATAACTTCATGAACTAATACCATGTTTTGTCTTGGCCGTCCCCACCTTTCTTCTAGCTCATTGCTAAAATAACTATCACCGCCTATCGACGTAGGAAGGGGTTGAGCATAAGTAATACATGTCCTGGCAACCTCAATAGATGAAGATTCAACACCTCGTCGATCAGCTGTCCAACTTTACCTAGTACCCTGTGTTTAACACTACTAGTGTTCATTTAGTGGTCCCAATGTTCACGACCAATACTCAGAAGAGATAAGAGGAATATAGAAAACTTGAAACAGTAGCAAGGCTACATATATAGATAGAATAGGAAGTCGATATACATATACACCCTGAAACATAATTGTAACCTCAAAATACTAAGTAGCCATACAATATAACGGAACATCGATTTACTTCCTTTTTTCTAGTAATATTAATTTGTAATCATTTTTATGTTCAAATTAAAGGCTGAAACCAGTCAGTCAGTCACAACGTACAACTTCGTACGTACGTACATCCGTTCAAGTTGCCAAATCACGTTAGCACAGAGGTATAATTGTCGATTCAAATACCATAGTGGTAGAGGTAGTAAAAATATAGGCAGTAATCCGAAAGATTAGCGTTTGAAGAAGTTATTCAAGGAGTATAATCCAATGAAATAAATTTGGAAAGAGAAAAAAAGGCATGAAGAATTCAGAAGATTAGAATTTTGGAGAACACAAAGAGTGGATGGACCTTCTCCATTGCAAACGATTTTGAGCCATGTCATTCAATGTCTCTAACCATCGATTGCTATCATCTCGCGAATTCCAACCGGGTAGTCTATACCTACCAGCATGGTTCAGTCCGATTGTCAATGACTTCATGGATTTGTGCCACGTTTTGGTCTGGCCGCTCCTAGCTTTCTTCCAACCTACTTCTACACCATAAAACATTGCACGTCTGGGCAGTCGGTGGTTGGGCATACGCAACATGCGTCCCACTACTTCATCAATCGATTTGCCATCATTACCTAGTACCCGTTTCCTAACAACTGCATTACTTAGCCGGTGGTCCCAGGATATACGAGCAATGCTTCGAAGACATCTATTATCGAATACTAGTAGCCTACGAATATCCTCTACTCTTACAGGCCATAAAGTAGGACTGAGCGAACTGCTGCACAGTAAAGGCTGAAACCAACAGAACTTGTCAAATGAATCCCAACGTGAAAATAAGAAGAAAATTCACAGCTTTCCACTTTTCTACATATTGATAAGTCAGTTTTTTTAAAAGAAAAAAAAGAATTTAATTAATAAATGCATACATTATTTTTTTTACTTTTTTTTCTAGATGTACACAACTTACTCTTTCACGTAGTTTCATAGCAGCAGCGTAATAAATACTTGTTTCACGATTATATTCAAAACAATTTTCTAACATTAAATTAAAATCTGATAATAATTCATTTATAGTACAATATTCGAAATTTTCAATTTTTTTACGCATTGTAGAAAAATCCATTGGTTTTTTAATAATTAATGAATAGTCTGGTGCTAAACTTGGTTCAACAGGTTCAGCGAAAAATTGATTTGTATCTAAAGCCTATTTTAAATAGATGAATAATAATAATAATAATAATAATAATAATAATAATAATAATAATAATAAAGAATTACTACTGTCGATCAAATTGACTATAATGATAAAAATGGGTCATTTTTGGTGGGGTTAGGTGATTGAAGCGATAATATTTAAGAGTGGATGATATCGGTAATTAAGTAGTTAACTGGATAACGTGCTGTCGATTTAGAGTTGATAAGTAACGAACAAGCATTAGAACATTGAAATCTAAGTTTATCCAGTCGATATCTCCTAGACAGAATGATATGAATATTCTGGACTTCAATGAGAACCACTATCCTTAAAAATATGTGAGATTATGATCATTGCCAAGACAGTTCAATATATATTTCAAGAAATTTTGATTAAAAAGGCTTATGTTTAGATCAGTTAAGAACGTAAAGCGATGTATGGATAGCGGTTATTCGGAATCCTATTTATTAATTTAATTTAATTTAATTTATTTAATTTAATTTAATTTAATTAATAATAATTTATTAATTTAAACACAAATATTGGTACAAAGGGGCACCAAAAAAATATGTGCCACACAAGTCGCTTGATTTGTGTGTGTGGGCTGTGATACTACCCGGGTGCCCAGACCAAAACAGGTGGTTTTCTTAGGGGGCCACACTCGGAGCCTATGACCTAAAGGTCTGATCAACAAGGCAGTGGAGCGACGTCAGGAAATGCAGTTCCATGGTAGCCGGTGACCAGCACTTGGTTCATACACCATCTGTTCCTTCAGAGTACTGGAGCCCATGTGCACCATCGGTTTGGAATCAGGATTTTCCAACTCCCCTGGGTGGACTCACCGTGTCCCCCGACCCGGTTAAAGCACCGGACATCCGTTTTTCGTCCTCTCAATTTCTTAAAGACACTCCTGGAGCGAGAAGGCAATGAGTAGGACTCACGTGGCAGTGGCATTCAACAAAAATCAAAATTTTTATTGAACCAATTCATACAACATTGTTGTATTTGTAACCAGATTTGTAAAAACATATTCATCAGTAACAAATTTCCCTATAGAAATTATAAAATTCTAAAATTTGTTGGAGAGGAATATACTACTAAATGAACAAATCAATTGATTCGAAAAATTTCAATTATGCAAAGATATTTTATAATTATATAGATGAATTATATGTATATATACTTTTTGAAAACATGATCACAATTGATTAAACTTGGTCAGTACTTAAAAATGGAATAATGTAAAGTTAATTAATCACAGATCGATTAATATACAAATTTTAGTTGTACAAACAAAAGAGAAAATTTGTAACCCAAAAAGCTTAAACCACATATTAATATGAATAAAAGAATATTACTTATGAATTAATTCCCATCAATTTTTAAAAGTTCGAATTGATGACCTTAAAAAATATATCAAGTATGAAGTGAATATATATATATATATATATATATATATATATATATTAGATTGTTAGTATAATAGATTTATAAGCGAGGGGGTTTTGTGGAGATTTAGTATTTTCACAGTCGAAAGCGCTAGTCAATTGAAGCTAGACCACCAGGGAAAACCTGGGAAGAACTGAACGACCGTTTCGTCCTATTGTGGGACTCCTCGTCTGTTGTGAGATAGGAACTCACTGAACACAATTAGTGAACGGTTGCTCAACTTCATAGATTGATTGCAGTTAGACATAAACACCATCGGATGCCTGCCGGCTCAGTGGTCTATCGGTTAAATGCTCTGGCGCGAGACTGGTAGGTCCTGGGTTCGAATCCCGCGAGGCGAGGTCGTGGATGTGCACTGCTGAGGAGTCCCATAATAGGACGGAACGGTCATCAAGCAGTGCTTCCAGGTTTTCCCTGGTGGTCTAGCTTCAATTGATTCACGCTTTCAACTATGAAGTTTATAAGCATTTATAAATAATGTAGTGATTATTTGAATCTGGTTATAGATGAGATAAAACAGTAAGAACGAAATGTATATTCCTAGAACATAGGTCAATACATTTTGCTTTAAAAGAGTTCTTGGATAAATGAATTAAAACTATAGAACTTCTTGGAAAATTAAGACAAAGCAAACAGAATACGAAAAGATTTCATAAAAGAAGTATGATTGAAGACAAAAGTAGTAATTTGGGCAGATTCATAGTGGTCCCAGATTCTAATTCGTTTATAACTGACTAATTAATAAACAATATGCATTAATCAATGTTATCTGGTCATATGTAACTTTAATTACAAATAGAGAATAATATAATTGAGAAGTGAACTTTTTAAGTAAATTATTTCTATGATAATTTCTACATTATAGAAATTTATTTGTGATTTATTAACACATAGATTACCAGTCACTTAATAATAGTACTTAATATCCACGGGCTGTAATCGAATTAGTTAGAGTAGATTAAATGCTTTGATTGAAAAGTAAATAACTTAATACTTAAATCATTAAGTAAAAAAATGCAAATATTCTGCATGAAGTCGATATATGAGGCTGTAAATTACATCTACTTTCTGTGTACATGCATATGTAACAAAATAACACTAGGATATAAATGAGTTGGCAAAAGTAACTGTGATACAACTTGTAGCCTATTGACTAAAATTAATTGAATTACCAATCCAAACAATAGATAGATAAAAGACTCCTAGAAACACCAATGCTAGTACAGGCGAATAAAGTAATTTGTCGTTAGGCAAATAGAGGCAATCGGTAGGAAACCCTGAACATAAGCTGTGTCCTAATTAGCATTATTAGGTAATATATCCATTGGCAGACTTAAGACAACTGATGCAAGTTTTAAAGCGAACCCTAATGTAAAATTACAACTGAAGAAATGAAAACTTAACAAAAAATTTTTGAAACATGATTTTCAAACTTAAAGGTTTTGAACAAATTATACGTCTAAGTCTTGTTTGTAATATATTGAATGGTAAGAATAACATAACCGTATAAAATATTTTCACGAATTCGACTGTAGAAAATAAGTGAACAAAAGGTTGCATACGTGGTTTACCACCCATAAAAAGTGAACGTAATTCAATAATACATATACATATATAAATTATTTATCCACCGACTGTGTAAGAGACAATAACAACTTCATGTAAATATATCATGTCTAACTTCTTTCTATACAAAAGATGGAATCCTATGCTCCAAAAGGTAATTTTACGAAATGATCAAGTGAATGAAATTTTGTTCTAAATACCTCATCTCTATAGAAGTTTATTCTCTATATTTAAAATGAAAGCATCTGAAAAATAAGAACAGGCTACTACTGAACCAATAACAGACAATGACCATGACAACTAATTTAAAATACTTTGAAAAAAAAAATTCAGGTTAGCAAGTAAAAATAAAATAGGCGAAATGAATTCAAACACGTAAAACATATACATACAACATCCTTACTTGAAGTTGATCTATAAATCGTAACTGAAATACAACAAGTGGTTTGATTTTGAACTCAATTTCAGTCACAAATAGACGAAATATATCACGTTTAATACGTTCACGTTTACGTATAAGTTCAGACAATAGTCGTCCTCTCTCAAGATCTTGACGTAGTTGTTGCCAGAATTTCAAATGAGCTCTCATTCGATGCGATTCTGCATCTCCAGTTGTAGCCACAACAGCCTATAAATAGAAGAAAATGATGTAAAACATAGGGATAATTTTTTACGAGGAGCTACCGAATCTAGATCAAATTAAGTGGTATAAAAGTTTCAAATGATAAACTATAGTAAAGTGTTTAACTAACTATTGTATTTTATTATAACGATCAGTTGGTGATTGGAGGTAGTCGACAATAAAACCCTAGCACTTATCAGCAGGGTGGATCTGTAATCTTTAGGGAACTGATGCTACCTGGAGAATTGGATCCCGTGTCACTCAGCTTCACAGTTAGAGGCATTATCATTAAGATATTCGGGCATTAACTGACCTGTGGTATGAGAGACGTATTTATAATCGATTGATTACTGAGTAGTGACCAATTTGTCACTAACAGTAGTCTTTAACACATCTTTTGTATTGTCTCTTTACAATAAAACTATCCCTAAGACAAGATTTATAGTAGGACCCAAGCATATTGAAGGGTTATCTTTGTAGAAACATATTAGGAATATATCAGAAATATATAATAAACGACCATTATCTACACTTTAACAGCTCTGTACACGGAGTCACAAGAAAGCCTAATCAAAACTATATGTATAGATGCCAAGTAGAGAAACCTAAGTCAAAATATCTACTTTCCAGAGACATCTGAGTACTGACAGTTGGTCAAGCAAATAGATAAATGACCGGAGTAATGAAACGAAGTATACTGGAGTAAAAATAATATCTTTTTAAAAAATTTATTCTAAGGATGAAGAAATTTCGGACAGAATCAAAACACAAACTAAGTGAGGCACTGAGAGGATCTAGTCACTAACTAGCTATTTTCAACTGTATTGCTTATATCACACTCACCCTAATAGTAATTAACAGGCAAATAATTTTAATTAAGGCTCTTAGGAAATCTTGAGAAAATATAAAATTAAAAACCATAAACATATCTTCAGAAACACGATTCCTAATCCCAGATTACGAACTATCAGGATCTATATCAAATGTATCTGTCTAATAATTTAGAATTATGTTACAACTTTTTAATCCCCCTTTTAACTCCTAATATTATTTTCCGAGATAGTATACTGCTCTTACTATTTTCTTGCATTCATGTACATCAAGATGTTCTCTATTCCTAAAAATCTATCCCTGCCACTTACACAGTTTATGATATTATCCTATTAATTTGTGAATCTGTAGCTCAGCGAACTAAGTTCATTTAACTTCTAACCATTAGATATAAGGTTTGGCTGTTCTTCCCTTTCATTACTTTAGTTATCAGATAATAATACATAAGAAATCTAACTTAAGGTATATTAAACAAGCCTAGAATAGGTAGTTGAATTGTATTTTATAATAAACATATGGTAATGCAAAAGGCTAATATTATAAGTGTGAGTACAGTCACTGGTATACATTCGAACACGTTTTTACCTAATATGTGTAAATCATAATGTAAGCTTCAAAACAACCATATGAAAGTTTCTTCCCACAAAATTTTGAATTATAGTGATTCTTTTCTACAGTCAGTGACATTATCACGTAAGTAGAATCTCTCATCTAAGGTAGAGTGTGAAACAATCATCATTATAAATTGTTAATAAGTTTCATGATTCTCAGTGAATATATACGGTACAAATGTCTTTTGGATTACATTTGAAGTATATTCAATAATTAATAATTATGAAATAACAGACAGAAACTGATGAACAGTAGTATTATAATCACAACTTACAAAATTAGCAGCACTTCTGTGCAAAGAACATGCCTGAAGTCGTTTAAGTAATGGGACACCACGTCTAAACTCTCTTTTGAGCTTCCAAAATGCATAAGTTTGCTTTAAAAACTCCATTTTATCTCCTGATACACCAGATAATTTGGATAGAATAAGCTGAAAACAGGAGCCAACAGAAATTTAGAAAATACTTGTAATAAGGCCAAGGTATTCTAGAAATATAACATATATGCAATAACTAAGCCAGATAATTTCCATTGGTAATGAAAACTGACGAAATCGAAATGTTGGGTGCTGTCCTGTTCACAATTTGTATTCAAATGACAGTTCGTAAAATTCCGAACATTAAAACCTAGTTGTTATTTACACTGTCAATAAATAATAATCATCACTTAATAATAACATGTTGTGCAATGAATCAGAACTATAGAGGAAATCAATAAATAATAACAGTATCTTGTTGTATGATATCATTAACTATGAAGTCGTTTCAGTAGACTATAAATCTAATATAAAAGTGTACAGCTTCATTTTACTGGACCACATTGTAATAGATCATATTTAATAGCTAGATATGCGAGTGAAAAGTTGATAAACGCATTTAATTAAGAATTAGAAGAAAACCTCGTCAGTTTAAAGCAATGATCGTGGATGCTTTTATTAAATGCGACACTTAATAAACCTAGAAATATGTGTGTATTTCATAAACACCAGATGTGCCGTAGTTCCTTTACACTAGAATAGTATTAAATAGATGATGATCAAATTTAACGGTGCTATAAGTTTGATTGTTCCCCCTTCAAGACTCTGGGACAGTAGGAACACTTGATTTGACACAAAATGCCAGCTCTGTTAAACTGTACTCATTACGTTTATAATGACACCGAAGTAGTTCCCAACTAATAAAGTTAAAGAGATAATTCAATAAGAATACTGATATGATAAGACAGATATATGTTATTATATATATTCACAATAGTCTTTACATGTTTTTTTATTTATGTAAGCTGGTTGCAGTCTAATTCTATTTCATTTATCGAAGTAAAGTAGGAGTGGTATAATAAATCTTCATACGATAGGCTTAGCTCCTGACTCAGTAAACAAGCCTATACGTTATTGCTGATTGACATTATTATTATTATTATTATTATTATTATTATTATTATTACTAAAATACAGTTTTTTGAAAAAGTACTTTGATCAACAACTTACATCTATTTTTGCTTTAGATACTATGGGAACACAAACAGATGGTTTAGAATTTCTACGTTCGGCTAAAATTTTACGAGCTTTCCTGAGATGAATTCGAGCTGCTCGCTCAGGAGATTGAGGACCATCAGAATCAGAATGAGCGTACATTCCTTTGTTTGAACTCTAAATATGATTATCCAAAACAAAAGTTGGAATAATAATAAAAATTTACTACAGTTAATAGAGTTGGAAATCTGAAGACAAATATGAATAGTGAGATAAAAGTGAATAGTTAGATAGTTTATTCTTGGTAGTAGCAATCTAATTGGTTAATTAACGCGTCTACATTAGTTCATTAATTTACGAAACAATATAGTAGGGAATAGAGAAATAAATTATTAAAAAATGACTAATAGCTAGTGAAAGATATGGTTCTAGTGAAAACATAGTTGGAAAGGTGTGTTTTATTATTCAGAAAATCGCCCAGTACAAAACTCCAACAAGATCTTCATTCACTTTCACTTTGAATAATATTTCATAATGTCCCACGTCAGAGTTTTACTAACTCCAGTATCCTATTCCGGGAGTTTTAATGAACCACCACTCACCGAACACATTTGTTATCTATTTCGCTGCATCATGTAGCAAGTTGATCAAGTCTTTCCCTTGGAAACGAAAAGCAATTTTTTAGGTCCTATTCTGTTAGTGTATTTGTCTATTACTTTCTACTAATTTATTCGAACATAAAATAAATGCTAAAAATCTATAAAACACCAACATCACAGTCTTCTATTTACACCATCTGAAAATGTTTACAGGAATTTCGTGACCAAGCAAAATTCGAAATTATTGATCCCTCCAAGTGTTCCAGTTAGCATATAAATCATCTGTAAGACGCGTTAGAGGTGAAATCGTATGCCGTTATCATAATTACTATACTATCGAAGTAAATATATTACCACTATTATTATTTAAACATTTTAAGCCTTACCTACAACTCATAAAATTAAATAAAAACCGTAAAACAACGTTAAAGATCTCAATAATAAAGGGAGTATTTAATTAACTAGAGATAATTATACAATACGATGACACTCATAAGAAGGGTTAACACACCGATAATCATTAACACAATTTAACACAAGATTATTCATTCAACTGGGCAGTATCAAACTTAGATTGTTATTCTATCATTTAGAAATTGTTTGATTATCTAGATAAAATGAGACTTCCTTAAAAGAATCACCTAGAAGTTTGATGACTATAGTCATCATTATAGTGGTAATCAACATTAATTCTAGACATAATTTTAAACAAACATAATGCGAGCAAACTTACAGAAAAGTGATCCGGCGGACAATGTTGATCGCAAAACGCACTCTTTCGGATTCCTAGATCTCCAGGATCATCTGTATGCTCAATTTTCATATACAATCCAGCATGCTGTGCACATGTCACATGAAATGCTCGATAACAACTAGATTTATGACACTGTATACAAGCACCAACATTGCGTTGTTTACAAATGAAACACTGAAGACGCCATCTACAGAAAATGAAGATTATTATTGATGTAAACAAATTAAAAGCTCTAATCCAATATAAAAATAAAACTGAAGGCAATTGCGTTAACAAATGTTATTTCATCTAAAATTCCGAGTTTAAAAAATTGGGAACTACCTCTAAATCTGAAGATATTACAGAACGAACATTCAGCTAGTCCTATTGGGCAACACTAAATTCCCTCCTAGAAACCTATTTTTTAAAACCTTTATTGAAGCTATAGGTCATTAAACTAGACTTTTAGTCACCATATCTGGTAGACCAACACTGATACAAACTTACGCCTGTTACTCCTCGTGAAGAAGCATAGGACGCACACCAGCATTCCTCATAGAACTCTGTCTTGGGCAATCATTCCCAGTTGTCATTCATTCTTTTGATGTCTGCTTCCAATTCTTTAGTCTTTTTTCCCCGTTTCCTTCAGGATTCCAAGTTAGTGTTTGCTTCGTGATGCAGTTTGGTGATTTCCTCAATGTATGTCCTATCCATTTCCAACACCTTTTCCTAATTTCCTCCACAGTTGGAAGTTGGTTTGTTCTCTCCCACAGTAGGATTTTGCTGATGGTATCCGGTCAACGGACATTTAGTATCTTTCTTGAATGGAAAGTTGTTTATAAATACTTGTACCATTTTGATGACGGTTGTGGTAGTTCTCCAGGTTTCAGCTACGTACAGTAGAACTGTCTTGACGTGCGCATTGAAGATTCTCACTTTAAAGTTGGTTGACAGTTATTTTGAGTTCCAGATATTCATCAGCTATAGGAATGCGGCCCTTGCTTTGCCAATCCTTGCCCTTACATCTGCATCAGATCCTCCACATTCATCGATGATGTTTCCCAGGTACGTGAAAGTTTCCACATCTTCCAGAGTTTGTTCATCAAGTGTTATTAATTTGGTTGGTGTTCTCCGTGTTGTATTTAAGGATCTTGCTTTTTCCCTTTGTGCATGTTGAGGTTGTTTCTACACTAGCTGTCTTCATTGGCATTTGTTCGTATGTATGGGATAGAAGGACTAGGTCATCTGTAAAGTCCAAATCTTCTAGTCGATTCTGAGCTGACCATTTTATTCCGTGATCCCCCTCGGATATTGAGGTCTCGATAATCCAGTCGACCACCACAAGGAAGAGAAAAGGGGAGAGTAAGCAGCCTTGTTTGACTCCAGTCCTCACTTGGAATGTATTCATCACTTGTCCTTCATGAACCACTTTGTAGTGTAGCCCGTCGTATGAATTTCGGATGATTTTGGAGATCTTCTCAGGTACATCATAGTGTCGAAGAAGGTTCCATAAGGTTCTCCTATCTACACTGTCAAGTACTTTCTCATAATCAAGGGAGTTGATGTATAGTGACGAGTCCCACGCAAATGAATGTTCGACGATGAACCGTAGTGTCGCGACTTGGTCTGTACACAACCGATCCTTACGGAAATCGGCCTATTGATTATTAACACATAATGAAGTGATTTTCCATGTTTAAGAAAACTACGGCCAAAAAAGCGTTTGGTCTAAAATTAAGATTACGTGAAATGGAAGTAAGGAATCTGATATTATTGTCAAAAAGCCCACTATCTACTAACGAAATTCACAGACCGAAGTAACAATAAGGGAAAAGTATTATAAGTTTTTATCCAACGACAACACAGTCAATCCAGTGAAATGACAGTTTCAATTGCATAAACTAGCAAGATTTGCTGCATAATTTGTAAAATTTTAAGTTGCTCAAAGTATTAAAATAAAGTTAATAGTGCAACTTTGTGAAACTATAATTCTTTATTAACCGGTACAAAGTGCAAACCATGGTTTTAGAGTGAGAAACTGAAAATTTAAAGATTAGAAAGTAAAAGTAGAACACAAAATAAAGAGGTAAAGAGTTAATTGGAAATAAAAGAGGAAGCACTTACGTGTAACGGTAACGTGTGACGGCAATTCATGTTTTAACACTGGCCATGCTGCTTAACTTAATGTATTGAACGAAATGAAAGAATTTATGTGAAGAGAGTGACAAATATACTTTTAGGAAGTTCTAGCTATTTCAAATCTTGTATATTTCTAAGAGAGCCCCCAAATGCTCTGGTACGGCCGAGGGTGGGAAGAATCCGCCCTCCCTCTCGAAATGCTCACATGGCCATACATATACAGCCACTCCCAGGGAAGTCTTACTCACTGTAGTTGGGAAACCCCGATTCCAAACCAATGGCGCACATAGGTTCCAGGATCAAGAGTGAGCGAATGGCGTATGAACCAATTATCGGTCGCTGGGTACTATGGAACTGCATTTCCTGACGTTGCTCCACTGCCTTGTGGATCAGACCTTTAGGTCGAAGGCTTCGGGTGTGTCCCCCTTAAGAAAACCACCTGTTTCGGTCTGGGTACCCGGGTTGTATCACAGTCCACACACAAGTAAAGTGAAATGATAATTAATACTATGAATACTGTTCTTGCTTCAATTAAAATTTAGGCAACTCACATCCATTTGATAACATACATTTGTATTTTTATTTTTGTATATGCTACGTCACTTATCTACTCTCTTCTATTCTCACTTTGTGTGTTCTTATTTTTCAACTTATACAGCAGTTCTTCTATGGTGGAAACCCTGTCCTATCTAAACGATCTCGAGTCACTGACTGGTCGAAAGTTGAATGCTACCGCCGAATACGAATACTGAAACAGTTTTTCTGAAACCACGTGCACCATTCAAACTGGCTTCCTTCAACGTTCGCATACTAATGCAGATCGGACAACAGATAGGAATGGCTATGTCTTTAGAAAGTCTTAATATCGACGTCTGTTGTTTATCCGAGACCTGTATTCAAGACTCTGGTGAAGTCCTACAAATTCGCTCTCTATCTGTCACTTCGAAAAGCTTGTTTCACGTGAGTTTATCCGGGGACCCTGTGGCGTTTTCGCCTGATTTTGCTAGTGTTAGTGTCCCACTAAGAGCCAGAGCTGAGGCAGCACCAATCGATTGGATACCCATTAACAGTCAATTATGTGCTGTTAGATTAGAAAGTTCTATCAAATTAAGAAGAAATCGGTGTGAGAAACGATGTCTTTTCGTCATCTCTGCCTATGCTTCGACAGATTGAACACGGATGCCACCAATGATGAGTTTTACCACCAGTTTACAGTTCTTCGACAGAACGTGCGTTCGACAGATATTGTAGTACTACCCGAAGACTTGAATGCTTAGGTTGGGCGTCTAAGCACGGAAGAGAGTCGCTTAGGTGGCTGATGTGGACTTGTTGGTTTCAGGTCAGATAACGGGGACCGTCTATTGCAACTGTGCGCAGACCAACACCTGTTTCTGGCTGGCACCAACTACCAGCATAATCATCGCCGATGTGCCCCTGGCGTCCTCCCTACACATCTCAAGCTTAAACCCAGACTGATCATATCGCGATCAGCCAGGGCTGGCGTGGTTGTGTACAAGACTGCCGCTCCTTTTTGAGTACCTATCTAGACTCTGATCATGCCCTTGTTTGTGCTAATTTTACCTTAAATTTCAGTGATCAACAAACTCATCGTCCTAAATGGATCGATGTCAGTAAATTGGTTGAAACTTCTGTTGCAACTAAACATCAAACCGAGCTAGATTCAAGGCTAACTAACATCCCACCGAAAAGTATAGGTGAGCATTGGATGCAATTGCATGACACCATGAAAATGACGAGTGAAGTCGCTTGTGGTTTCGCGAAACGTTTCGCTTATAAGCACTCATTGAAGCCTGTCAGCCTACTCCAGGTGACCGTGAGTTCGATCACAAACGACGACTGTTACGTAATGAAATCGGGAAAAGCTTGTGTAAGGACAGAGAAGCCTGGTGGTCGGAGCGTGTCAATGAGTTGAAGGCAGCAGCTGCATCTGGTAACTGCCGGGAGCTCTGTCAACTCATCCAAGATACTGGCAGCAAGAAGTCTGGTGTGAGTGAAACAATCTGTGAAGATGACGGGATACCAGTCACTAACATCGACCGAAGTCTTGGACGATGGGCAGAGTTTTTCGAGGGGCAGTTCAACTGGTCTGTTGCCCCCCATGGCCTGTGACGACTGATCCACCAAATGAGGCGGAAGTCCGCAAGGAACTCCAACTTTTGAGGCGCCGCGAATCACCAGGCCCAGATGACTTACCTCCGGCTCTTTTTAAAGATGGTGGTGACTTTCTGGTTAAGAAACTAACTGAGAAGAGAATATATAACAGTGAAAACTCACTCAACATGTCAAGGTAACAGTATCGGTAGGGAAGTATCCATAATAATAACAGTCAAGTCAACAATAATAAATAATCCATTTCCACAAGCTTATTTATGACTGAAAATCAACATGTTAACTTGTACATTAAACCAACCTGGCTGCAGCAATTCTGTCGATGCCTTCAAGCGGTTCAAGGAATGTCAGATTAGCAAACATCACTTCAGGTACCCATAACCCACATATTACATGAGCCCATCGGTCATCTGTCGTTTTTTTGAAGGCACCGCCTCTATTAGGACAAAGGACACATGAAACTGGTTCACTCGGTGAGTGAAGGCATTTACGACACAACCAAGGACCTTCAGGGACATAAGGAACTCCATAACATTCCTAAAAATAAAAATGGAACGAGTTCTGGTAGTAAACATAATCTTAACTAAGCACATTATTATTCGCATGCCTGAACACTATTACATAGAATTAGGATGTGGCATATTGTCTCTATATCTTAAAATATTTCAATATCTAGTTTAAAGGAGTAAGGGGACGAGAAAAGTTATTTTGTGATAATAAACCTAGTGACTATCAGTTATATCAATATTGAGTAACGAGCCAATTTGACAACTGTAAGTGGTTATTGAGATATGTATTTATTTATTCCATTAATTTTAGAGTCTTAACTTACTGAAATGTTTGGGACGCGACTTACATATTTTCAGCGACAGACCCAGGGTCCTGAGGGAAAAAATGGAATATGAACCTATTCTTGGTCACATAATTTCAATTCATTCATTTATTTAGATACAAACATTGGTACAAGGAGGCACCAAGATATATATGCACCACAAAAAGTAAATATCATTCAATTTGTGTGTGAGCTGGAATACTGTCTGGATGCTAAACCGAAGTAGGTGATTTCTTAGTGGGCCACTTCCAGAGCCTTTGACCGAAAGGTCTAGTCCACAAAGCACTGGAGCGACGCTAGATGGGATTCCATGATATCCGGTGACCAACTATAGATTCATACACCACTTGTTCCTTCAGGATCCCACAACCCATGTTGGTTTGGAGTCAGGGTTTTCCAACTGCCCTAAGTGGATACTCCAAGGGCAGTCTCTCTCAACCCCAGCCGTATCAGGTTATGGAACCGCATCTCCCAACGTTGCTCCAGGGCCTTGTGGATTAGAACTCTCGATCAAAGGCTCGGACAGTGGCCCACGAAGAAACCATCTGCTTCAGTTTGGGCACCCGGGCAGTATCCCAGCTCACACACAAATCGAATGATTTTTTTTATGTGGTGCATATATATCTTGGTGCCTCTTTGTACCAATGTTTGTGTTTAAATAAATAACCATCATTGGCGATGTTTCTTGGTGAAGTAATACGTCGGAGAAGAGGTAGCGGTGGTCAAATCAAAAAGTGACATCAGTTCACAGAGTCTTTGATTGCTAATTTGACCCATACTGGTAAGTGCAGACTAACTGGTTGGGGCCCAGGCGATTGTCATGGTAAATGGTTGGAGACAACAGGTGGAATGATTCAGAATCCGCCACAGTAGTGCAAATATATCTTCTCTTTATTTTCCTTTAAATACTGAGTCTCCAAATTATTTTATACCTTTAATTCCGCGAATTAGTAATTCTTCTCGAATTATATTCTCTATACCTAATCTTTCTTTTAATATCACTGATATTACTAATTAGATATTCATCCTGACAATTTTGCATCGTTTTCTTATGAGATGTGGCAACTAGAGCAAATGAACATAGGCCCAAAGTTGATTGAAGACATTATAAAACCTAACTGGCATACTAACATGTTATTATACATATTCATAGATTTCATTCCAAATAGTTAAGGATAGTATAAGGTTATAAAACTAATAAATACTGCTCCCTAATGAAGGTAAAGGAAATTTTTAAAGACAATTGCTTACCTAGTTACCAGAACACATATTTGAAGAGTTCTGCAAGTTATCAAAGTAACAGTAACAAAAAGTTACCTACTCACTATTAAAGAATCACTAAAGACAGTTCCTAACGAACATCGAAAAACAAAAATATCTATAAAATATAGTTAAAAAATTAAGGTTAATAACTAAGAAGCCATCAGAAAGTGAAGTTGGAAATTTTAATCAACTATTTGGATGAAGATGAACACGAGACAATTAAGAGTTCGTTATAACATGAAGATCACCCCCCACAAACAACATATATGCGCCACTGCTATAGTGTAAGTAAATGTAGTTTCTTGTTTCGTATAGTTTATTGAGTACAAATAGGTTGATCCATGATCATAAGGAAGCAATCAAATATGAGCGTATAATCTTATTTACTGAACTAAATGTCCCCAAATCATTGGATACTTAGATAATTTTAAGAGTACATAAACTTTAGCGAGTTAACAACTGGCAAAAGAATTTAAGCGCATTAAACGCAGTGACTTTATCATAATGCAATGAAGTGGACACAGGTCCGATGAAACAGACAAAAATTTAAAATGGAAAGTGACTATAACGTACCTGATGTACGGCTAAGTTGCAAACATCACAAAATAATATAACATTTGTATTTTCGCAGGTCCCATCTTGACATACAGCACATACAGCATCTTCATCGATAGCTGAATGGTTGCCGCCAATATCAGGCAAAACATCTGTTGTTTCACAACCATTCGAAGTAAACAACCGGAATCTGGCCTTTTTTTCAAATCTGTCCATAATCCACTCCAGAGTAGATTCAGAGACAGGTGGTAATGATAGACTATTGCGTTTAGCATTGATCCTTTTAAGCCAAAAAAGATCCTATGCAGAGTAAAAAGTTAAAACCACATGTAATGACTAGATCGAAGTATTAATATTTAAAAGTTAGATATTTTATTGATACAGATCGTCCAGACTTACGAAAGAAATGTTAACTGGGTTACGGTAAAATATCTGCAAAACCATGCAAAATTTTATAGCTTGATGTAGCTTTTTGCGGTATCAACAATGATACTGTTTTGCAATACCATCTTATACCATGGAGCGGTAGGATAGTGGTAAAGTCATTTGACTTTCAACCACTAATACTTAGGTTCAAGCCCTGCTTTACCTACTTCGGCAGCATTATTAGCCTTTATATCTAGTGTGGCTCATACTCAATTACCCAGGGAATGAGTTGATCCAACTTTTCAATCTATGTATCATTTACACAGCCCTTTGATGATAGACCTCTTTGGCAATTGAAGAGACTATGTAACTCTTACGTCAGTCTTATTTCAATTATGCTAGAAAGTAGGATGGTTAAAACCACTCTGTTTGATTTTGTTCGGAATAATTATCTTAGCATAGTACTCAACATTGGTTAACGTAAACAATACAGTCACTTCAAGAATTTATTAAGATGATATTCTAAAAATATTTACTTTAATAAAACTAGGTTTACTTGACATTATATTATATGGGAGGGAAAACAAAATACGTCATCGTCAGATCAAATTTACTATAAGATCCCAAGTGCACACTTTAAAATAGATTTGAAGGGAATTAGAATTTCTAAAACAATGACCGAGATAAACATGAGATTTTTTAAACATACAAATCAATAACTTGTGGTATAAAACAAAATGATGATCATTACTGATATTTATTCACGAGTAAATAAGAACCTGATTGGTCTTTATCCGTATGTTAGCCTATTATGAGGATAGATAAATAATACAGTTGACTTTTATGATATTAAAAACAGCTACGAATAACAACAGAATTCATAAAGGATCCCTTTTCCTATTAAGTGTTTGATGTTATTTGTATCCTGATATAAAGTTTTCACGCAAAGGATTTTTCTTGTGGAGAATCGAGTAGTTGAAAAATATATGTAAATCAGCTTTTGAAACTGAACGTTTCCATTAACACAAAATATATTTACAAATACAGACAAATATCGTGTTTACCTCCTCATCTAAATCATATTCAACAACCTCATCCAATTCATCTGATGTCTTTTCAATAAAACGAATATAACTTGAACCTTCTTTTAAACGAATGGACTTTCGAATAGAAAATTCTGGATCAATTGAATAAACCGCTTTTGGTATCTCAATGATATTGTTCACTTCTGTTCCATTTGTATAGAGAGAGCCTTTCCCACCTAGATCAGACTGCTGTTTATCTGAAATTTGTCCACTTTTGTTATTCTTAATGCGACCCTTGTTTTTGTGATGAGGCATTTTGCTTCTACTAGATGGCTGCTTTTTGTTAATTGGGATCCCTTCTGGCTTAGATAGCTCTTGCGTTGAAGTGCAGGAATCGTGATCTACCTTGTTTGATATATTTTGCAAGCAAATAGTAAGAGGGACGCATATGTTACAGCGAAACGTGTGACCTTTGGTAGCTGGGGAAGCTTCGAAAACCACAGAAGTATGAGCATCAGTGAAAGTCATAGGGGTTTTGCTTTGTTGTTGACATAAATTTTCAGTTGGATGAGCAACAACAATCGGTGCCTTTTCAAACTGATCAGAACCATTCTCTAAAGCAGGTGCACATTTAAAGTTGCTAGAAACTTCGCCATTTACAAGTGGTCCAGGAATATCTATTGGAGCAGGAGGGCGATGGAGAAGCATATGTTTTTGCATATAGTTGTATGACCTGCAAACTTTCTGGCATGTTTCTGATGGACACACAAAGGGAGGTTTGTTGCCCTGAATTCTTGAGAGGAAGTCATCAATATCAAAGTCAACGGGATGGTAAACCATCTAGAAAGGAAAAGAGCTGTTTCAAGAAACAAAAACAAACCATTGGAACATGACATTTAACATTCCTACGAGAGAATGGGCTACTTACTCTACGGTATTTAAACAAAAAAGGTGCATAAATGAAGGGAATACAAAAAGAATAGTAGCAATTTAATGACAGAAAAGCAAGTAGTGAAAAAATGTTGAATAGCTAAGTATTCTTTGACAGTTACAAAGACGTCAAACCCTTGGTTCGAAGAGTTCAAAAATGATATATAATGAGGTTATAACTACCGGTTCATGCACTTGTACAATTGTGTTCATTTACATACTAAACCAATCAAGATCTAAAGCCAGACATTTCAGACAAAACAGAACATTCACGATGCCTATATAACTACAAGATTTAAATCACCAACCAGTGCCTCTGTAAACTGTTTTAATTAATATATTTATTGACATGCGTCAGTGCCTGAAATAATGAGTGAAGTAGTTGGACGCATCGATCGCCTTATCTATTTCGGGGGTTTCTTCAGTCCTGATACTCTGATGTCTGACAAAATCTCGGCAAAGATTCGGAAGTGTCAACTGGCTTTCGCCAACTTGCATCACTTATAGCCTAGGTGAAATATCCATCTTACAACCAAAAGGAGAGTTTACTGAGCACCAGTTTGCTCCGTCCTACTTTACGGGTATAAAACATGCCCATTAAGAATAGAGGATATTTGTAGGTGACTAGTATTCAATTATAAACGTCTTCGAAGCATCGCTTATGTATTTTGGGATCACGGAGTAAGCAATGTCTGGGTTAGAAATAGGGTACTACGTAAGGATGGCATATCGATTGATGCGGATGTACATCTTCATCAACTGAGGTGTTTGGGACATGTGTTAGGTTGCCAAACTACCGCTTACTACGAATAGCGATGCTGTCTGGTGTAGGAGCAGGCTGAAAGAAAACTAAGGGTGGCCAGAACAAAACATGCCATCAGTCGATGAAGTCAGTCAGTCAACAACAATGTAGAACTTCGTACGTGCGTACATCCGTTCAAGTTGCCATATCACGTTAACACAGAGGTATAATTGTCGATTCAAATACCATAGTGGTAGAGGTAGTAAAAATATAAGCAGTAATCCGAAAGACTAGCGTTTGAAGAAGTTATTCAAGGAGTATAATCCAGTGAAATAAATTTGGAAAGAGAAAAAAAGACATGGAGAATTCAGAAGACCAGAATTTGGGAGAACACAAAGATTGGGTGCACTTACACCATTGCAAACGATTTTGATATATGTCATTCAATGTTTTCAACCATCGGTAGTCTATACCTACCAGCATGCCTCAGTCCTTGTCAGTGACTTCATGACATAAGTCCATGAAATCAATGACAATTGGACCTAGCTACGTTACAGATGTAGACCACCTGTTGCGGTCGTGTGGCGCATATATATCTGGTGCCCCTTTGTAACAATATGTATGTGTTTAAATAAATAAATAAAATGTTGCGGTCCATGTAATTATCGTTACCAATCGTCAGAGGCTTTGAAAGACATGGCTCCAAATTGTTTGCAATGGCGAAGGTGCATACATTCTTTGTACTCCTTCAAATTATAATACTTTGAATTCCATAGTAACTTTTCATGCTTTTATCTCACTGATCTATATTTTATTGAATCGTATCATTGATGTTTAGTCTTTCCAATCAACATTCATACGGTTAATACCTCTACTATTCTAGGATTTGGTCTGACACATCCCTCTATGCTAATGGTGCATGGCTACTTGAACTGATGTACATACATACCAGATTCTACATTGTTACTGGCTGAACCTATTTCTACTTCTTATCTTATACAATCATAGTTCAACCAGCATGAGAAACCAAAGCAAACAGTAACTCGAAGTGCATAGTATAAACGAGGCTTTCAGACCTGTGCTGAGATTTCATCAGCAACAAGTTGATCGGGGTTGGCGTGACAGCCTAGGCAAACAAATATACATATTTCATACACCCGGATTCCTTGGTAGATTTAAATAGAGCAAGAACAATAAGGTTTTCAGACCTTGTTGTTCTTACTGTTTCAATATAAATATCGTAGGATCTTGTAGGTATGTACATTGGTTCGTAATACCACGCTTCGAAACAGCACACAGAGAGAAAAAGTAAGGAAGAGGAGATAACAGTGTCAACAGTAGTTGAACTACAAACACTAGGACCTTGTATAAGTTCCGACCAGAAGACAAACAGTGGATGCACTTTGCCAAAGCAGATGATCTAGGATAATGCTCCACAGGGTCATCAAAAACAGACCACAACTATTTGACTGAGTCTATTTAGGTTTAAAAGTTAGTGAAGTAATCTTTACAACGTGATAATGAACTTTAAATTCCTAATTGCCGGTACAAATTAGTTAGGGGAAAGTATTGGACATTTCCGCAACTAACAAACTTCCATATTTGTAGATAAAATCAACAATAGAATGATTACCTATCATTGAAATCACTGAAAGAGATAAATTTGGCGATATTTTGAGAAAAGTTCTTCGTTTAATGTTAGATTGAAAATCCTTCAAGAAAGACTACCTTTGTACATGTTACAAAAAGGACAAGCAGGCGCTTTTCTTTTTAAGGCTCTTCAGAAACGAGAGCACATTCTTTGGCCTTTAATGGAGACAGCTATCTGCTGTAAATGCAGCTAGTAACATAAAAAGCGACTTTCGAAATAATATGAAACCCAAGGATAATTTGAACTATCCCAGAGACATTAATATCTGTGGAATCAATCGCGCAAACTAAAAAGACCGTTGAAAAACAAACACCTTGTTTTCGGATTCCAATAACCAGGGAGTAATACCCTGTTACTAAACATATTTTGCTACTAATGCACAACTTTGTATTAAAATCACATTTAGAGCCTAATTTCTCCAAACTCATTATATCGAATGGACGGAAAGTCTTTGACCTAGAGATGCTTTGTGCTTTTTACACCTGAATCTGGTCACGAACAATAAAAGCTTTAAGAACTGACCTTTTAAATCCCATGAGACCATATGTTCAATAAGTACCGCATGAGTTCGCAAATGCCGCTTCTGAAGGAAGAAGTAACTTTCCAATATACACTTTTTATTAAACGATCAGTTGTGCATCAAATAAGAAAGACTGTTGCTTACCAAACTTTTCATTTAGAGCTAATTCTTCGAAAATCGATGATCCAAGATAAAGACCTGGTATCTGACAGATAGGACTTAATAAAATAGCTCGGTGGCCGAAAATATTATGTATATTCGATGAGAGATTAATAATCATGCTTTAGGATTGTAGTAAAAATACCCGATCAAATAATCCAAGATTTTGACCAAGCTGTTCTGAACCCATCGGTATTCATTAAAAATATTTTCAATAAGAGCATATGCCTTTATACTGTTCATTATCATAACTCAATCAGTGGTCTTACAGACGTCACTTATTAACTCTGTAGAACGAATTCAGAAATCATCAGAATTGGCCACAGGAACATACATTAAGGCTGGGAGAACACGATTCCTCTGACACTACAGACTCATCTTTCCAGATTCTTTCACCTGACAACAGCCTTTGGGGGTTCTTTTGCAGCCAGAAATGAATGTCATATTTCCCTTGATATTAAAGACCGGTAAACTCGCAAGCAAATACTCGGTAAAAGTGTTCTCGAAATCAAATAGGGCAGAATTAGTTATAAGCCTCTTTTAATCAAGCCTGTGAAAAACAAAATTAGACTTTTCTTCAACATCATGAAAAGAAAGTCACATTTCAAGGTGGATTTTCTGAATCCGGATTTTCCAAATACAAAAGTTCCAAAACTCGATCTTGTTTAGTGATTAGCTAAGGTCTCATAACATGGTTACTTCTAATGAGGCACACTGGTACCTTGGAATCTCCCCCCTAACCTACTGAAGATACAGCCAGTAATGTAGTTCGACAACTCTTTACCAGTAACAGCTTCTATAATAGAACCACGCCCACCCAGTTATAATGAGAAGTCAGAAGCGAGGAGGTTGGAAGATATAGTTGATGAGTTATTAATATATCGAGAAGTGACTGATCTAATCTGGCTAATGATCGTAGGAGGTGTTTCCCACGCCGTTCTGTAACGCGATCTGGTACGGATGCATGACCGAGCTCCTTCAGCTAAACGAGTCCACTAAAACTAATGAGGTCAGCATCCAATTTCGAACACTTACAGAGCTAATGATTTTGGGGATTTATTTACAGTTACACTACTTTATATTAATTGCAGCGCTGAAGATTTTGAGCCAAAGAGACCGTGATTCAGATAAACCCTTGAAAGTATACAGGCTTTAGCGGCATTCAAACTAGGTTCTTAAAAGAATGTACGGACTTGCTTTATTTCTACTTACTGTTTACAACTGTTCATTTCCTGGGTCAAACTGCCTTCTGAAGAGGAAAAAGTTGTAAACGTAACTTCATGTAAGAGTCAAGAAGGTTTTATTCATGTATTTAGTCTTTCACAGTACGAGAAAATTTGAAAACGGGACAAAAGTTTATTTACACGATTGTAATCTACAATCTCATGCGCTCTGTAAATGTTCGGCAGTCACTCATGATCAACAAAGTCTGAAAATACTAGCAATAAAGAATGGCTCCCATACCTCTGTTTTTACTATTTTCCGTGTCTTGTGCCAGCCAGTGCAATCTTGTTAAACGAATCCCTCCATTTCAGTGGATTGAGACTATATAAATAACGAATTAAGGGGTAAATTGCATTTTATTAATGAATGCCTTAACGACAATTTTGATTTACTTCCACTGGTGCTGTCAGATAAAGTGCATTAATATATATCTGAATAAAGTACGAAAGGAAACAATAAAGGAAGAATATGAATTCATTCATTTAGTTGATCGTTTCCATCTGCTTACAACCTCGAAACCATCGCATTATTCCTTTAGAACAAAGAAAGTCTATGTACTTTATGGCAGAAAAGTTTTTAAGGTACATTTGATGCATAGATATAAACTGATCACAAAATATAAAATTGAAAGTGGGATGAAGACATAGTTTTCAAAAATAGAAGAAGTATGTCACAGGTTGAGCGATACACAAAAACACTGACTGATTAGGTGGGCCTCACAGAAGACGTGATATGTGATAAAATTCGATTACTGATGTAAAAAATGTTACATGACAAGCGCTTGAAATTGAGGCTGTCGACTTGAGTGTATTTATGAAGAATAAAGCCATCAGTTTACGTTAGCGTTATCCATATCGTCTTTGATTCTGGATAGCCGGGGGCACCTTTTCCTTATATTGAACAGTGGTTTGTGTTTATGATGAGTTCTAATTAGATGAATGTTGTTCGTCATTTTAGATCTACGTAGATCCGAACAGACCACAACAAGAATGGGTAACACACACCAAATGGGAACCGATCATTCCAATCAATGTGAACGTGTGAGTTTTGGATCTACTCAATCAATAGGGTTCCAGTGAACCGAATGCCTACGACATCTACGATACAGAATTGAAGAACCAGCATTTTCACACTTTAAACCTGCCTCCTAATACTAACAACAACGATGGCTTTGAAAGTTCGACGGAAGACTTCAGTGTTTACTGAAACATTGGGTTGACGTCCCATAAAAATCATCACCGAGTAAAGTACGTCTCCTGATCATTCCATATTTCTTTCTGCCTTCTTGAAAAAGGGATTAATCCCGGAAACAATTAGTTTACGGCCGTCGTTTTCCTTGATTTAAGGTGTTGGCTTGGGTAAGTAGAAGCCAATGTACATCCTATCCTTCAAGGATACAGCCCAGCTACTAATGACCGGCGACCATTCTTTCAATACCCTAAAAGCTTACAGAATCTACAATCTCTGACTATCTATAATTTACATACTCATTCACAACCTAACTTCAGAAAGAGCGACCTCTCCATCACAAACCTCCTGAGAGTGATAGAAATCAGACCAATATTCTCAGTCATAAGGTTTAGTTAAGTGTAATATACCACGAATTATTCAAAGTCTTTGGTTGGATCAGTCATATCTGCTTTGTTACCAAACCCAAAAAGGTCTCTATTCATCACTTCTTGACTGGTTTGGGTCGTACTTACACTATTGATTACTTATGATCAGGGTCCAGTATTAAGAATTTCGTTCCGTTCATTTTAGACGAACAAATTTTCTAGGTAGGTATCATTAGGAATGTTGTACATTTCTCTGTTACGAAGCTGTGGACATAGGTCTACAACGACAAGGATAGACAAGCATTTCCAAGGGATCTGAATAGGCTAAAAATTTAGTAAATTGTGGCCGACAGACTTTTAGATGTGAAATGTGTCAGTGGATCCACCTGTAACATAATGCGACCAACATGTGTCCTACATAGTTCGCCATTTGGAATTAGGTTAGAGAAAAAATGATTCTGGGATCTTTATTCTCCATACATAAAATAATGCATTAGGTGTGACGAAAATAACGTGAGGCCCAGCCTTGAGTTAAGATATTTGAAACTCATCCCCAGTTTGGGTTTATGCCTAATTTTCAGTGCCTTTGTTCTACACTACTTAGAGTACACAAGCCGTATTTCATTTCAAGAGGATAAGAGTACTTTGAAGCTCATCAAATCAGTTGGTATTCTTAAAATTCAATCCTACGTGGAACACTTAAAGAAATAAATCTACAACTTTTAGGGTTCAAATGGTTCAAATGGTTGAGGACGGAATAGAAGAAGCTTTCGCTTAACGGGCTTCCGTGTCTGGTAGCAGTGGATCACTAATACCTTCAGGTAAGAACCTAGGTATATGAACGATAATAGAGAAAAAAAAAGAATTTGGTAAATCATAATAATATGTTATCCGTAGTCCTTAAGAATAAGTCAAGTTTCCTCTTAAAGGACTCCTGGGAGGTCGCTTGGACTAGCTCAGTCGGCAGCGAATTCCAGCACTTGACAACTTTTACGGAGTAGAAGTTGCGTCTGCAGTCTGTTTTGCTATGTAGGATCTCCAATTTCTGGGTGTTACCTCTTAGGTTAGTGTTATGACTAAGCTTAAGACGATGTTTAAGGGGATGACCAGAAGTATTAAGGATACTATATGTCATAAGAAGATCACCTCTAAGACGCCTGTACTCTAACGGGTAAAGGGTAAGTGATTTGAGGCGCTCTTCATAAGGTTTGAATTTGAGACCCCGAACTGATTTCGTGGCTCGACGTTGTATACGTTCCTGAGTGTCCCTATCCTTTTGGAGGGAGGGAGGAAATACTATGTTTCCGTACTCTAAGTGGGGACGAATAAAACTGTTGAAGATTATATGGAAGGTTCTACCGTCAAACTGGCCAAAAATGCGCTTCAATGTTGCCAGTGCAAGGTTTGCTTGAGAGGCGTTTTTGTCACAGTTCGCATACGATTTCAAGTCGTAGGGTACCAACACTCCTAAATCTATTTCAACTTGGGAAACTTCTAGAGGTAATTTACCTAAGTTATAACTATAGTCTGCAACATGTCTCAGATGGACTACCTTGCACTTTGAAGGGTTGAAGGTAAGTCGTCTGCCCAACTTTGAAGTTGGGTCAGATCCTTCTGAAGAACTGGTATATCATTATGATTACGTATCTCTCTCCAAAGTTTCACATCATCAGCAAAAAGCAATAAGTCAAATGAAACTTGTTGAGGAAGATCGTTAATATAAATCAAGAAGAGAAGAGGTCCTAGTATTGAACCCTGGGGGACCCCACTAGGACATTCCATAGCCTGAGAGAGAGAGTGAAGTTAACCCTGACCTTAAAATGTCGGTTTTCTAGGTATGAAGTGATCCAGTCAATTAAAGGGGGTTTTATACCGAATCGTCCAAGCTTCTTGATAAGACATGCAAGGTTGACCCTATCAAAAGCTTTTGAGAAGTCCAGGTAGATGACGTCAACCTTCCCGTTGCGATCAAGGATGGTTGTCCATCTATCCACCGCAGTCAGCAGGTTGATCATACAAGAATGACCTTTTCTGAAACCATGCTGTTGAGGCGAGAAGAACTTTGAGGATGATAAGTGTTCTAGTATGCCGTCGAATACTAGGGATTCCATAATTTTTGAAGGTATGGAGAGAAGGGCCACTGGTCGGTAGCTTGAGGGTTCACTGCCTCGACCTCCTTTGAAAATTGGTGTGATGTGGGCCAGCTTCCATATTTCCGGTAGTTTGCCTGTGCTTAGCGAGTGTGCAAACATCACGCTAAGTGGTGTCGCCAGGATTGAAGCTGCTTCCCTCAATACAGCGGAATGAACAATATCCGGACCAGGAGAAGTGCCCTTTCTTAGGTGCTGCAGTTTACGGAGCACCAGGTCAGCACTCAGGTCCACTTCGGAAAGTCCTGTACAGGTGCAGGTGAAGCTTTCGTCAGTATGGTTGATATGGGTCAGCTGGAATGTCCGGGAGTATTGTTCAGCCAAAAGGTTAGCGGCATCACTGTCGTTATTGGTCGTGCCATTAGGACCAAGCAGTTGGGAAACTCCAGTTTTGCCTTGTCGAAGAGAAGCTGCGTAACGGAATAAGCTCTTTGGATTGGAGACAAATTTATCGATAAGCTTGGTCTGGAACTGAAGCCTGTCTTCTCTTATTGACTTTGTGCATGTGTTCCTTATATGTTTGTATTGCCTGTACGCGCCGTTGTTATCAGTTCGTTTATATTCAGCCCAACAGTGTCTTTTGCAGCTTAGCAAACGACGAGTGCGGTTCTTGATGATTGGAGGTTGTTTGTAGCTTTTTGGGACCATTTTAGGAATTGAATGCTCAGTAGCACATAAGATCGTGTGCAGTAAAAAATCCCAATGAGCATCCACTTCAAGTTGAGGGTGAACATCCCAATCCACATGTTGTAGATAGTCCTGTAAAGCTAACACATTCAACCGTTTGAAGTTCCAGCGCTCGTTGCTAGTAGGATATCGTAGCTCAGTTTTGCTGACAAAGCTGAATGATAAGACGGCGTGATCACTCTTCCCCAGGGGGGCCAGGATTGAGAGGTCGTCAACTAGGAATTCTTATTTGTGAATACACAGTCTAAGCGCGACGGCGTCTGACTGTTTCTCCAACGGGTTGCCGACTTCACATTTTCAAATAATCCCAGGTGGCCGATAAGGTTGAAAAACAGAGCTTCAGTAGAGTTGTCACCACCAATGTATGTATGTTACACGAAGTTGATTCTAGGGAGATTGAAGTCCCCTAGAATCTGGATATGAGAGAATCCGAGACGCGTAGAGCGAGTTAATCCTTCCAGCAGACGTTTGTCATACTCGATGTCGGCAATGGGCTTCCTGTAAATGACCCCAACTAGACACCTCGAGGTGGTAGATAATTTTACTGAGCACCATACTGACTCATCAAGATTGAGAAACTCTTGGTTGCGAAGTTGGTGCGCATCCAGGCATGACCGCATATATAGTGCTACCCCACCCCCCATTCCTGCTTTTCTGTCGTTGCGAAATAAAGACATCCCAGTTATTGCTAACTCCTGGTCCGTAAACTGAGACGTTATCCAAGTTTCGGATATTCCTATCAGATGGGCATCATTAGCGTTGCTAAGTTCACATAGCTCATCCATTTTGTTTGGCAAGCTCGCGGCGTTCGTGTATAGGCAGTTTATACTTTCAATTTGGAACGCGTGAGCTTCTTCCTGTTTGTCTATATGAACTGTGCGTGAGTAGACAGGTAGCCTACCTATACGATGTTTACGGAGTTGGTAGTCCCTGTCCTTTACACGTTTTTTATGATCAAGACAGTCCACGAGTGTAATTGTCAGCTCCAGCTTTCGTTTGTGCTTGATCCTGCTGTCGTGGGGCCTATCCGGATGCATATGGATGCCAGTTGGCAACCGACGTCTATAGGCACGAAATGCTTCCAGAGTTGCAGCCGCCATGTGGGAGGAGGGGAAGGTTATCTTCAACAGCCGGGGCCTAGAGTCTCCGTCTCTCTCGGCTAGTCGCATTACCTGTTGGGTCAATATGTTCTTGAGTTTTAAGGAATTCTGAATGAATTTCCATTCCCGAATATCAGAGTTTGCTTGAGTTGGGTCCATATTTTCTAGCACACCTTGCACGATAATATTTCGTCCACGGAAAAACGCCTCGCGAGATTCCTTATGGATGTTCCGGATGAGAGTTCGTTCAGAATACGGTATGTCGGGCAGTATTCTTACATTCCAATCGGACTTCAGTAAGTGACTGGTTAGCAGGACGTCCTCAACGTCGGAGACATTCTTAAGTGTAACACGAAGCAGCCTCGGGTGGTTTAGGTGATTAGAGTCCTTCCCCCGAGCGAGCCGTGTGACGGTCAAAGGCTCTATTCTAGGGAGTTCAAGCCACTTGTTTAATTCTCCTCAGAGCATCCTATCATTTTTGTCCTGCAAACTGAGAGGAAGGTCGGGGTTGTCAATAAGGTCCATGATTATGACAGAGTCGTCACGATCCTTAATTGATTTCCCAGGTTTTCCAGGGCATCTAGGTTTGGTATCTTGTTGTTTGGATGTCGAGGCGCGTTTTCGATTCCTGGGCTCAGTGATAACCGGGTGGACAGTCTTGGGGGTAGACTGTGCAGCCAAAGCATCAATTGATTTCCGCACGATACTTGGGACGTTCTGTTTCGGCGGGGACGCTTGTGCTTTATTACTCCTGTTAACGTGAGTCCAACCACCTACAGGATTTTTGGGAACCCCTGTCTCATTCAAGGACTGTTCCCTGGGGGACCCAAGTTTACTGAGGGAGTCGATAACAGTCGATGTTAAGATGGTGCTGAGTTTCAGCACATCATCACTCGTGCTGTTAAAAGCACCGTCGATAACCGACCTGTCAATATCCTTTTTCTTGTTTGCCCTATGCGTTCCAGTTTTGTTACCCGTCATGATACTATCACTCACCGAATTCTTAGACAACTTATCTCTCAGACCTGTAAGTAAAGTAATGATGGTACCCAACATAACTACAGTATCAGTGTTGCAGGTAACACATACCCACCTACGATCAGCTTGCTGAGTCTGTTATAGGCTGCTGCTGTTAGATCTGTACATGCCTCGTGGAACCAACCTTTGCAGTTGTGACATTGCATGCCAGATGTAACGGCAAAACGGCAACATGTTCTTTTGCAAGAATTTTTCATGGCTAGTGATTTAGACTGTCTTAAAAATACAAGCAGTAAATTTGGGACCGTTAAGAAAAACACATAGTAAACAAAAACTGGCAAAAATGTATAAAAACAGTTAACGATAAGCTAAAGCTAGCCTTTAGTTGAAAACTATAGAAAAAACCGATAGTGAACTGAGGCAAAACCACAGTTAACTATTAATTTGAGTGAAACACAAAAAAGAAGTAATCTACGAACGCATAGCTCAGAATAGATTCTTTAGATGGGAAATGGTACTTTTGTTGCGTAAGAACACAGCAAAAGTTTGAGAAATGTAAATCACGTTAGGATTAAACTTCCCGTTCGAAAAGCGCGCGTTGAAATCGCGTATGCGGTGCTCTCAGGGACTCAGGGTTAAAATGTTGTAAATATCTCTTACTTCTCCTTGATTTATTTAGGTCGAACCTTATCACAAATTTCAAGGGACTAGTCACAATGTAGACGTGAAATATCGCCGACTGGATGGTATGTATGCTTTTTACGATTAATCAAGTTTTGGAAGTTCTCAAAATCATAAGTATTTCAAGCAACTTGTCTACAGTCGTTTGAAAAGAAACCTGATCAATCAATATGGGGTTAGACCAGCGTTATATATTCAAAATTCAAAGGTTTTATGGGGAGAGTTAGGCTGGAGATGGCGTCGAGTCTTGATGGGCTATGATCCTCACTACAATGAGAATACGCGCCCAAAAACGACTTGGTCCCTTTGATAATTCGCAAACCAGAAGACTGTAACTGGTCCAGATAGAGTATATTTATTGGCAATCTCGTGGTATCGAATGAATACCGAGACTAACCAAAGATTACAGGCAATATGAGCAGAGCGTAAGAAAGTTCGAACCAACAAGATGGAGAGCGGAACGAGAAGTGACTTTGATACAGTTTGACAAGTACAGTGAAACAATCGCTGGTACAATTGGTTATAATAATAAATGTTTCTATTATACCAATCGCGTTCTTGTTGAAAAAAAGGGAATTGTTTGTCCTTCAGAAAAAAAACGTTTATGCATGTTTGTCTTCATATATACCTGCGGATCTGCATGAAGGGATTGATGATCCATTGCCACTATTCACAAAACATTGTTTTACGAAAGCTACTCTTCCATTCATAACTACCTGCACCTTGTGGACAAACATTTGGAGTCATATTTTGTTGAAGATAGCTGAACTACTCATCACTAACAAGGTGAGTAGGCCAGTAAATGTAAGTTAGTTATGCAAAAAGTTCATGTGGGATATTTGTTGTATAAACTGGAAATTGGTTCATTGTTCCACGATGCATGTCAGACATTGTTTTCGTTGTTGAATGTGGTACTGCGGGACTCTCGAAATCACGCATGTATTGCACGTTGTAGACGCAACAAGTTTAGTTTAGGTAGCAAGTTTGTTATTTGTTTATAAAACATTAGTTTAACAGGTTTGGAGTGAAGTTTACTGCATGCCTACAGCAAGTAGGCTGGTTATATACTCTACTTGTGCTGTTACTTTGATATATCTGCTTAATTGCTATCGAAAAAGACGTAAGCATAGGGCGCCCATCAGTACTAAGTCGGTAAAAGTTATTGAGCATCCTGCATCTTCGTCACAATCGAAGTCTTACGAGGAATCTTCTGCTTTTCAAGTAGTGACAAATTTACGCTTACCGTTGTTAGGATTTAATTGATATTGAATACACCGATCCACTTAACATTCACACAGCCGCTTTTGTTGAGGTACAACCGAGATCCTATTTTGATGTACAGACAAAATTTACTGTCGAACGTTTAGTAGCCTTAAAAGAACAAAACTTGGAATTGGAAAATATTTCTTTCTTGGAATCACTACTACCAGTAGCGTTAACTTCCTCCGACCCAGTACCCGCATTTTTAACAATGGCAGCCAGTCAAACAGTAGTTTCTACCCTGAACAGTAGTTCTGTCTCAGGATCCGAATCTGATCGAGCACTAACGCCCGACTCAAATTGTGATTTTTGTGGAATTAACCTTCCACCCGAAGGTTTTAGTGACCCTTCGAATGACATTTATGAAGCTAATCCCGAAGAGTTGGATGGCAAAATTTTGCCAAGAGTGCTTATTCCCAGTGATATGTGGGCCCAGGTAGTTGATAGAGATATCTGGCATGAGACATTTTTAATACCTGCCTATATGGGTGGCGTTTTAATCGGGCGGCTAGGAAAGTGAGTTTCCTTTATTTTTATCAACTTTTCTCAGGAATGTTAGAGAGCTGCGAAATGTATGGGAAGCCGAATTCAGTTTAAATACTTGCCCAGGAAAACAAGATACTCTGATCTTCAAGTTATCATGCCCACTTAGACACAAAAATGATGTGCTACGTTGGGTATCCCATCGATTCAGAATGAGACCTTCCAAGACAACAATTGGCAACCCAAACCAACTGAAGGTTAGTATCTTTCCTGAATATAATAGAAATATTTAGCGTCAACTTCCTCTTGGTGAGCCGGTTCCGGTGCAGATTCGTAGTCTTTACGGTTCGAAGGAATTGTTCGTAACAGTACCTGACAAAGAGTACAACAACTATTTAGTTATGCAGGCAGAGCTTGAAAAAGACTACTCGACCAACAATAACTACCGTATGCAACTTTGTGAGCCGGTGACATCAGGAACAGTTGCTGTAGTTCCCCACAGTCAAGGATTTGCAAGAGCGCTCATAATTAGTGTTTATCCTACTTGGCCAAAGGTAGCGTTCTACTATTTGCTAGACCATGGAACATTCGGTGTTGTGCAACTAAATAAATTAAGAAAAATCAGGTTAGTTGTACTAATTTATGGAGTTTAAGTTAAAATGATCTTTCCTTTAAGATTATCTTCTGACAATCTAAATAGATGTACGTGAAAAATTCTGTAAATCCTATCTGCGTCAAATGTTTATGAATTTCTGTTTATTACATCAATTGTATTGCTCTTCCAATGGTTTCTGTATTTAACAATCCTCTTGCGTAGTTGTGGATCGAGTGCATCATCTCAAATAAAAGCAAATTGAGCGGTGTTTGAACAACTGAATGTTTGAAAATTAGGTGTCTTAATAACTAGTCTGCGCCGTGATCGTAAACTATGTTTACTCCACTCCAGATTTTGGAAATTTACTGTCCACAAAACGCGTAGTAAAATGTGAAACTAAATATTGTGATTTTCACTCGTATTTACCATTCAAAATACTATCCAGTTATTCATCAAGTAGATTTCTTACATTTTACTTGTGATGAAGAGCGCGGAGTTCTACAAATTAATTGCTTTAGAGCTGTTGAAAAACCCTATAGACTATTCTTCCTTAAACCTTTCTGTCAAGTGTTGGGGCTCTTATAGACTTAGAATTAAAGCGAATTGTTAATAAACCGAAATGACTGGAGTTCCCCTTTGAACAAATAATTGGTTTCTAGTTTTCATCCCAAATTTTCTACTGTGGATTGTAATCATCCACCCTTTTGTTTGGTTTGTGACTCGACTTTTGCTTTCAAATGGCCAATCACAATCCAACGGTACACATACTAATTATTCTATACAGACAATTTTGAGATAGCGGCCCCAAAATAATAAATGATTGATTAATTGTTGTCACTAAAATAATCCTAATCTCCACATCATGGTTGTAACCGTCAGACGCCCTCCGTGGAACTAGTGTATACATCTGTCTACGTAGGCTTTATACGATTAAATCGTGCCATACTTCTCTTTGGGACCTTGCTAATATTTTTCGACTTGTTAACTGTGATGTATGTACTAGAAAGAGGTTAACGTTCCGCTCCTGTGATGCATTTGGTTTGCTAAATGATTTACGGACCGAATAAATTTATATGCGCTGAAATATTGAATGTAATTAAAAACTGCGTGATTAGTTCACGAGGTACTAAACTACTGATTTAGAAATCACATTATACTCAGTGGATTATGAATGATCGTTCATTTTTCAGCTGTGAAGTATTTTTATAGTGTTTGGTTTATTAAGCTTGTCGATTAAATCTAGGATAAACATTAATTGTGGTTTTTTCGGTTGTTAAATATTTTATGGACAATCAAATACCTCAGTTTACCGGAATTCTATCTAAAAATTTAATGCTCAAAAATAGCAAGGTTCGGATTTTCCTGTTTAACTGAAACATAATAAATGGTAGAAAGGACAGCTTGGAAAACAAACTAATTCACCTATGCCAAGTTCTACATTTATATTTGCCTATTTGACATAAGTAACCAAATGGATTATCTCAGTCTGTAGGAATCGAACACCATTTTACTAAAACATTCTTCCTAGTCTCATGTTGGCTCCATGTGCTCTTCATAGCTATTTATATCATATATATTTTTCACAATGTGATTAAAGTATTTGTCTTTAAATCCTATGTTTAGTGGTTTCACACATGCAGCTTGGGATTAAATATTGATTATCTGACTTATTTATCTGCAATTTTGTCTGCTATCGGTTTGTATATTGAGTCCCTTAATACTTTTATATATTTTATTCCCCAATCTATATTCGTTTACGTCAAGGTAATAATTTTGCATGTTTGTCTGCATCTTTGTAGGGCTAAATATATGAGGGTTCCTTATCAAGCAATTCATGTTAGCTGGGCTCACGCATTCCCTGTTTATTCGGATATTCCCGATTTACACATACTTCGAACATTCTTCAATAGCGGTCGCGTTCATGCATTTGCTGTACGTATGGAGACATGTTGCCGAGCTTCTGTGGCATTCGGTGAACCATATTCACAGCCATACTCATCTCATGGATTTCTAGATATTCTAGTCAATGCTTGTAACAGTGGACTGTTTATAGCTGTTCCTCTGCTCATTTATCCCAGACGACAATCTTGGTTGAATGGTTCGTCGATTCCTTATTATCCATTCACATACAGTTACATCGATTATCATTCATTAGTCACTTTTGCTGTTGAGGAAGATGACCAAGTGACCATAAGTCATTCATCTTTCCATAAACGAAATCAGAGTGAAGACTCCATCTGTCCTTCCAAAAATCAGAATGGAAATCAAAAAAAGTTCAATAAGTCAAGCGATAATTACTACCGCTCACAGCCTTGTGGCCAGCGTCGTGGATTGAGAGGATCCGCAACAGTCAGCAATACTGGGAATCGTCGACAAAATCCATATGGACCAAATCGTTTGCAAAATGGCCCTCTGTTCGCTACTTCTCAGAAAGAAAACCAATTTGCATCGGTTAAGGAGAATGCCATTGCATTAAAATGCACATCCAGTGGAAATGAACAATTTGGTAGAAGTCAACTACGAAAACCGTTATCAAATCGTAATAATAGTGTAAGTAGTTCAAGAACTGTCTCATCAAATCCCGGACGAGCGACTACATTTGATAACCATGAATAATAATTTGGTTTATTTCATCTTGCTCTTCACATAAGCTTTTTGCAGAAATTTATGTTTGTTGCTTTTGTCACTGTATATTCATTTTTAATCTGTGCCTTCTGTCACTCGTGTTTAAGTTTTTCTAACATTTTTTAGTTTTTGTTTTTCGTACTTGCGCACATATATTACTCAGTATAATGGGACTTGAACTTTCTTACTTATTTAGTCCATATGATTTAAAATCCAAGTATTCATATGTTCTCATATTTTTGTTGAGTTCCTATCATTTTATTTACTTTCCAGTATAATTTTTCTGTCCATGCTATGCTTAGTTGGAGCAAATATTTCCATAATGTTTTTCCTTGACAAGTATAATGTTTATTGCTTAACCAAGGCAAATAAAGATGTCAAAGTAATCTATTTTCATCGCTCTACGTAGATGGGTGACGTTTTGCTATTAAAAAGTCATTTCAAGTAAATGGGACATATCTTACCTTCGTTCGCGATATAACCTACCATAGGAATAGTTTGTACGAAAGCTAGAGGTGGATAAACGGAAACGTAGAATCGAAACATTAAATTACTTGTTGCTTATCGAGGTTTTGTAGGCAAATACGAACCGCCATGTTGACCTCATTACGATTATCATGACGCAAATGTAATCCTTCCTCTGATATTAGGGTTTAAAATTGTTTTATGCCCTTTATTCTGCGATTTTATTCTCGAACGATATTCTCTGTACTTACTACTGAGAGTACTACTACTTTAGTATCATTGATAAGTTCACCTCTCTCTGTTAAAAAAGGTATGACACCTGTCTTCAGTTTCGGGTTGCCTGTGTCAAGCTGTTGTCAGCGATATCGTAATGTTTGGTGGTGATTAATTCAGATATACTGTCTTAAAGCCTTTGATATCGTTTACCGTTAAGTAATTCGCCCATTTATTCAATATTCAACGTTAATTCACTAGCATATTCAATTGGTATGTACTTTTAAAGGTGGTGTCTCTAAATATGATCAAAGCGTTATTTTGTAGTTCTATGTCGGCGGACCAACCTTCATTGAAAACAAATATAAAAATATTTCTGGATAGTCGTAATTCGAAAACATGTCAAACAGAACGTTGTATTCATATAGCACGACTGGTGTTGGACATCCCTTGATATAACAAAACTTATAGTATTGGATGGGGTGATATTGTTGTTATTACTTGATTGGTAAATTTCGTAAAGCCGGAGTCAAATAAAGGCTTGACCTGTCTTGGATATCTCTACTTATGTACAAGTAAAGATTCAGTGGGGTATAGACTTCCCAGACTTGGAGTATTTGGTTGCTTTCTGTATTTTTTTCGGCTGCTGCCTCATTCAGATTTGGCCATCTGGTTCACTGGTTTGAACCATCCAGATGTAATTAGTGTTATCAGCCTCCACACTAGATGTAGATTTAAGCTTAGTCGACAAACCTAGAGTTAATCACCAAGTGGATGTTCCCATTGGAATTACTGATATCTCATCTAAATTATATGTATGTAGTCTAAAAGTGCGTTTTAGTGTACTCGATAATTTAATTGGTTATTCATTTGGTAAAAGCAGTCTAGTAATTAAGCAAATTGGTTCGAGTCGATTTAAGATGAGCTATAGTAAACGAGAACACAAATTGGGAGAATCAAATGCATTTTGATACAACATTACAGAACATCTTGGTGAGATCTGAGAAACATACAGCGATACTTCATTTGCAGAATATCCATCAATTGTCTCAAACTTTGTTACTCCTTCGTTTCCATACAAATCACTCTCTGTTCTTGTTCTCTTCGATTTTCTCAGCCGTCTGCCTCTAGGCATTCCACTTTCCATTAGTAATACATACTACTTACGTCTGCCGACATCAGTAGCACACTATACAGTAGCTCACACTGTTAGTGTTTTTCGATATAGTCCTGAGAATCATGCTGTTAATAATGGACGCTATTCGTCGTGTTTTCAGTAAATCAACATGAATAGCAAGCCAACGAGTAATCGAACATACTGCCCCTTGAGTAATTAGTAATTGTAGTTCTCTATATTTTTGAAATCTTGAATTATTTCGTATTTTTCAATTTCAATGTATATTTTTTTACTAATTACTTGACTTTTGTCCAACCTACGTCCAATATTATTTCTATGGTAACCTCTCGTTTTGAGAATTTATAATTCATCAGGGATTTTTATTTGTTTTTCTGTCCGCCACTCCCGGCACATGCTAATATAGCTCTTCGCAAACGGCCGAATGGTCACTCCACTTAATTCCTAACTGCTGTTTTGACAGTTAAGTCCCAAATGTATTCTTATTGTGACTATGTAACGCATTCCCCACTCCTTCCAGTTCCAGTATTTTTCTATTCAAAGCTTTTCATCCTTCTTAATCCATATTTCAAATGCTTAGTCGTTCTCACTTTCACACCAATCACAATTATTTTGACTTTCCTCTGTTCGTTTTGTGCTCATTTAGTATGGTAACCTGAAATAATGCATATGTATACCAGGCTCTATGTTGCTTGTGACTAATAATTTAAACATTGAAGGAGGTAAATGTCACTCTCTTAGATTCCTGTATTTTTAAAAAGTATTTAAAAAAAAACTAAATCATCGTTCATGGTTATCATTTTATCAACGATGTAGTACGGTGATAGTCCCGACCGTTGCTGCTACCTTGAGGTGGTGGTGGGGCTTGCCTATCGTGATGAATCAACCGAGCTATACTGGCTGGAACAATCGTTCCTCAAGGTCCTACCATGCCAGGCAGATCGTTTGAAGAGCGGTGAGACTAAAAGCAGCAAACCCAGGGTCCGAAGGCGAAGTCGTACTGCTGACTGTACACAGGTGTGACAGCAGTAAGGTGTTTCTTTCAGACAACCAGTATGACAGCGATGCTGCCTTCCCACAAGGAGGGGTGGGGTTAGAAAAGGTCGACCCTAAAAATGAACACCTCACCTTATCCCACGGATTTCCGTCTCCGGCGGTAAGGTTCTTTGAAGAATGGAACTAACACAAAAACTATTCACAAAAAGGTCGTGTGTGACCGGCTTCAAGCTGTTGTCCCTTGGGCACTGCGGTCACGCTCCCAGGTCGTTGTGACCAACACTAATCCAACTTCCTTTCCAGGTCCCTCAAGAAATACCCTTCCACGGTGTGGGCAGCCGGTAAGTGATATTAGCCCTCATACCCATAACTTCACACGAGACCAAGTTGCTCCTACACCTAATAACGGTGATAGTGAAATATGTCAAGAGAAATAGAGGTTAGAGAAATACAGGTTAGCAACAAACTAAAAGTCAAAAGTAATATAATTATAGAGTCCCAATGAGTAGAAAAATACGTTTTCTGGTGTTTCGTGACTCAATTGAAGTCATTTCTTCAAATAATGAAAAATTCCTAAAAACTAAAAGATGCATATAACAACCGTCTAACTGAAGGAGAGTAGCACAAAATAGATTAGTGTACAATAAATATTATTGTCAAGTTATTATGTAAGACTGTAACCCTAGATCGATGTCGGTGAAAGTAGGACAGATCATCTTATTTTATATGAAAAACATGTTTCTGATGAAAACCAAACTACTAGAATCATTTGAAACTGAAGTAAATCACTAATCATATGGCGTAGCAACAAACAATCAAACTCAAATATGCTGGAACAATGCAAAAGCCAACACATTTAGAAAGGTGACAAGTAGTTTTCCTTCATCTGTATAAACAGGAAATCACATTCAAATATCATGACTGACATGGATAGTTTTAAACGTAAATTATGCCGGGATATGTCAGATACCTGCGTAGAGTATATCCAAAGAATATAAGGGAACCTTTAGAAGGTTGGTACTTAGGTCAGTTTGTATTTAATAGACAATCCCGGGATTGGATATCAGGTTAGAAAAGAAACAGGGGCATGATCAGTGGTAACACATTTACTGGTAACAACAATATGACAGGGATTTTCCATAATACATTCAAAGTTTGCGTTCTTGATGATTTTGTCTGGAAAAGTATTAGCAGAGTCATGATTAGAACGTTCGGTTAGAGTAAAAAATAATCTTAATAAAATTGTTATATCTCGATGAGAATTATGAACGGTAACTTTTGAGAAGTATTCGTGGACTAATACGATACATATATTTTTATTGTATTATTATTAAGTAGGTTAACTATGCATACTCATGTTTCTCTTATCATAAGCTTTCTTTTGACTCGCTGACTATTATCATACGATTTACCGTTCTTGAGTTATGTCCAGTTTATCGATTACCGTCTCCCATATTCAAAGCCACTTTTGGCTAAATCTTGTACAAATGTTATTTTCTATTTTATGGTGCAATGTGGTCTGTTTGGTTTGCATATAAACCCAGTATGTTTCAAATACATAATTCATATTGCAGAGACTGAATATTGGTGTTCCGGACTCAACAGGCAGGGCTGGGCAGGAAGAATGACCGATAAAAAATCTAGACTGCTCGTACGGGTTCTATGCGTTATCGGTCCGGTCGATAAATTGCAGTTTTCTAATTGGCGGTATCATTACGTTATATACTAATAGGGCACAAGGTCACAAGTTATAGCAAAAATCGCCCCCAAATGCCCTGGTACGGCCGAGAGTGGGAAGAGTCCGCTCTCTCTCGAAATGCTTTCATATGGCCATGCTCATATAGACTCTGCCAGAGAAGTCCTACTCACTGCCTTCTCGTGATGGGCGTGTTGTTTACGAAATTGAGAGGACGAAAAGCGAATGTAAACGGGTTGGTGGACACGGAAAGTTCACCTAGGGGGAGTTGGAAAACCCTGATTCCTGTATCCCGAGGGAACACATGGCATGTGAATTAATCGTTGATCACCGGCTAACATGGGAATGCATCTCCTTTCGATGCTCCACTGCTTTGGGGTTCAGACATTTAGGTAAAGGCTCCGAGAGTGGTCACCTAAGAAAACCATCTGCTTCAGTTTGGACACCTAGGCAGTATCACAGCCCTCACATAAATCAAATGAGATTTGTGTGGCGCACATATATCTGGTCCCCCTTTGTACCAATGATTATATGTTTAGATAATAAATAAATATAGCAAAAGTCACTCATCCAAGTCGAAAACCGCCATCTTCAAATGAAATGTCGAATAATATTTGGAGGAATATGTTGAATTTAGTGAGCTCTTGTTTTCAGTACAAGATTGTAATTATTGTGAAGTTTCATCGAAATAATGAACCTATCTATCGAGAAGCCGTGACTAGTAAAGCTAATCCGTGTCGGATGTGAGGCAGTTACCGAAGACAATGGAAGACGGTCATGCATTGTCGTGGATTAGTTGAAGTTGGATATTAAAATCGTTGTATGCCGGCTCGATGGTTTGAAGGTCAAGTGTAGGTTCTGGGTTTGATTTTTGCGTACGTGACTGGAGATGCTCATCCCTGAGGGGTCCCATACTGGCCGTCCAGTGCTTTCAGGTTTCTTTTATGGTGATCTAACGTTGATCGGTTTATAATCTTAATAAAGCTCTAGTTTCATCCTTTCTCTTCAATGGAGTTTTTGGTTTGTCAAATATTCGGGTCGTTTCTTGTCGCTATCAGGTTTTCAGACTTATACTCTAATTTACAACAACAGTTTCCATTCAAGGTAGACGTAAATCTGTCAACAATTTCATTGTATTTTTCTGCTACTTTTCTTTTAAGTCATAGATACTTTATCATACAATGCATTTTTTCCGTACCTATCCTACTAGTCTCTTTTAGAAAGTTATGATCTTATCAGTGTACTACCGTAGTGTTAACAGTTTGAAATAGTGCATTACTATAGTTAGTTTACTGACATCCAATATATATTTGCTTATCTGATATGTTGTGATTTGATTGAATGGTAAATAGATTATGTCTAGTAAGACAGTCAGTAAGAACCTTTCATTTTATATACAGTGTAATTCGGTTTTTCTTCTGTGAACTACTTTTATCACTTTTTTTAACGCTAATTTACTGATGATCAAATAGACAACTAATTATACATATTTATGTTCATGTTTTTTATTTCGCGTGGTTAAATTAAATCAGATTAAATAAGAGTTTGGGATTACACTTTTCTGCGTTTCAATGTTTTCTATCTAGGTAACATAAAAACTTGGGAAAAATTAATATTTCACTTCCCATAGTGAATGTGTAGTAATGCTGGGTTTCAAGGAAGTGTATCAATAGAAAACGGAAGTGAGAAATTGCCAATTAGTTACTGTTATTACCAAAATAAATAATTTTCAATATGAAATATATCTACTTAAGCTTTCTTAGTACAATTTGCCGATAACTACATAAACAGATTGTAGAAACTGAACTCTCCCAAAAAACGTTTATGTTATGGTATTTGGACCGACTTACTGAATATTAAGGTTCTCTGTTAAATGATTGAAATCGATCAGGAGGCCTTGATTTCGTTGTCGGTAATTATCATTGAAGCTCATCTTTAATACTGAAGGAGTCGACAATCCTCGTGAGACCAGGTGTTGTGAGGTGCGGTGTCCGAAATCTGGTACTGATACATACTGTGCTATGCACTAACACCCCAACTGACTACTTTACTTGAGCAAGAACACAAGAGTGAGCGAGAAAGTGTATTAGACTACCGAGTGAAATTCACAAATAATTATATATATATATATATATATATATATATATATATATCACTTTATACTTAGGAAATTGACCTCAATGAAATGCATTCAACTTTTGGGTCACTTCTGATTACCATAGATTAGAGTTTTGCTACTTCCGATTAATTCTTCATATCACAAGGATTCTTATCAATAATATAACAGTCTGATTAGTGAGTGGGTTCAGCACCCTCCAGATTTCTGACAGGTGATAGCTTGGACAAAACCTGAATCAAACTAGAATTCAATTATCTACAGTCGCCTAAAATCGACACATTTTCGAGTCACTTATACCAGTGATCATACTACAACTTATTCAATCAAGCTTAATCAACCCTAAAAACTACACAAACATCGAATCTGTTATTAATCAGCAATCAAACAGTATTTTCTATAAGCTTGTGACACATGGTATTCTCAACAATTCACTCATGCAAATAACAATCGTCTGCCATGTTTTGTTTAAAAAAATATTTATTCTGCGTATTGGATGGGTTGTGTGTTCAACATGTCGCGGTCTACCGAACATATTGCACTGTTAAACAAACAAAGAAACAAGAAACACTATCTTATTATGAACAGTTATTTTGTGCTATATAAGATATTATCAAAAAAAACAATAAATAATAATGAATGATTTAGTTTACACTATTAAATTAAATTGTCCAACTTAGAAAAACAAATACACAATTTAAAGAGAAGATGAACAATGTAATATTGATATACAATGATTATTGGTTGTGTGAATAAAAGAGCATTTAATAAGAGATTTATAAAGATGAGAGAAGCATATATATATATATAATTTTATGAAAATAAAGTCACTGTTTTCATGCCTAGTAAACAGTTGTTCAGTAGTCCCTAGTATCTTTCGTCTTTATTCAAGCTGAGTAGTAATCATTGATACATATGCATTCGTATATAGATACATAAATATGTATATATTCTATGGGAAGGTTACTAACGCCTGTTACGCCTCGTGGAGGAGTATTGAAAGGTTGACAATTCACATTTATTAAATTTATATGACTGTACATACAATCTAATTTATTTTTATTGAACTTTAGTTATCTTGTTTTGTTACATCATGCAATAGAATTTGAATGAATATTTATTTCATTTGATAGATAATTATCAGCTGATTTATTATCATTCGGTATTGATAATTTTATATCATTTGAAAGACTTAATTTTTCTTGATTTATACCAACTTGTTTAAATGCACTTTGTTCTGTATTGTTTAAATAACGATTTGTTCTTATTGGTGAATGAATACCTAAACGAGGTTGCTGTTTAGACTGTTGTGTTGATTGTAATGGTTGTGAAGGTGGTGAAGCTGGTGATTGTGATGTATTCTGGGAGTAGATGGAAGATTGAGATTGTTTTGATGAATGTATATGACAATTATTATCATTATTGTCATTGAATTTATGTTCATTATATTCTGTATTATTTAATGGAGGAGATTTATGTTCACTATACTTATAATACATATTGTGGTTTGCGACTGAATTATAATATGGGTCTGAAGTGATGGTTACAGTAAGAGGTTGGTTAAAGTTTTTGTTATTTGGTGTATTTCCATTATTAATATCAGTAGGATTAATCATTTGTCTATCATTCAATAACAAAGATGGTGTTTCATTTGAAGAAATTTGATCAGTCGTTTTTTGACATGTATTTGTTTCGGTAGTTAATACTTGTTTTGGTATCTTATTTTGTGCGTTGTCTAGATTTATTGTTCGATTGATTTCCTGTAATGAATCAAACAATTGCTTAATTAATCCTTTGGTTGGATATATGAAAAACAGGTGATTTACAAACAGAAATAATGAAGAATTATATTTTGCAATACTACAAAAGAGCTTTTAGGACGTTAATAGTTGGAACCAGCTATTATTTATTAACAGAAGGGGTTTTGTGGAGATTTCAGTATTTTCATAGTTGAAACCATGAGTCAATTGAAGCTAGACCACCATCGAAAAACCTGGAAGCAATGGACGGCCGTTTCGTCCTATTATGGGAATCCTCAGCAGTGCGCATCCACAATCCCGCCTCACGAGATTCGAACCCAGGACCCATCAGTCTCGCTCCAGAGCACTTAACCGATAGACCACTGCTGAGGAGTCCCACAATAGAACGAAACGGCCGTCCATTGCTTCCAGGTTTTTCGATGGTAGTCTAGCTTCAATTGACTCATGGTTTCAACTATGAAAATATTATTTATTAGTTTAAATCATGAATTGGTCTTAAATAAACGGCTATTAAAAACCAGGAACCACTGGAAATCTGTTTTTCGCCAGTATGAAACCCTTTACGTGTACACGTTAATGGCCCCACCACATGGTATTAGAACCAGAACCTCCGGTTTCTCACGCAAACGCTTGACTTCCAAACACTGAACCGGAAACCGGTGATTCATACTCAGTGCACGATGTTGCACGACCATCTTCCACTGCATGAGATGGATAACTGTTTCACGCCTGACACTACTGTACCTCGCTAGTCACGGCTTCTGATCATCCTATTCTACAAAACATTCAAAAATGATTTTTTTTGTGAAGATAACAATAATATATTTTAAGGCTGAGGAATTGTGGAGAAGTTTTATTTTGAAGTTGGTTTTCATTGCTGACTGATATGAAGTAGTTGAAGAACCACTGAACACTTCAGATTAGACAGGTGTTTCGTCCTGGTTTGAAATATATAACTAGTGTATACATACAACAGAACCCAAAATCTTTTTAGATTTTATGTTATGATAATTAAGAATAACTGAGTCAGAATTTTTGAATTTTAGTTAATTATAAATAGTTTACTACTCTCATCCACGATTATAGATTTAATCTATTTTGTTCCTACAGTTGAAAACCTGTCATTAAAACTTCCGAAATTCATTTCAAAACTAGACATTAATTAACAAGTAAGTATTGTGAAAAACAGAAAATTATTCATTTTGAAGTTCATTAGTTTGTTATCATAGATTGGTTAAGATTAAATATCTTTCAATTGTTCTTACATTTTTAATCTTTCCTTAAATATTGTTAATTCATAATGTATATGAACTTTAGATCATCATTTTCTCCATGAGAAAATAAATCATTGGAAATATGTTCTTGTTATGCCCCGATAAGGGTAATGAATGGTAACTTTGGGATCTATTTATGAACCAATACTATGCACATATTTTTTTATCGTATAATTACTAAATAACTAAACTATTCATATTTATGTCCTCTTTATTATGAGCTTTATTTTGACTTATGAACTATTGTTATACGATTTACCATTTATGAATTATGTCCTGTCTATTAATTACTGTTCCCCTTATTCACAGCCACATTTGGCTGAATCTAGTACAAATGTTACTTTCTATTTTATGGTACGATGTGGTCTGGTATATAAACCCAGTATGCTTGAAATAAACTATTCATACCGCAGAGGCTGTTCTGGACTTAACTGGCTGGGCTAGGCAAAAGCAGGTCCGATAAGTACTGTAGACTGCTCGTACGGGTTTCGTGTGTCACTGGTCCAATCGGTAATTCGCTGCTCTCTGATCGGCGGTCTTATCACGTTGAACATTATCAAGGCATCCCCTCGGTCAGAAGTTATAACAGTTCTTAACTGGTTTATGACCAGATCAATGCATAGCATATGAATGACATACTGGTTGGGAATTATATAATAATAACATGTCTTTCGAAAACAATATCATGAAATGCATGCAATTACAATATCACTCATAAAGTGTTAATTGTTTTTGCGAATTGATGAAATAATACGCATAGGATAGAGAAAATCAATTGCTTTAGTTTCTATGGTACATTAACACATGGAGAATAATTAAAACATGTGTCATAACCCAAGTTTTCATAATGTTTTATTTTTAATTTCAGCCATAATTATCTTATATAGATATTTTCGTAGTTGAAATCATGAGTCAATTGAAGCTAGACCACCATCGAAAAACCTGGAAGCAATGGACAGCCGTTTCGTCCTATTATGGGAATCCTCAGCAGTGCGCACCCACGATCCCACTTCGCGAGATTCGAAACCAGGACCCACCACTCTCGCTCCAGAGCACTTAACCGATAAACCATTGAGCCGGCATCCAACGGTGTTAATGTCTAACTTCAACTGATCCACAAACTTTGAGCAACCTTTCATCAATTGTCTTCAGTCAGTTGACATCTCACAACAGACGTGGCTTCAACTCCACTGGTCACTGCTTCTCACTAGAACTCCACGAAATATCTCTTCAATTCAGTGGTTTGGAATCTCACGAGGCGGAATCGTGGGTGCGCACTGATGAGGAGTCCCATAATAGGACGAAACGGCCATCAAGCAGTGCTTCTAGGTTTTCGATGGTGGTCTAGCTTCAATTGACTCATGATTTCAACTATGAAAATACTGAAATCTCCACAAAAACCCCTTCTGATTATATAGATATGTCTCACTGAATCAACCAATATTTATGTTTCGTTTAGTTAAGACCTGTTCATAAATACACTTTAATCTTACGTGAAAGATTAAAAGTGAATTTACTGGATGTGGTGTGTGAATTAATAAAATTCTAGAGCTGAAGACTTTGGGTAACCAAAGTCACAAATGATTCTCATATTGTTCACAATATATTTTTTACTCTCATAATCTTAGCTTACCTTCTCATATTTGATTTTCTTTTCATGTTTAATTATTGGATCAGCTGATGTTACTGTTTGTATATATCGACTAAAATTTCTTTTTATTAAAGTGAGGTTAGATGATACTGATAGTTTATTATTTTAAACAAAGGAAGTAAACTCTAAACCTTGTTTCTTTTTTCTTTCAAAAATGATTGTCATGTTAGTCAATTCATCTTTGATAAGTTTTAGATTCTTAGTAAACTATTACTATTATGTCCGGAAGAAGAATAATGAGTGGTAACCGTTAGGAATTATTTATGGACTGATATTATACGTATATTTTTATTGCATAACTCTTAAGTAACTTTATTATATGTATGTTCATATTGAACTCTAAAACCCTTGATTAACTAGACTGTGGTAGGCGAAATCGTAGTTATTCATGTAGAAACTAATTGATCGAGATCTTATTGTTATATCCTAGTGAAGAATAAAGTACGGGTAACTTGAGGGATCTATTAATTGACTATTATTCTATATATTTTCTTATTGTATTCAGTGATTGGTTTGTATGTATCTATATTCATCTTATTATAAGCTTCAGTTTGATCTATAGAATATTATTATACGATTTACTGTTCCTAAATTATATTCAGTTTATTAATCATTGTCTCCCGCGTTCACAGCCACTTTTTGGCTCGATCTTGTATAAATGTTATTTTCTATTTCATGGTGTGATATGATCTGTCTGTCTGGTATATAAACCGAGTATACTTGAAATAAACAATTCGCATAACAGAAGTTGTAATTCGTGTTTTGAACTCAACTGGAAGCGCTAGGTGAACAAAAGACCAATAAAGACGCTAGGCTGTTCATATCGGTCGAACGTCATGGGCTTGGTACAGTGTTAAGATTGAATAAGTCGCATTTCGATTGGTGAGTAAATCACGTGATAAGAAGCCGAGCTTAATTTCACAACAATGATGAGCATTAGTTATTCATCAGTTAAAATAATTTTGGTGATTAAATACTCAGTAAATCTGTCTCAGTCATCTAGTCACTGTTAGCTTTCAATAATACAGCTTAACAAATCTTGGTAACAATAACCAGATTAACAGATATACTTCGATCAATAATGTTACATTAATCACCACTTAGTAAGTGGTTGGTATAAATGTTCGGCTACTGTAAACTATTAATCGTTTCTCACTTATTAACTAAACAATAATCTCAGTCAGTTACTCATAAATAACATAAAATCGTGGATAAATTTGTCTGGGATCATAATGACATACTTTCCGTCAACATAGCGACAGGGAATTAATAAGGTAAATGGTAAATTAGTTGAAATACTGATAGTATTAACGATAGGAAGATAACTATGGGGAAAATTGAGAAATCGAAAATCAGTTATGAAAAAAGATAGGTTAATTCTTCTTCTTCATTATTATTATTACTATTATTATTATTCACTTAGTATGGTTTGTTTGAATCTTCCCATTAATGTTTTAGGACTGTAACTGGTCAGTCTCTAATTGGCATATATGCATACTGCTTCAATATAGCCTAAATTCATAAGCATGGTAAGCAAAGATGGATAGTAGCTAGCAGTGGAATCCAGGACGAGTCCCAAATAGGACGAAAAGCGCGTCCTGGATTTTACTGCTAGCCATTATCCATCTTTACTTATTATTATTATTATTATTATTATTATTATTATTATTATTATTATTATTATTCACAGTAGACTGCAATACTTACTTTAAAGGAATTGATGGTATATTTTAATCTAAGATTTTTATAGTATCTAACCTTCATTTCATTTGATTTTGATTTTGTATAAGCTACACAATATCATTACCAGTGTAAAACTAACATAATGAAGTTTAAGATCCTTAGTATTACCTATCTTTCCACAAATTCCCATCTTCTCCATCTCCGATACTGATTCAGATATAACTGTGGATAATATATAATTGAACGATAATTTGACTGTCTAATGATCATAAAAGTGACACATAGAAATAACAATACCCCATCCAATGATTTAGTAAAAATTCTCATTTTCACTTACATTTAAATCTGGATTCATTATTAATGATCTATCATGTTCATCTTTTTGATCTATAGATGAGTTTTCTTCATGTTTGTTAACACTTTTTTGTATATTTTGATCTTGGAATTTATTACTATTAACTGGATCAAGTTGTTTATCAACACATCCACTAACTATTTTATTGATTTGGATAGATTTTAGATCTTTTTTTGGCCCAACTTCTTGATTGGGTTGAGTACAATTTTCTAAATTATTTTTTTGATCTTTTTGATCGGATATGAAATTTTTAGACCCACTAATTTGTTGATGCAACCTGTTCATATTCAATGTTTGTTTCGATTGATCATTTTTACCGTGTTGTTGTTGTTGTTGCTGTTGTCGTTGGTGTTGTTGCTGTTGAATCAATTGGTATTGGTGAAATTGTTGTAATTTATGTCTGTTAAGCATCTGGTTTTGTGCTAATATACGATAATAAGCCATTAAGGAGGGATTTTGTTCATTACCACTAAGATTAGATGGTGATGAAATATTTGTTTGGGATGTTGGACTGATGAATGCTGAGTATGGTCCACGTGGCCCATGAATAGGATACATTTGTTGTTGTTGATATGCATATAGATTTGAGATATTTTGTGAATCAGCTGATCGATTTGGATTATAATTTTGATGATACCTATCATCTAGTTTTGTCTGGGGAAGAGCACTGAATTGAGAAATGAAACTCCCATTTATTTGTTGATTATTTAAGCTCAACTGATTTATGTTATTGTTATTATTAACATCATTAGAATATTGTTGTTGTTGTGATATCGGACTTGGAGTTGATATTTGTAAATTTGGATCAACAGTATCAACACTGGCAGTTGGTGTGGCCTAATATAAAGATATATTTTTCAATTTACTTATATATATGCACACATAGCATGAACAGGCCAAAGTTGACCTATTCAGTTTACACGACAGTCAAGCTCATTATTGTTAGCAATGGCGATATGTCTTACAATGTTCCAATGGCAATGGCCCTTGAGAACACTGAAAAGCAACCACCAGTATGAATGGAATCCATTAACCAGCAAACCAATATATATATATATATATATATATATATATATATACTAGCCAGTGATTCAGTCATACTTGACACAGAACCTGAGACACGTTTGGTTCAGCTTGCCAAACCATATTAGCATTGCGTGATGAGATTATCAAGACAAATTCAGAAGTATTAGAATTGGTAACAGTATCAGTAGTAGTAGAAAAGACTAGATTAAGACAATCTGAATTACGACGAAAGAATGAATTCGTTAAATTAAAGAAGATATAAGATAAGTTTGAAACCTAGACCTAAGGGTGAATGAAAACCAAACGCATCTGCTCCACTGAAACCAATTCTGAGACATATCACCCAACCCTCTTCAATTATTGGTTACAATAATCGAGCGGATTAGAACAAGGTGGTCTTCATGTACCAATACCGTTCATTATAACACTCACTGACTTCATAAACAAATGTTACATCTTGGTTTGGCAGCCTCTAGCTGTCTTCTAATTTACTTTTCACCAGACATCATTTATACCTGACTGATTGACTTACATAAAAAGACTATGATTTTGTATTACTCAATCTCTTTATTCTGAAATAGTCATTTATCATTACTGATATTACTTATTCATGTTTATTGTTTTTGCTTATTCCTTCATGAAAATACTGAATTATTGGTGGATATATGTTCTATACTATTGGAAGGCTTAGTAGTAAACCTTTTCAGATTGATTGGTGATAAGGTTGTTATTTTTATCTAATACCAGTCATCTGATTCACTCATAACTTTCTGTGTCAAAAGTTCATACTGGCAAAGCTAAACAAATAAACTTGTTATTCAGAGGTTGAGAAATATTGATTGATCAACTGATTAGTGATCAATGTCCCATCTGTTTACTTTTTTATGGTATTAATTATCAGAAGGGGTTTTGTGGAGATTTAGTATGTTTCATAGTTGAAAGCATTAGTCGTGCGAGTGCGGGTTCGTGGATGCGCACTGCTGAGGAGTCCCATAATAGGACGAAACGGCCGTCCAGTGTTTCTGGGTTTTCCATGGTGGTCTAGCTTCAATTTACTCATGCTTTCAACTATGAAACTTTTTTTATGGTAGTTGGATTCTATTGACCAGTTTTGCAAAATGGTCACTAGTTTAGGTGACTTAACATTGCATATTTTCTAACCAGTCACTCAGTCTCACAGTTTGAGACGTCATCAGTATGCTATTAGATCCACGACTGCCTTTCTATGAAACTGAAATATTTGCTTTTATTGATCACGGAGTAGTATCTAACACCAGGTTAAATAAAAAAATATCCGAATCAGCCTTTAAATTTTCTAATAAGTTGTTCGTCATCTTGATTTCAGTTTCTTTTTCCATATTTTTGAAGTCTCTCTGTTTAGCGTGTTTCTTTTTAAGGTTTTATATGACATATGGTTCCCTGCCCATTTTTCTCCATTATAATCTGTTGACTTAAACTTTTCTACATCTGTACATGATGTAGCTAGAATGAGAAATTATTATTGTTAAATGACTGGTTATTTAACTGCGTTCCAGTATTTATAGTTCGTGAAACTGTTACATGATAAACGTTTCCTTTTTTGTTGTTGCGGGACGTTTTATATTAGAATTTTAAGCCGACAGAATATATCATCTGACATTTTTAAACGTTCATAAATGTAGTAAAAGAATTATATCGTTTCTAATAATCTTTGGAAATTAAGGTGAACAATCTGTTGGGTTGTAACGAATATTCAAAAGTTGTGACGAGCTTCGGAAGGCATAAGGAGATTAGGATGATAGTTCAGTATTCACAAGTTAGAAACGAATACTTTAGTTTTATAGAGTTAAGGTTAAGTTTTATGCTTTCAAATAAATCGCATATATATTTTGTATGATAGCATTATAACCAATAACCTTGTGTACGTAAATCAATTTTTGGATTCTGTTGTAATGAGACAAAATGAAGGTTGGCTTATAACTGGAATTATAGCTTACGAGAATAAATTTATGAGTAATGCTTTTTAAGGATGTTTTATCCTTTTTTCTCTGTATCGTTTGCATGATATTTCGATGTCTGTTGTCAAGATCTCCAAGTGTTCTGATGTGAGTGTCCATTGTAGCTTCATCTTTTGGTCCTCTGTGATATATTGGTATTTGTAGATCCTGTAATGTGCATCCGTCATCATTAGGTGTACCATTTTTCTTCCACTTTGCTCAGCTACTCTCCATCCCACTCACATCAGAACACTTGAAAATCTTGACAACAGCCATCGAAATATCATGCGAACGAAACAGAGAAAAAAATGAAAAAAACATGGTTAAAAAGAAAATAATCAAAATCTCAAAGCCAACCATAGATAAACTCCAATCAAACGCCCATTATGAGTAATGCTTAAGTTTGACAATAAAATTAATGAATCTGTGTCATAATGCGTGCTTTAAAGATAAACTCACGAAGGATTTATGTTTCTTAATATGGTCTATTTACGATCTCAATAATTCACATGCTTTTCCAGAAATTCAAATATATTTCACTTTACACTTCACTCAGAAATGTTTATCTTTGAACATTTCATTCTTCAAACACAGTATACTTTGGCAGAGTGTTTTCATTCTTATTTACTTAAATTCTACCATTGTTGATGGATAGAACAGTACTTTCAATATTCCCAACGTAAATATAAATTGCCGACTATTATTTCCTTAAATGGAAAGTTATGTTCACCGTTTGGTCTGTCCATTTAGTTTTGGATCGGTTAATATTTTTTTAAACCATGAAAGATGTTACTTGATAAGTTCCATAGAAAAGTCAAATTTATTTTATTGATTATTAGGGAATTTCTTCACCACACTGAGCATTTGTTGAAATGTTAATTTCGTTTTAAAACATGTGTCTTCAACTCGTAAGGATTTCAAATCTACTTTAAAACACCATAAAGTAACACTTACCTGTCCAGTTGAAGCATTTCGTGGAGTAAATATACCAAGTTTCATACTCTCTCCATCTTCATTTTCCATCCATAGTTTATTGATATTTCTGGTAGTAGGACCAGTTACCGATGCAGCTCTTGATGCTGGTCTAGGCATAAGACAATAATTACCTACATTATTAAGTGATGAAGCATGATTCATAGCTAAACTTAAATTCATATTTTCTACAACCGATACGACAGCCGCAGCTGCGGCTACTTGAGCTGCAACTTGTAGATCTGTTTGACTTGGACTTACTAAACTAGAATAAGAAGCACCAGAAGCATTACTCCATTGAGAATAGTTCAATGAATGTTTTGAAGGCATTTGTATAGATAAATGAGATCCACGAGGTTCCAGTTGACCAGATAAACTAATTCTTGAATGTTTTCTAATTCCTTGTAAAGAATTTTTATATTTACTAATTTCATTGGCTATATTTCGGTAGGTAGAAATAAAAGAGTAATAGATAAGAATAATATTAGAATGATTTAGCTTCATTAGTACTGATATCAGTTAGACATAAATAGTTCAAGAAAATCTGTTAAAAGTCATCATTCCTTGCATAATTGTCGAAAAATATTTTATTTGTCTGTAGTAGGTGGATTTTGAATTCGCTGTTAACTGATCGATCCGATTAAGTATGACTTCAGATGATCTTTAAATCAGCGTGATATGTTTGTACGTGATATTTAGGTAAGATTGATAACTTGATCCATAAAAATATGTGACTGAATATGGACTGAATAAGTGCAACTAGTTCCTAACAATAATGAGTCGTTAATTAAAATGTGAAATCTCAGAACCTTTCTATTTATATATTCTTGGCTGTCAATTAAACTGACTAACGTTATCACCAATATATCTAGTTTATTTATCTATTTATTTGAACACGTAAATGTTGGTATAAAGGAGCACCGAATAAATATGCGCCACACAAATCACTTGATTTGTATATGAACTGCGATACTGCTCGGGTGCCCAGACCGAAACAGGTGGTTTTCTTAATGGACCACACTCGGAGCCTTCGGCCTAAAGGTCTGATCCATAAGGCAGTGGAGCAACGTCAGGAAATGCAGTTCCATGGTACCCAGTGACCAACGATTGGTTCACACACCATTTGTTCACTCAGGATCCTGGAACCCATGTGCTCCATTGGTTTGGAATCAGGGTTTTCCAACTCCCCTAGGTGGACCCTCCGTATACACCAACGCGGTCAAAGTGCCGGATATTCGCTCTTTATCCTCTCAGTTTCATAAAAACACCCTTTGCCACGAGAAGGCAGTGAGTAGGACTTCCCTGGGAGTGGCTGTATACGCGTGGCCATGTGAGAGCATTTCGAGAGGAGGGCGGATTCTCCTCACCCTCGGTCGTACCAGGGCATTTGGGGGCAACAAATCTAGTTAGTAATCAAATAGTTATATTATTACTGTTTCTAAATTCTTGTTGAGTATGAACCAAGTAGTTTCGAGTTTACTTTCTATTAATAAGTCACTGGTAAAATTTATTCTTTTGGAACAACAGGATTTCAATGTTGTTATTAAATAAGTTTTTTTTCGAAATTTAGCTATTTACACAATACCAGGATATTTTATCAAGACTCATTTATAAACTATTTATTAGTTCTGAAAAATTTATCAATCTAGGGATATTAACAAAACAACTGTACTAAAGAATTGGATTATTTTAATTTGTGAATGGTTACCAGTATGAACGATCAAAATCTTCTGAAATTGAGACTAAAACTAAAATGTTGGGAAACAATAGACCATTCCTCTAAAGTCTTTGATGCTTCGTTGGAAGATGTTTTTTGTGGCTATAAATTATTATCAAAATAATAAATCTCAAGAAACTGTTAACTATCAGCTTATTATTATCTGTTACATTTCGTTCCTAATCACAATGGTATTTCGATGATGAAGGATAACAAAGAAGAACCATAGTAGCTTCTAACAAATCTGATCAGCTATTTGAATCAACAAATACGTCAAATTACTAGTAAGGCCATTGTATTTAGGTATCGATTTCAACACCTATTGTTAAGAAATACATAAGAACATTGAGAGGGCGGCGAATGGAAAAGTTCATTTACTATATTTTATGTAGTATAGGTTGATGATCTAGTTTTATTTTGTAAATTTAGCCAAAATTGTATGGAAATAATCTTCAGAAATCAGGTTTTTATCCGAAACCTCTCAGTTTCTCAGTGGTAAAGTATGCAGACTGACCCTAATCAGCTTAAACTTTTGTCTTCCTAGTAAAGTACTATTTGAACAGTTCTCTTCAAAATATGTCAAAACTAATAATATCAGGTGGCAGAATGATCAACCAACAAATCTGATGCCAAACTTTAAAATAAGTTGTAAATGATAGCATCTTAGGCGTTTGCCATCGGTGCTATTTTCAGCAACGAAGAATGAAGTTGAAGTTAAATTTAATTAGCTTCTAGATGTTATCTGATACAAATTATTAACTACTGAATTGGTCAGTCATTGATTTACTGATGAGCAAACTTAACTCTTTTACACGTTATCAATTACAATCTAAATAGCATCTGTATGGTGATGTGATCGTCTGATGGAGCACAATATATCATGTCAATAAATATAAAGGGAATGTCTCAAATTATTTTAGGACGACATGGACTGACTGGGAGAAAGGTACGAGAATGGCGAGAGATTTTCAAATCTAAGTGCATTCAACAAATTGGTTATAGGTGGCACAATATTCCCACACAAACGTATACACAAGCTACATGAGTCTCACCAGAGCACGCCGCTGAGAATCAGATCGATCGTATCTGCAACAGTGGAAAATTCAGAAGGAGAGTGGAAGACATGAGAAGAAGGAGAGGAGCTGGTGTAGCTTCAGATCACCACCTGGTGGTCGCCAAGATGAAACTGAAGCTAAAGAAGCATCGAGCATCTGGACAAACAGTATTACAAAGGTTTAATACAGCCTTCCCTCGACATACTGACAAACTCAAGGAATACAAGATAACTTTCCACAACAGGTTTCAAGTCTTACAGGATCTACTGAAAGAAGGAGAAATTACTATGGGGGACAACTGTAAAGGTATCAAAGAATCACAGCAATTAACAACAGCCGAACAAGAACAGAGAAAGTCAAGGCGCAAGCTGAATACATGGAGGCAAACAAGCAAGTGAAGAACAGCACTATAGCCGACAAGCAAAATCGCGTCGAAGAGCTTGCAACGACAGCAGAAAAGGCTGCAACAGAAGGCAATATGAGACAGCTATATGGCACGACGACAAAATTGACAGGGAAAGATAATAAACTAGAGAGACCACTGAAGGATAAGAAGGCAAGCCAATCACTGAAATTCAAGAACAAAGGAACAGACGGGTGGAACACTTCCAGGAACTGTTGAATAGACCAGCTCCATTGAATCCGCCAGATATCGAAGCAGCACCTACAAATCTTCCTATCAATGTCACTCCCCCAACAACTGAAGGAATCAGGACGGGCATCAAACAAAAAGAGTGGGAAGCAGTAAGACCTGAAAATATACTGGCTGAAGCACTGAAGCCAGACATTGAAGTAACTGCAAAGATATTTCACGGTCCATTCAGAGAGATTTGGGAGGGAGAACAAGTGCTAGAGACAGACTGGAAAGAAGGATACCTCATCAAGATATCAAAGAAAGATCTGAGTAAATATGAGAACTGCCGAGGTATCACATAACTGTCAGTACCAGGGAAGGTTTTCAACAGTGTTGAACCGGATGAAAGATTCAGTAAACGCCCAACTTCGAGATCAACAGATCGGATTCTGTAAGAATCGGCCGTTCACAGACCAAATCATGACACTACGGATCATCGTTGGACAATCAGTTGAATGGAACTCGTCACTACACATCGAACTCCTTGATTAGGAGAGAGCATTTGACAGCGTGGATAGGAGAACATTATGGAAACTTCTTCAACACTATGGTGTACCTTAGAAGATCATCAAAATCATCCGGAATTCATACGACGGGCTACAGTGCAAAGTGATTCATGAAGGATAACCGATGAATGCATTCCAAGTGAGGATCAGAGTCAGACAAGGCTGTCAACTAGAAGATTTGGACTTCACAGATGACCTAGCCTTCCTATCACATAAACACGAACAAATACAGACGAAGACAACAAATGTAGCAGCAGTCTCTGCGTCAGTAGGCCTCAGCATACACAAGAGAAAAAGCAAGATTCTCAAATGCAACACGCAGAACACTAACCACATTAATGACAATTGATAGAGAAACTCCGGAAGATGTTGAAACTTTCACGTATCTGGGTAGCATCATCGATGAAAGTGAAGGATCTGTTGCAGACGTAAAGGCGAGGACTGGAATATCAAGGACAGCATTTCTATAGTTGAAGAACATACGGAACTCAAAACAACTACCAACCAATATCAAGGTCAGAATATTCAATACGAACGTCAAGATAGTTCTACTGTATGAAACTAAAACTTGGAGAACTACCACAATCATCATCAAAACAGTAAAAGTATTTATCAACAATTTTCCACTCAAGAAAGATACTCAATATCCGTTGGTCAGATACCATCAGCAACACCTTACTATGGGAGAGACCAAACCAGTTACTGACTGAGGAGAGAATTAGGAAAAGATGTTGAAAATGGATAGGACACACATTGTGGAAATCACCAAACTGCATCACGAAGCAAGCACAAAATTGGAATCTTGAAGGGAAACGGAAAGGAGGAAAGCCAAAGAACATACTGCTCCGATAATTGAAAGCAGACATGAAAAGGATGAATAGCGTCTGAAAACAACCGGAAATTATTTCACAGGACAGAGTTGGATGGAGAGTGCTGTTGGGTGGCCTATGGTCCTCCATGAGGAGTAACAAGCGTATGGAAGTAAGTAACAGTGAAATCGACTTCGTTCTTTACATCCTGTTGAGGATTCATCAGCCAAATAGCACTGCCATCCATATACATACTTAATCAAAACATCATGACCGTAATTAAAAAAATTATTACTGACTGCAACTTGAAACTATTCTGTAAATTCAAAAAATTTACCTTTACGCTTGTCCCGATTCTTTAAACATATACTACTGTTGCTATTATTATATTTTTTCCAACCACCAGTATTCTCTGTATTTATATTAGCCTCTTTTGATCCATTTATAAATCCATTATTAATTTCTTGATTCATAGAATAAAGAAGTGAATGTTGTGATCGATTACGTTCTTCATTATTTTGTGAACTTAGATCATTTGTCACTTGTGAACTTGGTGAATAAATATCAGTGCTTCCACTGACTAAAGATGCAGCTGCTCTCGCCGCTGCAGCATAAGCTTCAGCAAATATTCTGCTATTGATCATATTCATATGTGCACTTTGACTACTAGCTACTGAATTACGACTATGTAATAGAGCAGCACATTCATTATCAATACTATTACCATCTAATCCACCATTTATTGCTGAATTTTGTAAAGAGTTGAAATGATGGATTCCATTTAATGAATTATCATATCCATTTGAAATGAAGGAACCACTTGGAGGTGGTTGCTTGTATGGAGTTTCTAAAATTAAATGAAATATTAAAATATGTTAAAATGTTTAAATCGGGTAAGAAGAAAAAGAAAAATGCATTATTTTTCTGCTCAAGTTACTACGGACTTTATGTATTTTCCTTACTAATAATCATGGCAAAACAGTAAATAGTAGTATTGAGATACTTGTATCACTTGTAGTTATCTAGTTCGTAATTATACCTGAGATGCAACTAATATGGTGTGCGTTTCCTATATAGACAGATATAAGTAGTATGTAGCAGATATTGGAAGTGGAATGCCTACCAGCAGAGGGTTGAAATAAAGAGAAGAGGAAGGAAAACAGAGAAATAGGACAACAATAGGAATGGCAGAATGATGGATTATATAAAGGATAATTCAAGAAAGATATACAAATGATGTATTTAATTTCTGATGTTCATATTTTACAATGGCACTATGTGATTTCCCATAAAACTACAAGTTGGTTTTTCCCACTAAGGTTTTGTTCATTATATTAGTAAAGTAAAATACAACTGACTAATCATGATATTCATCGTATCATCAGGTATTTCAATAGCCGTTTTGAAACTTTCATAAGTTAAAAAGCAATCTCAAATATTCATTTATTTACTGTTTGTAGTTTAGACATGATTTGGACTTATAAAGAAGCAAAATAAGATAAGAGATACTAAACTATGGTATTGGCTTAGCTTCGTTAATCGATTACTTTGATAACCGTTATTATATAAACCACGATGGTGTTTGAATTCAGGAGGCAATAAGGAGCAGCGACTACAGTTTATTAGAGGATAGCACAGACAAAAAGTTTCAAGCGAGCGAACTCGGGGAAGAGAGGCTAATATATATGTGAGCGAATACAGTGGTGTATTTATAGTCAAATCGAATCAAGGCTCAGTAAGGCAAGGCAAAGGCTATTAATAGGATTCGGGTACTTATATACACGGGGAAGTGAATGATTTATCGAGCGATATTTAAGCGTTTATCATTTAAGCTAGAGAGAGATAGGTGCATAGGTTGTCACATATGCTCAAGCATAAACGTTTATACAGATATGATAGTGTTCATAATAATACAAAGAAATAGACGAATTGTTAGTGTCTGAATACATTTTCTATTACAGAAGTTAATAAAAAGATTTAACAAAATTTAACCACAATAGAAATTGATTGTAAGAGAGTTGCTATAGTATACTATACACTGTGAATTTTCTGCAATCTAATAAAGAGTTCTTTTACATTGCTCTAGAAAAATTATTCTTCCACAGAATAATTCATTTATCAAATTGTAAATTCATAAATTGAAGTAATATACTGTTATTTTCATTTTTTTTATTTGAAGGGTATATAAACGGGAAAGTACAATTCATAAAGTCTTTGACTTTACCCTTTTTAAAAACCATATGATCATTTCTATACACAAGTGGATACGTGGAACTTAGTGTATACCATTACAAAGGATATAACTAAATGAATTATTGAGTTTATACTCAGTTTTTGTTCAGATTATAACTGAAAGAACAAAGAGGATTATTCATTAGGATAAGTTCAGTTGCAGGAAATATATGCTCACCCTAAACAGTATATTCTTTTACTGATGAGATCAATCTTTATATTTACAGGAATCTTTGCTTATAAATTTGTTTCAAATAAAGTCCAGGTTTTCCATGGTTGTCTAGCTTCAATTTACTCATGATTTCAATTACATAAAATTAAAAAAATCCCCACGAAACCCACTTCGGATATTTATTTATTTGAATAATGTTCGAGGTTATCACTAAAATAAAATAAGTATTAAACAACTGATAAACTATAAATGATTTATTTATTAATATTTCACTAACCTGGTTGATATCTACGCACAGATCCAAGATCACTGTGAAGTTCAAAACCTAATTCACAACCTATATGATTTGGAACATCTAGATTTTTACTAGACTGTTGAGAAGTACTCGATTTCAAACTTCTGTATATGAATAAAAATAAAAACAGGAAAATTAATTTCTATTAGTTAATTCAAAAAGCTTATGAGAAACCCAAGAATATTCAAGTCGCGTAAGTGTTATGAACAGTGAACTTAAAGATATTTAGTATTTACCATTTATTATTATTATCATCACAGAAACCATAATTTTTCATAGCCTATCAACCTCTTTACATCTTTTTAATAATAGTTTTGGTCATGGACTAAAATCAACCACAAAACAAATGGAAAATTGATTTTTCCTAGCTTTTTATACAATATAACAGGGACTAACTAGTACAATATCCATTACAATGTATCATGTCTACTTATTTCGTCTAAATACTTTTGATAAGAGTTGGTATCTAGAAAACTGTTTCATTACAATGGATCTTGAAAGATTTTGATGGAGTTTTGTTCTCTGAGCTGGATGGTTTGGTCGTGGAGATTTCATCGACCTTCTAAACGACATCATCAGCACAAACTTCGGGTAGAAGTCTTGAAAGAACTAATATTTATTTCAGAGAACTCGGTTTACTTCACAATGTTAATTTAGTTTTTATAAAACAGTAAAACAAATCTAAATGGGCAATAGTGCTTAAAAATATGTTAGTTCGGGCAAAACCATTTCATTTATAAATTAAAATAGTCTGCATAACCAGTTATGTGCCGTAACATTGTTAGTATTTTTTGACATAATAATTTTAGTGATCCTATATTTGGCTTCAAGTAAATTGAACGAATGATCGTTATCGAATGACTGCTATCAAAACATACATGTTACCAATCCTCGCATATGAATTATTGACTTAATTTGCGTTTGTAAATAACTGAATTAAATAAGTCATATACGGGAAAGGATTATTGAATACTTATGTTTCGTACAATCGTTGATGGGAAAGCTCATCACTTCGTTATCTCCTCTTCGCTTCGTTTCTCTGATAGCCTGTCTGTATCAACTACTGTATGAAATATACGTATTCAAAAATCCATTATCGTATTTGACTTATTTGATTCCGTTATTCACCAACGCGATTTAAGTCGATGATAATATAGGAGGGTAGTCGACATGTATAATACGATAACAAGCAGCAAACAATCTATCAGGAGTCAGATTTCAGGTCAATAAAAATTAACTTGTTAAATGTTGGATTCAAATTATGGCAATACTTATCATATTGAAGTTTACGATAAAATTTACGAATTTTCGGTTTCACATTGAATATTAGTGTTAGAATTATATTCTGATCATAAAATGATTAGTTCAGCGTGTCTATTTTTGTAAACAAAAGAAATAGAGATGTTAAAAAGGAGGACTCCGATAAATTGGTGAATGTAGCAAATTATTTTCTAGCTTAAAATTGTGAATAGTTAAGAGCTCCCGCCATGTATAGTAGTGTAGTGTGCGCTACTGATGTAAACAGATATAAGTAGTATCTATCATTAATCCGAAGTGAAATGTCTGGCAGCAAATGGTTAAGAAGATCAAAGAAAAACGAACGAGAACAAAGAATGGTTGATGTGAAAACAAAGGAACAATAAGGTCTGAAACGATTGACTGATATTTGCCAAAGGAACAGTCAAGTTTGAGACAACTGATTAACGTTTTGCAAATGAAGTATTTACTGTATGATTCTCAGATTTTACTAAGACACATTGTAGTTATGTTCAAATACATTCGATTGTTTCCCTCCCTTACGCTCTCTTTGTCTACAGTAGATTTAGGTATTAATCTCTGAGTATATTGTGCTACATTTTATAAATGATGTTAAACTATAAATAACTTTAAACTAATGAAATGACATCATAAATAATGATGTGAAGTAATTTTGATGGAGTTTTGTTCTTTGAGCTGGATGGTTTGGTCGTGGAACTTTCGTCTTCCTTCTGAACGACATCATCAGCACAAACTTAAAGTAGAAGTGAAGTGTTTGAATTTCTCCAAATGTGATTCACATGTGATTCTACTTTAAGTTTGTGCTGATGATGTCGTTCAGAAGGACGATGAAAGTTCCACAACCAAACCATCCAGCTCAGAGAACAAAACTCCACCAAAATCACTAACCTGAGCTACAAATCTTCTCCACCATCTCAAAATCGTAAAGTAATTTTATTCACATGAATATACACCTACATAACTGAAGTATAACATAAATTAACTAAATAAATAAGCTTTTTTCTATTAATAACTACTTACTTTTTAATATTCCAAAATTTTAATGAATCTGTAGGCGGAAAATAAAGATATTATATTACACTTTAAATGATGATAATAAGTGAATAAACTTAAATAAGCTTATATTTTAACTAGATTTAATAAAGATGTTATTTTAAAAGTTGAGATCATGAATCAATTGAAGCTAGACCACCATGAAAAACATAGAAGCACTGCTTGACGGCCGTTTCGTTCTATTATGGGACTCCTCAGCAGTGCGCACCCACGATCCCACTTCGCGAGATTCGAAACCAGGACCCACCACTCTCGCTCCAGAGCACTTAACCGATAAACCATTGAGCCGGCATCCAACGGTGTTAATGTCTAACTTCAACTGATCCACAAACTTTGAGCAACCTTTCACCAATTGTCTTCAGTGAGTTGATATCTAACAACAGACGTGGCTGAACTCCACTGGTCACTGCTTCCCACTAGAACTCCAGGAAACATCTCTTGAAGTCAGTGGTTTGGAATCTCGCGAGGCGGGATCGTGAGTGCGCACTGATGAGGAGTCCCATAATAGGACGAAACGGCCATCAAGCAGTGCTTCTAGGTTTTCGATGGTGGTCTAGCTTCAATTGACTCATGCTTTCAACTACGATAAATACTAAATCTCCACAAAACTCCTTCTATAATATTGTATAATTGTTAAGTAACTAACTTAATCATACTAGTGTTCCTCTTATCATTAGCTTTATTTTGACCTTTGAACTATTACTATGCGATTCTTGAGTTATCATCAGTTTATTGATTACTATTCACAGCCACATTTGACTAAATATTGTACAAATGTTATTTTCTGTTTTATGGTATGATGTGGTCTGTTTGGTTGGTATATAAACTCAGTATGTTTGAAATACAATGATTCATACCATAGAGGCTGTCATTTGTGTTTTTGGACTTAACTGGCTGGGATAGGCAGAAGCAGGATCGATTAGCACTCTAGACTGCTCGTACGGGTTTCGTGTGTCACTGTTCCAATCGATAATTCACTGCTCCTGATTGGCGGTCTCATCAAGTCACACATTAACTGGGCATCCACTCGGCCACAAGATATAACAATAATGACCTTATTTTAGATTTCCCTTATCATCTGATCTATAATTTAGACAAATAAATTGTAGTTAATGAGTCGATTCAAGTTAGTTAAAAATTCAAATAGTTTCGATAACATCGTTTCTCAATGTAATTTAGTAGCAAATTTTTACATGACAATGAAAGTTATGGTGACAACGGCCTATTTTAGCTTCTTTAGAGTATAAGAACGATTTACTGAAATTAAGTTAGATCCCTGGTCATTAAGATCAAGTGAGAGGAAGCGAAATAGGTGTTGTATTTTTCAGTTTTATGCCTCAAGGTTTTTAATAATAAAAGCTTGAAGCAAATATAAATAATTTACGTCTGTTTTTACCAACGATTAGATGCATATTAAGCTATTCAAGTGGAATACTCGCTTTTTCTAATGCGAATAATATTAAAATTATGCCTTACTATTTTAATGAGCTTATGTATTATTTGAAAATTTATTTACGCATGTTAACCCTCATGGAGGAGCATAGGCCACTCAACAGCATTCTCCATCCAATTCTGTCCTGGGAAATCATTTCCGGTTGTTTTCAGATGCTATTCATCCTTTTCATGTCTGCTTTTAATTCTTGGAGCAGTATGTTGTTCGGCGTTCCTCTTTTCCGTTTCCCTCCAAGATTCCAATTTGGTGCTTGCTTCGTGATGCAGTTTGGTTATTTCTACAGTGTATCTTCTATCCATTTGAAACACGTTTTCCCAATTTCCTCTTCAGTTCCATATAGTAGCACTGTTTTAACGTTCGTATTGTAGATTCTGATTTTGATATTGATTGACAGTTGTCTTGAGTTCTATATGTTCTTCAACTGTAGGAATACTTCGCTTGCTTTGCTAATCCATACTTTCACATCTCATTATATGCTATTATTATGCGTACGGATAACTTTTGAGTCAAGTATCTTTAACTTTATTTAGTTCTTTATCTGTTAGTCGAATTTATTACCAGCCATTATCAAACCCTGTATTAAACATAAGTTTTATGATTGTTAAATTATGAAATCAAGATAGAACTTCTACTTTAATTATATGCTTATTATTTTGCTCACGAAGACATTTAACGGTTTCTTGAATCTTCTTTCTTTATTGAAAGTGATAACATAAACACTATGAATCTGATTGTGTCACTAATAGTATGCATGTTTGATATAATTATCTTAATTATATTCATTAGTTTTACCATTCATCTTGTCTTTGGAACCACAATAAACTCTATCTACAATGGAGTTCTGCTTATTGACGTCATGGTCATTTGTAATCATAATAAAATAATCCCAAGATAATAGAGATAAGAACTTAAATTGAGAAAAAAAGAAAGCCAAGAGCAGTCTCTCAATATTATAATTATAATAGATGAATGCAGTTGGGATAAATAATATTATCTTTATGAGATGATAACAATAATTGCTTGAATAGTACTTTATTATGAAAAAAGCTTACCATGTTTATTTCGACCATAGCATGAATAGATTATAATTATTGTGATAAGAAATACAATTACTAGTGCACAACCACCACTTGCTGCTAATGCTAACAAGGATTTATTGAATACACCTCTCGTTTTAGATATTTCTATAATTGAAAAGAAAATAACGACATAATATATCCATCTTTGCTTATAATGCTTGTGAATTAAGGCGATATGTCAATAAGAGATTGAACATTTGCAGTTCTAAACATCAATGGGAAGATTCAAACAAACAATACTAAGTGAATTCAAACTTCATCCCATTGCACAAGCAAGTGACTATCAGGACTCAGTATCTAGGTGGATAACGCGAACGCTACTGGGTTCGAGTCCCAGAGTGAACATCAACTCTGAGGTGCAGGTACATCTAGCTGACGAGTCTGAAATAGGACGAAACGTGCGTCCTGGATTCCACTGCTAGCCACTATCCATTTTGCTTATTAATTTGTTAATTAGAATTTCAAGAATGTCATAATTTAAAACAAATATCTGAAAACAAGGTGTACAACTTTTGATAGTTAACTGTTGATATATGGTAAAACTGAAGTTATGTAATAATGAAATGAAAATGAAGATTTGTAGTTCAGGTTGATGCTTTTTGAGGGGAATGGTTTAATTGTAGGCTTTTATTATCTCTTCTAGAAAATATCAGATACCATTTCACAAACCCAATTCCTCCTGATGATTTTGTACGTTATTGGTATATTTTGTAGGTTTCGTTGTGTTCGATTTCTTTTTTTGTTGAGTGTTTGATTTCGAAGAGAGATATCCCTTTTGTAAGTCAGGTTTCCTTCTAAATCTATATCTATATATATCATGTTTCTCCATGAATGAATCTTAAACTATCAAAACGTTACGTGTATTTGTATTAGTAAATCACTTTACAAAAATGTGTCCCCTACGTTGTATATATATTCAAGATCGAAAATGGTCACTTGTTAATACCCTCTGTTTTATGTTGGATTTCTAATGAGCATTTACTGAAAGTAATTTCTAACAAGTTCACTGGTTATTAGAGGTCTGTATATTGTTTTGATGATCAGTTTAGAAAATGTGATACACTAGAATGTTTACCATAAATTTTTATTTATTTACCTTTCGTATTAATTTCAAACTATACCTTCTTGAATGGTATTGACAACCAGTTGATTTCGAGTACTAAGTTTTCAATTTTAGAAAGTTAGATATAACTTTCTGCATAAAGTCTAAATTTTGTTATTGATATGATCACTAATATTCAGGTCGGATAAACATGATTAACACAGTGACCTAGAAATACTCAATCATTTGATCTTATTAGCAAGCCGTATAACTCATGGATTGTGCAACACATGGTAATCAGCATCTGGTTGTGAAAAACACTTTAAACCCGTAAACTTTTTATTTCAAAAGGAGGAGGAGAATGCTTGCTATCTAAGTTGATGAGTCAAAAAAGCATGCTGTTGAATTTATCATTTCCTATCTAATCAATCATCATTACATAATAGATTCGGTATTAGATGTTGATAGAATAATAATTTTGTGTAAAATACCTGGTTGCCATAATACAGGAGATGTTTCTTGTAGAAGTTTTGTACCTTGAAATAGAAGAAATCGAAAATTATACAACTGAACTGCATCGGATAAATGTATTTCCATCTTTCCTAACCAAGGTTTGGCAACCTGGTAATCTTCACAACCAACAGTTCTAGAATTAGCTGAAATCTGTGAACTATCCAATCGACTTGCAACATCATTTTGGTTCGAAACATTTTTTGAAGTAATTGATACTTTTTGTTGTGGAATATCCCGTTTGAAGTGCTGCTTACTTACAGATTGTTTATTTATTTGTTTGTGATTACCTAAGAAAGCATCACGTCGGCATACTCGAAGGATAAGTTTCATAAGAGAAGATTTCAGTGGAGGACTAAATAAGATACTTGTGGTTGATCCATGATGAATAACTTCAATGGATTCTTCTGTTATAACTCCAACCCCTGTACAGATAAGGAAGGCAAGACTTCTGAGTTAATTTCAAGACAGTTATGAAAAAACGTAAAACTCCATTTTTATTGAAAATTAACTGGTCAGCATATATCGTCATAAATATTACTTAGTTCTGATTAATTTCAGATAAATTTCACTAAAGATATCCTTTGACCAATTATTATGGCTGACTGGATCCTCTTTAGCTATACAAACATGACTTTTCAGTTGGAACTAAGTAGAATATTGCCTATCAGCTCAAAAAATTATGGAATATCTATACTACAAAAAAAGACTAAGGTAAATAGTTTTATATTCATTGTGTAATGATACATAATATTTTCCAATCGATATGAGTGACATTTAACTATTTATGTATTGCATGTCATTAACACATCATCTTGTAATGATGATTAATAAAATTAACGAACAGAACCCTACCTGTTGCATTTAAAATCATAGATGATTTTGATAACCAACGTTCAAAGTAGTCTGATTATCAGTTTAAATCTATCCCGGTGAGCGATTTACATCAGATTAGACAGAAATCTAAAAATCTGTGCAGTTTTGCATTTACATTTTCTTCCATCAGCATTTTTAGTTACCTTTTTTGTACTTTTTTAAGAAGTGTAATTACATAGCTTATTAACATTATTTTAATCATAACATTCTTACTAATTTTATAAACAAAGATGGATGGTGGTTATCAGCAGAATCCATGATGCGCGTTTCGTCCTATTTAGGACTCGTCAGCTGAATGAACCTGCATCTCAAAGTTGGTATTCACATATGTGAACAAGAGACTGATCAATTTCAGTTCTAAACAACAATGGGAAGATACAAGCAAACAATACCAAGTGAACGTATTGATTTTAGTTAGCCTGTCAGTGATGATAAGATGGAGAGATATTAAATGCTTCATTCAGCCTCACGTATTTTTTTCTAAGTAAATAATGAAATCACATTCTTCTTCATTGTTTGTGATATATTTACATAGCTTCCTAATGCTCAAGAGTAAATTACTATACTTTCAGGTCTGTTACTATTCACGACCTAAATATGATAGAGAAGTTAACCAATATACATATTCATAACTTTGATTGGAGAGACATTTCCGGAACACGAAAGTTGAGACTTCGATTAATCTCTTTATCATTGTCAGAATTAGATAGATATCATTCAAAGTAAGTGAAGTAGTAGAAAGTTAAACTGTTCGACGATTTTTAAACAAAGCACTTACCAGCCTTTTTTATCAAGTGAAATGTGAATTCTTTCACACCTAACTGATGACGAACTTGACAAACGTATGTACCAAAATCAACAGATTTGACTTCTGTGAACCTGAGGAAAAATGTAAGGTTACCATAGAGGCCAGTACCACTGGAAGCAAAAATATTTTTTCTCTGCCCAATAGACTGACGTAAATTTTGTTCTCCAGAAAAATCCGATGTTGACAAATGTGACTCAAAACGATTAAATATTGTTCTTCTAACACGAGGCCATGAATCATACGATTGTGGATAACCATAATTTATTTGAGGTGGTTCGAAATAAGATTGTGGTTCAACGTATTGCTCAGAATTGTGGATTTTTTCAGCTTCATTCTTAAAAGTGTTTGTCTGAAACCATTCAGCTTCTGCCCAAGGTGGATTTGCATCTAAATATAGAGCTAAAGTTACAGATTCACCTAGTTGCGCCATAACATAAGTTTGTGTACGTCTATTCATCACGGGTTGATCTAAAAATTCGAAGTATTTTAAAATATACATCAGACATATCAGAATTGGAAATTTATCCATAATTATCTTAGGTAAAAATCTATATTGTCCATATTGTTACGAAACCAGGATCTAACTATCAGTGATAAACATAAACACAATTAATCAGTGAATGGGGACGAGACCGGAAGAAAATGCAATGTAAAGAGATGAAAAGAAAATTATGGTGAGTAGATACTAGATAGAGAATAAAATTTTGGCGTTCTGAGTGCTGAAAATTTTCTAGCATAGAGTCATGACAGACCTACGAAGAAAAACTAAACTCAATATAAAATGCATAGGTGGGCATATTTAAATTGAGACTTATATTCAGTCGCTTATCTGATTCAAAATTGTTTGAAATCAATTTAAAGAAATTCCCCACATATATTGTGTATTGTTGAGTGGTAAGCCCTTAGAGTAAACGTACTAAATATGTCCACTATTTTTGTACCATCTGTATAGTAGGTTTTTCTCGTCAAATTCTACACTTTTTGGTTTTATTATGCTTCTATAACTTAAAATGCAGCAGGTAATTCAACTTATGATTAGTATTTTTCTAATAGAAAAATGTAATCTTTCAAAATTTTAGAATAATACATAAGCAAGTACGTTCTAACCAATAAACCTAAACTTTCCGATGCGGTCTAGAACAACAGCGAATAACTTCATGGGCTAATACTACTTATTGTTTTGCTCATTTCTAGCTCATTTTCAATGTACTTCATTGTCGGCCGAAAGTGAATGTTGAGGTAATGAGCGGCCAAACATACATATTTTGTCTTTCAACTACCTCAGCTTATTAGGATCTATGGTCCCAACAGTGGAATCACCCTTTTTACCTAGTACTTTAGTACCTCAATATTGCTCACTCGGTAGTTTCACCTTAATTTCGCAATACTTTGAAGGTATATAGCACCTCATCTACACTTGAGTCTAATTTATCCAAACCCTTCAATTAACTTTTCGAGCAGTGTCATTCGAACAGTAATAATTTGTCTACGTCTTTGAATTATTATTATCATGTGTGTGAGCATATTAGCTTGACCACATGTTACAGACTACATACATATCCCTCTTGCTAGCCTAAATCGCTTGATAACGCTTCATGCTTTCCTATATACATATGCGTCTTAAATCTAATCAATCCATCCATCTCTTTATTAGCTCGCTCTCATTCAGTGTCATTCGCATTACTATTTGTATCCGCTTTGTATGCTTGTGGCTTTGTGATCCACGCTGTACAACAATAAGCTGTAGTGAACTTTTTTTTTCGAAATTTATATATCATTAAGTTTTATCTAGTAACGGTTATCAGGATGGGTGATATACGAAGAATCGTGAATTATCTCAAAGATATTACATAATAAGCACTTATTATCGTATACTTGCAGTCTACTTGTGTCTTCTAATTTTATAGGCAGCGTTTCGCAACCATTTTGCATACAGACGAAGAGAAATGCAAATGAAACATGCTTGAGAACACTATAAGGCATATAGAATATGAAAAACTCCTATGATGCTATAAACTGATAAATGTTTGGCGCACATCGTGATGCACACGATAACTACAATTACAAAAAGATTCCAGGATTCTCGTTTATAAGGGTCATAAATAACAGAAAAATACGAATGTTGAAATCTAAAATTCACTGTAGATGAAAGCTACATTACATCTGAGAAACGGTATAGGTAAAATCATTTTAAAAAGTATGCTATAAATTTTTCCACTGTCAGTGCTTAACATTTGTCGGTAAAAGTAATATTTGAGAATGAAGATTTATGCTGTTTCGTTTGTTTAGAAAGTATAAATTGTTGTTGTAGACAACATTATCAAGATCTAAGTATCCGGGACATAAATGAAGGCTTTACAATCATACTATTCGGTAGAGAAAATATAACTTTACCAAAGTTATTCATTCAAGCCGTTAATCCTGTCCATCACCTCAAAAACGCTATACAAATTACGTAAACCGTTTGATATTTTCATTGAAATCATGGACCGATAAATGTTAGGCTACCATTGAAAACCTAGAAGCACTAAATGGACGTTTAGTCCTAGAATGGGAATCCTCAACAGTGCGCATCCACAAACCCACACTAGGGATTCGAACTTAGGATATTTGATCTCACGCGAAAGCTTAACCTCCAGACCACTAAGTTGGTATCCAATGGTGTTAATGTCTAACTTCAACCAACCATTCACGTTTGATGGTTATTTGAATAGCAGTTTTAAGAGAGTATCGAACAGCTAGTACTTTGGATTCTCTTCATAACAAGTATACATTTCTGTTGGCACATTCATCATAGTATAAAATACATTCATAAATGAAAGTGGAATGCATATGCATACAATGTTAGATTGATTAGTGTTCCATTTGAAAAACAATTTAATTTGTTTGTATAGTATCATGTGAATTGTTCTTTATAGAAACGTACATAATCTAAATTCTTAAATAAACAAACTTGATATATTCGTATTGTATTCTGTGCAACTTTGAATAACCGGTTACAAGATCTTTAATTGAATTCATCTCGGCATTAAAAATTGAAATTGGAAAATTAGAAAATGTTTTTATTATGGATAGATGAAGACCAGTTTTTGTGTTAAGGGACAAAATCTGTCAAAACCATTTTCTTTCTAACTAAGAAACTTTGAGATAACTAATAACAAAATTTTTTTTTTTTTGAAAAAGAAAACTTACAATATAAATCAAGATGATGTAATGCATGAGAACTTCCACCGATTCCAGATACTTCACAGCCATACCATCCAGCTTGAGACAATTTAATATTGGTTAAATTTAATTGTGAATCATGATATCCACTCAGTTGTATCATACTGTCAAATTCTGGCCTTTGTGTTACGAGTGATGAAGATATAAAATGATTTTTTAGGCTTGATAGATTCAATGAATTATCTGTATCTTGTTCATATTGGTCATCATTTAATTGAGTGTCGTCATCTTGTTTTAATAAACTAGAAAATTGCGTTGATTTAGCTACAAACCATGCATATGTCAAGTCATTTGAAGGATTTCCTCCAATAGCTTGACAGAATAATGTAACAGATTGTCTTGCGATTGGTTGATTTGGAAGACTGATGATATGAAGTGATGGAGGATCTAGCAAGAATAAATTATACATATTGTGAACAAATTAATGAACCACATGTACTAAAAAAAATTTTACAATCTTATATAGGTATAGTTCAAAGTGAAGGTGAATATCTCACTTCGAAAGTTTATATCATCGGTAATTTGATAGTAACGACACTCATATTTATATTAAATAGATTACAAAAACCACAATATATGAAGAATCGAGGACATGGTATTTCTTAAAAGAGGCTTTCAACTTTAAATATGAAATCACTAGATGATTAGCTAAATAATCTTAAACGAATATTAGTAGTGCTGATTGATTATTTTACAGATAGTTATTATCTAATATTACGAGATGAACAACCATTAGGAATCACTATGACAATTAAGCTGTAAAGTCAATCTAAACTGTAATAAGGAATTTCACTAGAAATATATTAATTTATTATAAATACAATTTCAAATATAACTTACATAAGATCTGTAATCTATGCTCACTCAGAACAGGTTTATTCATTCCTGTATGATTAACAAGACATTGGTAAATTGTATTTTGATGTGATCGATAAGTTTTGGTAATGATTAAAGTACTTAAAACTTTAGTTCCACCAAAATCTCCTTGATTCTGTTAAAGTAAATCAAAATATAAACAATTCTATTTCTTTTAGTGAATTATCAAACAATCATAGATTAAATTATCAATGAAACTAATAAAAATAGTTTTAAGTTTTGCACATAGTTAATAGAGAATGAAATCAAAATGGATATAATCTATAGCAGCTCAGGTATATTTGAGTTTGTTCACAATCAACTTGGTCAAATCCTTTTGGTTATTTATTTCGTCAGACAGAGACATTCGTACAATAACAATTTATCTACATCATTGTATCTTTATTATTGTTGCGCTTGTATGAATATGTATATTTGAGCATTGCTTACCACGTACGCATATATTTATTGTGTTAGTCACTTTAGTGTTAGTCACTTAATTCATTCGATGATTCTCCCACTTCCTTATATCTATACATATATATTTTAATCCTATTCATTTGACTCGCACGCTCATTCGCACACTCATCCGCTCGCTTGCTTTTCGGCACTAGCCTTTCATTGTTGTTTCATATACTTATGGTTTTGGTGAACTGTGCGCGGCGCAATAATAAACCTAATCAACACCTTGTATTTGTCTTCTGATTTATACACCATTGGGTATGTTATCTAGTAACACTTTATCAGGAAGAACAATATACGAAATTTAGGGATAATATCGAATACTAACCACAACAAATCATAAACTTTAAAGATATTTTTTAAAATTAACAAAATCTACCTTCGATTCTTACTATAAAGCCTACTGTCTTATAGTGTTAGCAGTTTGGCCTATATATACAAAAGGAATATACTTTTGTAAATCTTTCATTGCTCTTGTAAAGTTAACAATAATGAAATGTATTACAATCTTATTTTTGAAATATTTATTAATTAAGAACTCCGCCTGTAGCTCTTCTAGAGTTACTGCCGGTCCCAAGCCCGGGTAAAGGAGGAGGGTTGGGCATGGGGTTAGCGACCCCATCCCGTAGAAAAGCTAACTCGCTAAAAAAACGCTAACCAGAAAAAATAATTCAAACCATTTAAACTCTGCCCTGGGAGTTGAAGGAATAATTATGACGTCTCATGATGAAAGCCGAAATTCTTCGGAAGTCACGAGACCGATGCACCTCCTAACAACCAGAGCAACACTTTTTATAGGTACATGGAACGTCCGGACAATGTGAGAGACATGAAAGACCGGCCAAATAGCAATGGAAATGAGGAGATACAGCTTGGCAGTACTCGAAATAGCCGAAACCCATTGGACACAAACTGGACAACAAAGTCTAGGTACAGGAGAGATGCTGCTGTATTCCGGTCACGAAGGGGAAAATGCTCCATACACTCAGGGAGTTGCTCTAATGCTGTCCAAAGAAGCACGAAATGCACTTGTGGGATGGGAATCTCATGGAACCAGGATAATCAAAGCATCATTCAGAACAAAGAAGCAAGGGATCACAATGAACGTTATCCAATGTTATGCACCCACCAATGATAGCAACGACGATGATAAAGATCAGTTCTATGAAAGGCTGCAATCAATTATAGCGAAGTGCTCACGAAAGGACCTCACCATTCTGATGGGAGATCTAAATGCTAAAGTTGAAGTGGACAACACAGGATATGAAGATGTAATTGGACGACATGGATTAGGAGAGAGAAATGAAAATGGGGAGAGACTTGCAAACCTAAGTGCATTCAACAAATTGGTTATAGGCGGCACAATATTCCCACACAAGCGCATACACAAAGCTACATGGATTTCCCCGGACCACACCACAGAGAACCAGATAGATCACATCTGTATCAACAAAAAATTCCGAAGATCAATGGAAGATGTGAGAACCCGGAGAGGAGCTGACATAGCTTCAGATCACCACCTGGTTGTGGCCAAGATGAGACTGAAGCTAAAGAAAGACTGGACAACTGGACAAACAGCACTACAAAGGTTCAATACAGCCTTCCTTTGAGATACTGACAAGCTCCATGAATTCAAGATAACTCTCAACAACTGGTTCCAGGCTCTACAGAATCTACTGAATGAACAAGAAACTACTTTGGAGGACAACTGGAAAGGGATAAAAGAAGCACTAACTTCAACGTGTCAGGAGGTTCTTGGTTCTAAGAAGCATCATCACAAGGAATGGATCTCTATGGGAACCCTGGACAAGATTCAAGAAAAGAAGAACAAGAAGACAGTAATTAATAACAGCCGAACACGAGCAGAGAAAGTCAAAGCACAAGCAGACTACGCAGAAACAAACAGGGAAGTGAAAAAAAGCATTAAAGCGGACAAGCAGAAATACATGGGAGAACTAGCAACGGCGTCGGAAAAAGCTGCAAGAGAAGGGAATATGAAACAACTATATGATACAATGAAGAAATCGGCTGGGAGATATAGCAAACCAGAGAGACCAGTCAAGGACAAAGAAGGAAAGACAATCACTGAGATTCAAGAACAGAAGAAAAGATGGGCAGAATACTTCGAGGAACTGCTGAATAGATCAGCCCCATTGAATCCACCCAACATCGAAGCAGCCCACACAGACCTTCCAATAGATGTCACTCCACCAACGATCGAAGAAGTCAAGATGGCCATCAGACAAATCAAAAGTGGGAAGGCGGCTGGACCTGACAATATATATCAGCTAAAGCACTGAAGTCAGACATTGAAATAACTACAAACATGCTTCACCTTCTATTCAGGAAGATTTGGGAAGAGGAACAAGTGCCAACGGACTGGAAAGAAGGATATCTCATCAAGATACCAAAGAAAGGAGATCTGAGCCAATGTGAGAACTACACAGGCATCAGTTTGTTATCAGTACCAGGAAAAGTTTTCAACAGAGTGCTGCTGAATCGGATGAAAAACGCAGTAGACGCTGAACTTAGGGATCATCAGGCTGGATTCCGTAAGGATCGGTCGTGCACAGACCAGATTGCGACACTACGGATCATCGTTGAATATTCAGTTGAGTGGAACTCATCACTATACGTCAAGTTCATTGATTTTGAGAAGGCGTTTGACAGCGTGGACAGAGAAATTATGGAAAATTCTTCGACACTATGGGGTTCCTCAGAAGATCGTCAACATTATCCCAAACTCATACGATGGACTACAGTGCAAAGTGGTGCATGGAGGACAGCTGACAGATGCATTTCCAGTAAGGACCGGAGTCAGACAAGGCTGTCTACTTTCCCCATTCCTCATCCTTCTGGTGATTGACTGGATTATGAAGAATTCGACATCTGAAAGGAAATACGGAATACAATGGAATTCTCAGAATCAATTAGATGATTTGGACTTCGCAGATGACCTAGCCCTCCTCTCTCATGCACACGACCAAATGCAGATGAAGACAGCGAATGTAGCAGCAGCCTCCGCATCGAGAGGTCTCCACATTCACAAAAGAAAAAGCAAGATTCTCAAATACAACACGGAGAACACCAACGTAATCACACTTGATGGCGAAACTCTGGAAGAGGTGGAAACATTCAAGTACCTGGGGAGCATCGTTGATAAACAAGGAGGATCGGATGCAGATGTAAAGGCAAGGATTGGCAAAGCAAGGTCATCATTTCTACAATTGAAGAACATATGGAACTCAAAACAACTCTCAACCAATTTCAAAGTCAGAATCTTTAATACGAACGTCAAGACAGTCAGTTATACTGTATGGAGCTGAAACGTGGAGAACTACTACGACCATCATCAGGTAGGTACAAGTATTTATCAACAGCTGTCTACGCAAAATACTCAACATCCATTGGCCGGATACTATCAGCAACAGCGTTTTATGGGAGAGGACAAACCAGCTTCGAGCGTAGGAGTAAATTAAGAAAAGACGTTAGAAGTGGATCGGACATGCATTAAAAAAATCACCAAACTGCATCACGAGGTAATCCCTAACTTGGAATCCGAAAAGGAAGCAGAAAAGAGGAAGGTCAAAGAACACATTAAGCCGGGCGATTGAAGCAGATATGAAAAGTATGAATAACAACTGGAAAGAACTGGAAAGGAAGGCTCAGGACAGGGTTGGGGCAACAGGCGTAAGTATATATATATTTCAATTATCTAGTCAGTAAGAATCTTATGTAAGCATTAATTTAATGTATTTGTTTAATTACTAGTTTAGTGACTATGTTTCTAAGAATGATTCTGTTAATCAATATTTCCAATCTATAAATTTATTTAAAACTATCATTTTATAATTAGTAGTATGTAATATTCCTTCTAAAAAGAATGAATTTCATCATCTTTTTTTGTCATTATAAATCATATAAGTTTCCATAGAGTGTACTTTATATATTTGGCGGTAACTATTTTTTTTTATCCATTGAATAATTTTAACTTTTCAATTTGAAAAAATTTCATAAAATCAAATGGTGACTTTTATTGTTGCAAAAGTTTTCTTTTTCTTTTTTTTTTATAAAAAAAATGGTCGGTTAATTGATTTATTAGGTAAAACAAACAAATTTTTTCATTTAAGAATCAGGACAATTCATTGATTTGCAAAAAACAGTGCACTACATTAACATTCTGAAATTCTTGTAAAACAATATGTATAATATCACCTTTTCTATTAAAAAAGTAATATTCTCATTATTGTTAGACATTATATTAATTGAATCTATGCATAACATGCATGAATATATGGTAAGTTAGAAATAAATAAGTACCAGAAGGGTTTTTGTGGACATTATAATAACTTTAATAGTTCAGATCATGATTCAATTAAAGCTAGACCATGATGTAAAACCTGGGGCTCGTCAGTTGTGCGCATCCACTATCCCGCCTCACGAGATTCAAACCCTCCTCTTGCGCGTGACAGCTTAACCTCTAGATCACTTAGCTGAATGTCATCCAACTGTGTTAATATCTAACTTCAACCAATCCACGAAATCCAGCGACACATTCTCCATTGCCTTCAATGAGTTACTATTTCACAACAGACCTGGTTGAACTCTACTGGTCACTGCTTCTCCAGGAGATACCTGTTGAAGCCCTTCAATAGTGAGCATATGCTAATCTCGCGAAGCGGGATGGTAGATGACCACTGCTGACGAGTCCCATGATAGGACGAAACGGCCGTTCAGTGCTTTCAGGTTTTCCATGGTGGTCTAGCTTCAATTGACTAATGATCTCAACTATTAAAATAAATAAGTGATCTAATAAAGTGTTTGTTATATCTCGATAAGAATAATGAATATATAACTTTGGGATCTATTTATGGACCAATACTGTGCACTTATTTTTATCGTATAATTGTTTAATAACTAAATTATTAATATTCATGTCCCTCTTATTATGAGATTTATTTTGATCTATTAACTATTATTATATGATTTACCATTCTCGAGTTATACCCTGTCTATCAATTACCTCCCCCCACATTCATAGCCACATTTGGCTCAATCTTCTACAAATGTTGTTTCCCTATTTTATGGTACGATGTGGTCTGTTTGATTGGTACATAAACGCAATATGTTTGAAAATAATGATTTATATTGCAGATGTTGTTATTGGTGTTCTGGACTTATCTGGCTGGGCTAGGCAGAAAGCAGGGCTGATAAGTACTCAAGACTGCTTGTACAGGTTTCGTGTTTCATTGGTCCGATTGATAAATCACTACTCTCTAATTGATGATATTGTTACGTTATACATTAACAAGGCATCCAGGCAAGTTATTCATTATTAATTAAAAATGGGTAGTGTTAGAAAAAAAAAGAAAACAACACTTAATTGAATTTTACTAAAATCATAAATATTCACATGTGTACAGTTTTGAAAATATCATTTAGATAATCCATTATTCAAATACAAATATGTATGCTAAATTAAATTGCTTATTATAATTTCTATTCTATTCTTTTTTATACTGAGTTATAATAAAACTCTTAATGTATATTTCAATTTTGTAAACGAAAAAACCGACAAAATTTTTTGTATAAAAAATAACTATTCTGTAACTAAGGGAATGAATGAAAATAAGAAAAACAATAAAGAGGGGGGTAGGGTGGGGGAGGGAAATAAAAATACTAATTGTAATACACAGAACAAATTAATATTTCAGATGAACAATTATTTAATATGAAAATATTATATAAAGTAGACAATTTATGAACTATATGAACCAAGTTTGCAAAAGATAAAAAAAATTGTCTTACTGTGTTCATTATTGAATGTTGAAATTAAGAATAATGATAATGAGGAATGCTAATTGTGAATGTGGTTTTTCCCCTCGGTCAGTTCATTCACTTTGACTTTATCTTTTTTCCCATTGAAAGTATTTGATTTCAGATTCTATGGTTGGCCTTTATTTCAAACTCTTAATGAATAAGTAACACTTAATTGAGTGTGTAGAATATGGATACATTTTTACTCTTTTTTTTTAAAAAATAAAAAAAAAGCAATTATATATTTAATTAAATGAATAATTTGTAAGTTACTTACAGTTTCTAATTGGGCAAGATCAGTTAATTCATTTGAAAATAAGTTATTATATTGAAAATGTTCTTCTATATTTTTATTCTTTTCTTGTATTTTATCTGGTGGAATTTCAAGCCAACGTATCACAGCAGGTGGATGACATGAACTTGTAGCACATGTCAATTCTAATCGACCAGCTTCTGGTACACCATTTATTGGTTGAGCTGTTAATCTTATGTTATTTGGAGAGACTTATTCATTTTTTTTCGAGATAAAAGAAAAAAAATCAGAAATAAGTAGTCTAAAACTTTATCTTATAAATGTATGTAATGTTTGAATACAGCTATACAAGGCAATTAGAGTAAATTTAGTCCTACTAATAAAAATTATTGTTGCTCATTACAAAATATGACTTAGAGGCTTCCAAGTTTTGATAAATAAAAAGAACGAGATTAAAACGTTACGGTAGATACAAATTGTGTACGACTTTTTGATAATGTGAGTCAACCATAGGTAACCAAATGAGACCTCTTGAGGCCAACCAAAAGTAACCTGAAGAACAACTACATATGATTACCTAAGAAAAGTACTCATTTTCTAAGAGATAGCAATATATAGATGAGTATTAATGTATATCATTCGGTAGACCAATAGGTTTTCTCTCCCATTTTTGTCTTTTCGCCCAATTATTCAGTTTGGGAGTTTAGCGCCTAACAGGCTGTGCATCAGTATCAGATCTCGAAAACCACTTATAAAAATATTTTCATTTTATAATTCCTTGAAGGGGATGTCTCAAAAATAAATTTTCAATAATTTGTCAAACTAGTCATTAAGCAGTCTATCAGTATATATACATCTATCGTTTGATCTAACCGGTTTGTGGAGAACGATAAATACTTTTTAACTTTCTTCATAGACAAATAGCAACAAGGTATTTCAATATGGACTAGATGTATCTTTTGATCATATCGTTGAGTTACATCTTCATCTGACTATCTCTCTTGGTTACTTGCACTGTAACGAATGATCAGAAATAAAATAAAGAAATTCCGAGCAAGTAGATTGATTACCATTGCTAATTGTTAAGAAACTAAAGCAAAGTTGAAGTTAAGTAAGGTTAAAATTAGTGATATCTAATGAGATTATCATCGAAAACGCAAGTTATTAGTCTATCTTTAAATTGTTTAAAACAATCCCGTTTAACCTCTATTATGTATATCTTTCCTTTTTATTTTAATCAAACTTACATCTCTACAAATACCTAAATTACAGTAGACAACGATAATATAATGTATAAAAAAGCGGTTCGCCTTGCCAACTAAGATTCTGATGACCAACATTAGGTAGTTGTTAACGATTATTCATGGTCACACTTCTAAATATCTAGGACTAAACGCAAAAACATTGGTAAAATAGTTTTACTCCTAGAACAATATCATTCATTTGTATGCTACAGTTCAGTCACCGTACGCTATCAATTAAAGTGGAAGAGCATATACACTAAGAATGGTCATTTAGGTTCTTTAAACTAAATGAATCAATTATTGACAATCTAGTTCAGAGTGACAAGAGAATGATCTCCAGTTCAGTAATACTGCATATCTAAAAATGTTTAGAAAAACTGCATTTTTATGCATCAACATAAAACTTACACATAACCTCCAGAAACCCCTCTGATCGAAGAAGTGTTTTTGAGTCATTGAATACAACTGAGCATTCAAATCGTCTTCCATTCAATGCTCTACTTGCGAGAACTGTTAGATTAGAACGAGTAACAACAGCACCATTACTTTGCGTGATGAAGTCCACAGTGACGGACATTTTCAAAGTTTCCAGAGAAATAATAGCACCAGCAGAATCAAGCTGTTGCCATTTTAATAAAGCTGAAGGATTGCTTCCCATACTATCTGTTTGACAACTAAACATTTTTTGACTTGACTCTGCAATCAAACCTTCGGGATATGACTGGACGTATACTGCCCGTGGAGGAACTGAAAATGTGTGAATAAATTGTATTTAAATTAACAATGTTACTTATTAGTAGCTTAAAAAGTAATTGCAAAATAATTCACGAAATTTGTAAAGTATAGGTATTGATCTGTAAAATATGTATTTATCTAAATTTCTTAGAAAAACATGATCACAGGTATGTTTTTAAATTAAAAATGAGACTTCATCAGTTCTCTACTAAACAGTTAAATGAACTTATCAACAAAAAGTGACAGGTCAGGTCTTAAACAGTGACACTAAAATTTTATGAACTTTATCTAATTCATTTCTGAGATAGTTTTATAAATCTTGAAGATCCGATGAACTGTAACCAGATGTTTACAGCCTTCTTTGCTTTACTAAGCTTCGAATAGAAAAGTGAAATAAAACATTGGAGGAACCAACTGATCTTCATATTTATACATCATCTGTATTATCAAAAGTTTCTTTAAGCTTATCAATTTTTCGCAGTTCAGTAATTACTGAATTAAGGAAAAACAGAACCAGACCAAAGCTTGTTAAGTCTCTTATTAATGAGAACAGAGGAAATTATGTAAAAATTTTGTTGACTATAGATTCCTTTGTTTTTTAATTTTCACTTTCAGTGTTTTCTGGAATAGTTGACTTTGAAATTTCCATATAGGTTGAAATTGATAGTGTAAGATTCAAATAAGCTGAAGGCAATGAGTAAAAAACTTATAATATTAAGAAATATTTGTAGACAATGTAGTACAGTTGTAGTGTCGGTTACTATGTTAAGCCTGCATAACTCATTCTAGCTTCTGGACAGGTCAATTTATCCATTCTTCTTGAGTCATATTTTGACATTGTTAATTATTCACTTATCAACCTTGACTGTGTTTAAGTGTATATCTTATCCTACTCATCACACATTTGTAGCTTATTTTTCTGTGACTATAAATATTGATTCACGTTTGGTTAAAAGGGAGTTGGCTCACACTCCTTCTCCACCGCGCATCATTTCTCTTCGCTCTCTTCTATTTGCTTTATCCCTCTCAATTCCTGTGCAGTTCAGTCAGTATACAAAAATGTATTCAAAAATCCATTCTCTTATTCGACTTCTTTAATTCCGTTATTCACCAAATCGATTTAAGTCGATGAAATATACGAGGACATTGGGTAGAAAAAAACAATCAAGAATAAATCTATGTAGTCTTGTGATATCTCAGGGAGTAGAAAAAACACACACAAAAAATGTCAGAAATGCAATTTTTTCTATTCAATAGGATATAGAAAAGAATCTATTTATTATTTATACCTTTGATTAATTATTTCTTTATATCTTACAAGTTATGTTAAGAAATTACTGACCCTATAAATAATTGAAAAGAATTAGTTTATACTGGCATTATGACCAGTTTGTACGTTTTCGTGCTCGTCAATACCTCCCAACGTGGTTAAGCAAAGGTTTGGTGAAGAAATTAAACAGCTCTATATTGACCCATTTAATACAAACTGGTCATAATGCCAGTATAAACCAATCGTTTTCAATTATTTCATTAAAGTTAGAAATCATTGTATTTCTAATTAATAAGGCAATTTATAAGTACCCAGGAGTTCTAGTGAGAAGCAGTGACCAGTGGAGTTCAAACCATGTCTGTCGTGAGATATCAACTCACTGAAGACAATTGATGAACGGTTGCTCAACTTCGTGGATTGGTTGAAGTTAGACATTAACACCGTTGGATGCCGGCTCAGTGGTTTATAGGTTTTGGGCTCTGGCTAGAGATTGGTAGGTCCTGAGTTCGAATCTTGTGAGGCCGGATCGTGGGTGAACACTTCTGAGGAGTCCCATAATATGACGAAACGGCCGTCCAGTGATTCCAGATTTTCCATGGTGGTCTAAATTCAATTAACTCATGCTTTCAACTATGAAAATACTAAATCTCCACAAAATCCCCTTCTGATAGTTAATTTATAAGTATCATTGGTTGACTTTAATTCAAAGCTCAATGAACTGTACACACATCTACATTCAAATAATAATGAATTAGGGATTTTATAGTTAAGTAAAAGTTTCATTGAGAATTCAATCTTGTATGAAAATGTAAAAAATTCATTTAATGTAAAAGAAAAAGGGTCTAAGAAAATGATAACTTTATATTTGTTTACATTTTAAACAATAAAATGACAGTCTTTTAATTGTACTATATATTTCTTTATTAACTATAATAATTAAACGTAAGTAGACAAACAGATAAGTAATCATAACACAACCTGGTTAGTCGTCATACACTTTCCTTATTTGTATTTCGTACTGTTTAGTAGTCATGAAGTAACAAAGCAAACAAACAACACAATATAACTCATCTAAATTCACTTGGTATTATTTGTTTGAATCTTCCCATTGATGTTTAAGATTGCAATTGATCAGTCTCTTATTGGTATATATGTGCATACTGTGTATATTGCCTCGATATAACCTTAAGTCATAAGCATTATAAACAAAGATGGTTAGTGACTAATAGTGGAATCCATCTAAATTAAACATTGAGTTTATATTTATATAAATTTAATAAGTAATTACAAAACTCAGTGGGATATAAATAGGTAAGAAAAAAAGTTTTGTATACAATTATTGTATATTGAATTGTTTGTCTGTTTGTTTTAACAAATCATTCACTATTCAAAGATTTCATATTAAATGAATAACAATCTATTTGTTTAAATATTACCAATAAGAATGGTGGAATAATTGAATGTATTAGAAAACAACAACAAACAACAATATGTACGATCATTTATTTCAAATGAATAAACAAGCTTATAGCGCTAAAATTAATTTCATAGTGACTGTTTTTTTTAAAAATTTTCTTTCTGGTTTTTAAGTTGGGTAGTAGTGAAATAATAACACAGTTAAAAGTTAGTTATAACCATTGATTTATATCAATAATTATTAATATCTCATTTGAATGGCGCCAAGAAACAACGGTTATATATGTATGTATATATGTATATGCAAAAATGTATATAGCATATGATCTCTTGAAAATGAGCTATATAATAAGTAGTTTGTAGTGGGTTTTTTCTGTCTTGACCTGAAGACTAGATAATAATCTAGGATAAACATTTTATGATTTCTCTATTTACACTATATATATATATATTTCATATTGAGCATTAAAAAGGAATTTATATTAATTCTTCAGTGATAATGATATAGTTACTAGGGTGAAAAAAAAGAAATATTGATCATGTAATAGATAATCGAAATAAATTTACTTTCCTTCATATTGGGATTTGTTTTGATTTCCAAACTTATTAGGATCGTTTACAACCCCACACCCCTAATTATGATTATTATTAAAGATCTAATCAATTAATAAAAAATAATGTTTGATCAGTTCAGTTTATGTGTTCATTATCAAATAAAATGATGATCTATAAACAATCAAAGGAGTCAAAGGATGAATTAAAAAATAAAAATAAAAAATAAATGGAATGTTAAAGCATTATCTAGAAATAAGTTTTAGAAGTTTAAAAAAAGCAAAACAAAACAATTAACAGTTGAATTCATTCTTATGATTAGATATTGAAATCAAGAATTAGGCATTTGAATGATCTATAATATAATTGGTTATTCTTATTAAAGATCATGTAGTAATCAAAATAATAATAAACATCAATGGGAAGATTTAAACAAACAATACTAAGTTAATTTTGAACTTCATCCGATTGCACAAGCAAGTGGCTAACAGGACTCAGTAGCTGAGTGGATAACGCGATGACGTTTGAAGCGAAAGGTACTGTGTTCGAGTCCCAGAGTAAACATTAATTCTGAGATGCGGGCACATCCAGCTGACAAGTCTCAAATAGGACGAAACGAGCATCCTGGATTCCACTGCTAACCACCATCCATCTTTGTTTACATAATCTTTTATTGTTATTATTATCAAGTGATAAATGAATGATCCTAGGAATTTGTGTAATTGTTTTTAAGTCTATAAAAAAATAATACTTACAGGAAAACATTATTTTGTGGATATTTTGTGTAACGGACTAGTTTGGCGAGGTAAGCATTGGCAATTAGAAAATACTAAATACCTAGCCTATCCTTATATGGGACTTTCCAACAGTGAGGACACATGACTAGACCCAGGAATCATACTCACACCATACAGGTATCGTAGCTTGTGTATTAAATGTAGAAAATCGGTTCAGAGTACGAAAATGTATTAATTCTATTTACAACCGCTACTTTCTTCTATCAAAATGAGCAGATATAAATTAGTCATACAAATTGATAGAAATAAATTAGAGTAAATAGTATAAAACAGTTTAAGTGATTGATTGAGAGTTCAAAAAATAACATCCTATAAAAAAATCTTACTGATTACTGATAACTTACGGACAAAATATGAGAACATTTCAACATAAACTTGGAGTTTACTAAAAGTTAAGGTATATATTTACTTAGGTTAGTTGAATTGTATGGATATGTTTAGTATAATCGTAGTAACTGAATTTGAAATGATTAACGTAGGACAATATATAAACCTTTATAGCTGATACTCCAATTACGTATGGATTCAGTAGACGCACATTTTTCTCTATTCGGAAAACTTTAGTCAAATGTACATAGGTTTGACATGATATTCCTAGTGAGACGTATCATTTCAAAGCTAAATATTTGTTGAAAAGTAGTCACAATTTCATTGAACAGCATACTTTTTAGAATTTAAAATCTGATTATTTGTGCGTCAAAACTATTAATGTTACAGAAGACATACAAATCAGTTTCGAAGATCTAGTGAGAAGTCATAAGCAGTGGAGTTTATCGTAGTCTTACTTGAGGTAGCTATGACCTATGGCAATGATTGATGATAAAAATCTATTGTTTGCTGACTTAAGTAAACCAAAATTGATGTATAGTTGGCGACTTAACTCTAATTCTTGCATCAGTAAACCTAAATTTTAAAAGATTAATCAATGACCTGGTCATAGGTGAGCTTTCTTATCCAGTTGGTCTATTATTTCCATA